TTCTTGACTCAAGGAACGATCTGTTCCGGCACTTGCAGAAGTATCTCTCGCCACATGGCTTGATGGGGAATTCATAAAGAAGGGGAGCGTTTGCCTTTCTAGTCAAACCACCGTCGCTACACTACTCTCGATAGTACCTTTCTAGCCGCATCACTGATACCAGTTGTTATTCTCACGTCAACCTGAGTCCCACGTACGACAGCCATGCTTATCCAAAGCGAAGGTTGTTCATAGTGCCCTCATTCACCCCCATCTGCAGTCCCCGGTCGTTACGGCCATTGAACTCGATCTTAACCGTCCTAGAACCACGGCCACGAGCTCTCTCCGCCTGACTCTCAATAGCAGCCTCCTGGATTCTTTCAAGAAGGTCCTCGTAAAGCTGACGCGAAGCCGCCAGGGCTTTACTCTCCTCCCTGATTTGCGCGAGGACATCCGCTGCGGCTTCCGTCGCTTCTTGAGGCTGTTCCACTTGCTGGGCTGGGGCAGCCGCAGCCTGTTGTGTTTCAACAACACGGCTATTCAAAGCGGCCATCATGTTCGTAAGTTGGTCGAGGTTTTCTGACAGCGTCTTTTCGATTCTCTGACTGGTTTCATTGTTTTTCAGCGAGCCGTGTCTGTTTCGTTTAGTGTTAGTCATGTTGCGTTTAAAGGCCGTAAAGCTGTTATAAACTCACAAAGTGGCCGTGCTCGCCATGGAGGTGATCATGGTGTGGCAGTTCTGCAGTTGCTGCGACATGGATTTGATCTGACTCTGGTTGAAGAAGCCGATATTGCCCCTATCACGCCATGAGAGCTTCCCGTCGGTGGACCGCTTGGTCCACTTCTTCAGAGCAGCCCCGAAGGTGTTGCATGCTTCGGAACAGCTCGCGATAGTGATCTCGGCATGCTTGACCACGGCCTCGCCGAGGAACTCCCATTGCGGCTCGTCGATGTCTTGAAGCGACTCGAGGGCGCGGTCCGCGAGGATTAGGTCGGACTGGAGGGTCTTGAGGGTGTCAGGGGCATCGTGAATGTTCCGTACGTCGTCCACTACCTTCCGGATGACATGGAGGGCGGTGGCGACAATGCCGACGATACTGCCAGCAACACCAAGAGCTTCGGCCATTTTGAGCACAGTGGAGGAGAAGTGCCGAGTAGTGAAGGTACGTGGGGCTTCGGTGAGGGCCGGAAGCTCCCTTGTCCATATCTTAACTAGGGTCCTTCGTTCGTTCAACCCCTCAAGGAGGGGCAGGAAGGAGGAGGGCGAGTAAGCTGTGATGGAGGGGCAATGTCGAGATACATGGCAAGGCTGGAAGATTCGGTTACATCGAATGGCGGAGTATTCAGCTTTCATGCAGCCATGCATACCGGCCGCAACATCAACCATCCCGCATGAGGGGGCCTCGGCTTTTGTAGCCATAGGGCAAGATTGGCTGGTATACGACCTCTTAGCTTTCTGTGGGCAGCCTTGTTGGAAAGTCCGCGATGGACGAGAGACCTACATATATTCGCCAACAAACCAACTCATACCCCCATTTTTTATTAGGCAAGCCAGAGTTGTTGTTACTGCCCAAGCAAACCCAGAATGCGCTCCAAGATTGTCCGTGACCCTACCGATGCCTGCGTCGAGTATGTAGAAAAGCTACCCCGACAGAAACGACGCCGAGTTGACCTCTGCGCAGCATTGTACTAGTCCCTGGCTGGCGTGAAGAGGGACTACAGGCATGGACTCACGTTTCGGCCGAGGGAAAGGCTATCGCCTGGCCTGAGAGCTTCCTCGGTAACCTAACCCCCCGAGCCCGCATTATCGCATACGACTACGATGTAGAGCTCGAAGATTTCTGGGCTACCGAGGAGGAGAACAGAATAGACGCCCTCTCAGATGACCTTTCCCACGAGATCCGAAGCGTGCGTGCTAGCTCGAAGACGGTCAGTTTCAGCGCACAACAAACTATACTGTTTTGAAGACACCCGTGACAACGGCTGACGTTGATGTGTACCGAATAAAGACCAACAGGCCTGTAATCTTCGTCGCTCACAGCATTGGGGGGGTGGTTGTCGAGAACGTCAGTGGTTCACCCGTCCCCTCGTTTCCTCTTGGCTTACAATCGAAATATGAATCTGCGCTTACACCATGATGCAGTTCCTGGTCAAGGCAGAAGAGGGTAGGCCAGCCGAGAAGCTACTTGCAAAGTGCGTACACCGGATGGCGTTGCTGGGGACGCCCTTCCATACCGACGCCGCTCTCTGGGCCAAAACAGGGAACAAGTTCTATCGGCTTACTGGGGGGAGCCCCGACGGCTCGTTGGAAGATGACCTCTCCAAGTCGGAGAAGCTGGCGGCAATCTCCAAAGGGTTCAAGACTTCTGTCGGGAAGGGTACTCTTGAGGTAGCCGTATTTTATGAGGGGAAGCCGAGCCCCGTCTCGGGCGAGGTGATCACAAGCCTGGCCACGGTCAAGGTCCCCGGAGCACCCAGCCCAACCCGTCTAGCCACCTCCCACCAGGCCATGGCTAGGGCTGCAACGGCGGAGGATGATCATTTCCGACGCATCTCGCGGGTTTTGGTAGAATGGGTTGAAGAGCTATCCGAGGAAGAGGACGTGGAGAAGGAGGCAAAGAAGGTTGCGAAATTTGAAGGCGATAATATTGGAGGGTTTCAGCTCGGGTTCAATGACGGAACCATCAACGGCGGTGTCAACCTCGGTGGCGGGGTCAAACCTCGGGGGTGATGGTTGGGAAGGGGGTAGGTTGGGTTGTACCGCAGGGGAACGAGGTTACGCATGTACATACCCTCTAGCCAAAAAAATAAGCCGAACAACGGAAAGAAAGCCATTCAGAAATCCCACGGCTTTTTTGCCAGAGGGTGGCAGAGTTGCTTGATTGGTTGGATAATCCTTGACTCGTCCTTCAGCTTCTGCAAGCTGTGCAGTGAGATCGTTCCATTTGCGGAACGAAGCTGAATGCATGCTGCATGCTGCGGTGCTGCGTGCTCCATTGAAATTGAAAGTGACCAAGACGGAAGCCAAATGGAATTGGAACGGATCGAGCGGAATTATTTTGTCTCTCCCAACTAAAGTTCTAACCGTTCTGCTCGTTCCTGCTGCAGTCTCCGTAGCAATGTCACAAAAAGGTCTGAAAAACCAGACGGCGAACGACGGAAAGACGAAAGATGGGGGCCCCCAAGTCTACGTAAAGCTTTCCGGCCGCAATTACGGTTCCCAAATAGGCATCAACAATGGATCGATCGAGCAGTACATTCTCGACGGCCGGGTAGGTAAGAGCAGACATACCGAACTGAGCGAGTGGGCGTGGCGGCGCAAGAGTTACTTACTCCTCTTTGATGCAAAGTAAAACTCGTCATCAACGGCAACCCTTTTGACAATGTGCCCTTTACAAGGGACGATGACTTTATTGGGAGAGAGTTGATACTCGAAGAAATCGAAGCATCTCTTCAACCGACAGATACCTCGTCTTATCCCCGAGTTGCCCTAGTCGGACTACCGGGTGTAGGGTAATAGACCGTCACTACTTTTCCCACTAAACCCCCTGCTGACCGAGTTCGAGGAAAAAGAAAAACACAAATCGTAGTAGAATACGTCGCTCGGCTGCGCCAGGATTCCCCAGATACTTGGGTATTTTGGGTGGACGCGAAAAACGAAGAGACCTTCCTCGAGTCGTACCATGCACTGGCAAAACGTGCCGAGATACCCGGCTGGGATGATGCAAAGATGGACGATATACCGGGCCTCGTTTTTGAATGGCTGAAGAATGATCTGGTCAGTCCTTGGCTGCTCATCCTCGACGGCAACGACGACGCCAACATGCTCTTCACCGAAAGAGTGACTGGGGCTGGAAAGCGTGGCAAGAGTGGGTCAAGCCCTCTGATACCCTACGAAGGAGGTGTCCTAATCAGACCTAGGTTTGGTCAATTATATCCCCGACACTAGCAACGGCTCCATCCTCATCACCTCTCGTGATGCCAAAGCTGGGAAAGGTCTCGGAGCCTCCGTCTCGATACAGGTTCCGCCACTAGACAGCGACGATGCCGTGGAGCTGCTTCGTAAGAAGGTGCCCGAAGAGATGGTCGGGAACGCAGATATTGGTGGGCTCGTCAAGAAGCTAGAGTACCTTCCTCTGGCCATCAGCCATGCCGCCACCTATATCTCGGAAACCCCCTGCACAGTACCAGAGTACCTTGACGTACTCGACGATGAGACCGAATTCGCCAGTGTATTGGCAACAGAAGTCAACGGAAAACGCAAAACCGACGTTCCGTGGTCCGTCATGAGTTCCTGGACCTTGTCATTCAAGCGCCTCCAAGAGCGGAACCCACGAGCCGTCGAGCTGCTCCAGATGATATGCTTCTTAGACAGACATAACATTCCCAAGTTGTTATTACAACGGGGTGCGGGGAAGGCAGATTTTCTGAACGATGTGGTTGGCCCGTTGTTGCGTTTCAGCTTTCTGGCTCGCTCGAAGTCGCAGGAGAAAGATGACGTCTACGAGATGCCCTCTCTGGTTCATCTATTCAGCTCGATTTGGACCAGGGAGAGCAAGGAAGCCACACATGCTGCTCAGAAGGCTCTTAAAGCTGTCTCGGCTCATTATCCACCAGCAGATGACTCGGACGAAGATCTATGCCGGCAGCTTAGCTCTCACACCAGAGCTGTGCTCAAGGCCACCGGCGCCGCCATCGCTGACGCCGCCGCCCCTGCTGTCGAGCTCAACACGGTCCTCGATGACGACACCGCGAAAGCGAGAGCTACGCTCCTGCATAATGCCTCTTCGTACGAAATGGACGTAGGAAACGTCAAACTTGCCGAGAAGTGGGCCGACGAAGCATGGCGGATCCGTAAGGAGCGGCTCGGAGAGGACGACACGAAGACTCTCGAAAGCATGTACAACTCGGCGCGGGCATACTTCGAGGTCGGCAATTCTAAAGAGGCGGTACGTCGCGGGGAGGAGGTTGTCAGGCGCTTTTCAGGTAAAGCGAAGGGAGAAACGAGCGAGGAGGTTTGATCGCCCAGAATACGCTGGTAGCGTTCTACCTGGACGTGGGCAAGTGGGCAGAGGCGGAGGCGCTGGCCAAGAGTGTGGTTGAAGCCTCGACTCAACTCGGGCCTTTGGCTCTGCCGGATACTTGGGATCGCAAGATGACGCGCGTTGAAGTGTGGAGAAGCATTGGCAAACACGAGCTCGCGCAGGAGCTCGTCGAGAGTATCATTGACGAGAAACGTACGCAAATACGGAAAGATCGGGAAAAGAACAACTTGCCGGCGGCCTCAGAAGAAGAAGAAGAGAAAACCAGCCTTTGCGAAAACACCTACGACCTTGCCGACACCCTGCTGACGTTGGCGTTAATTTGCCGTGACAGAGGCATGTTTGGGCAGGCCCGGGAATACGCGGAAAAGGTGGTCAAGGCCAAGATACAAACCTACGGAGAGACGCACCCCAATACCTTACGCTGCCAGATTAGCCTGGCCTTGATCTACCAAGAGCAGGGCGAGCTGACTGAAGCCAAGAGCCTCGGGCAGCAGGTGACAGCGCAACTCTCGACAACACTGGGACAAGACCACCCAGAAACACTCACGAGCTGGAGCGACCTGGTCTGGGTGTACGAGAAGCTCGGCATGTTGGAAGTTGCTGAAAAGGACGCCAAGATTATCGAGAGATTGTCGGCGGATGTCCTGGGCGAAGACCACCGGCAGACACTCCTCACTAGGGGCAACTTGGCTTCTATCTATCGATGCAGGGGCAAGCTAGTTGAGGCTGTTGAGCTGGGCAAGCAAGTCCTCCATACGCGCGAGGCGACGCTGGGAAGGGATCATCCGGATGCACTCATTGGCGTCACCAACCTCGCCCTGACGTATCAGAAGCAGGGCCGTTATGAGGACGTTCGCAAGCTGTTCCGGCACGGCGCTGGTCTCGACGAGGAAGATGCCAGTCTTTTCATCCGGTACGGGCGGGGACTTATCGGATCTCTCACGTTGGCTGTGATTGTTTCATATGTTATTATTATTTCTCTTACCACGCTAGGTACTAAGTACATGCGGTCCCTCAGCGATTAACTCGGTAGGAAAAACCATGCCTAAGCTGGATGAAAACCTCCGCACCTCCGCTGCGGCCTCGCCGCTACCCCGTGGATCCATCTCCTCGAAAGGGCTCACCCACCTTCCGAGGTCAAAGTAACGAAATAGATAAAGTGAGTTGTAACCTCTGTTCCATCGGTGCCCTTCTGCTACTCCGCTTCGGCCCCGCCGCGAGCCTCCTCGTTGTTCTCATTTTCCAGCTCTACCGCCAGCCGGAACTCGTTCAGCCTCCCCAGCCCAAGTACCCACCCCACCACTATGGCAGCCTTCTCCATGTCATCTAGCCACTCCAGTAGCTCTGCGCCGTCGTCTGGCCAGGGCTGAGGTTTATCTGCGGCTCCGTTCCATTCGAGTACGAGGTGTTCGAATGTCTCGCGCGCCATACCGCAGCGGCATACCCGGCGTTACCACCTCGGGGACCCTCCTAGTAAAGAGGAACCCTCGAAGCCCAATCTTCCCGGTCCTCGCTTGCACTAGGAGGGTACTCTTCGCCTTCGATGGCTCCCAGGCTGGGTCCCTCGACCGGTGTCGGTTCATGATAGAGGCGTCGAACCGCGCGGTCGCATCGGCCGGTTCGAGGGCCCGCCCCGGGTTCCTAGCGACCACCCTAGCTACCTCACTCTCCCATCTTCCAATCCACTCCCTTCTCATTGCCTCCTCCATCCACCTCTCGAGCTGTTTCTTGTGGTTTGGTACTGGGCCGGTCGACCCTGGCTCTAGCTCCTCCTTTTCCGGCCTTGACTCGAGGGGGTCCCACTCCTGTGCCCACCTCTTCTTCCATTCGCCTGAGCCCTTTTCCGCTGGTGCCGTTGCTATATCGGCTATCTCCCGCCGAGGTCTTCCTCTCCCCCTTCTGCGCCTCCGCCGCAGGGTCGCAGCGATTGTGGCAGGGGTCTGGCGGATTAGCCTCGCCTCCTCTGATATCCTAACCCGATCCTCGAAGGCAAGTAGCCTCTTGTTGAGGTACAGGTCGATGGGTGGGCAATAGGTTTCTGTCTCCAAGCTCCGTATTGGGGTAGCCTTGTAGGCCCCAGCGACCACCTTGAGGCACTCCGATTAGATCTTTGCGAGTTCCTTTGCGGCCCCGCGGGGGGGGGCCCCTACCTCTGTAGGGGTGTGGAAGGCTGGGGCTCCATACGCGATCGCACTGCGGATCACTTTCGAGTAGATCTCCCTCGCCCTCACGAAAGGTACACCCCCACGTCTTTGCGGCGAGCCTTGTTAGGGCACAGATCTGGGTCTTCATCTTCTTCCTCACCGCCGCGAGGTGTGCGCGGTACCTCAGCTTCCTATCGAGCCAAACCCCAAGGAATCTAGCATCCTCAACTGGTTTTAGCTCTACCCCCTCGATCGTTAGGGTCTTCTCGATCGGGGCCCTTGCTCTCGAAAAGTGGATTAGTTCGCTCTTCGCTGGCTCGAATTCCATACCTCTCTCTGCTGCCCAGCCCGCACAGTGTCCCCAGGCCTCCGCTAGGATGCCGCAGGTACCCTCCGTCGTCTCCGCTACGGCTAGGATATTGGTGTCGTCTGCGAACCCTACCACGATTGCCCCCCTTACTGCCTCGAGCCTCTTGTAGAGTGTTGAGATAAATAGAAGAAAGAGGATTGGGGAGAGGGGGGACCCCTGCGGAACCCCTGCGGCCACCTCGTAGCTTTCGGACATCGTCCCATCGAACCAGAGTTTTGCCGACCTCCCAGCGGTGAACAAATCGACCCATCTAAGGGTCCACAGCGGGACCCCCAGCTCTCTAAGGGTCCTTGTGAGCCATCCGTGGTGTACCCTATCGAAGGCCCCTTTGAGGTCTAGTTGAAGGAGAGATGCGTTCGCCTTATGCCGCCAGGTCTCGTGTAATCGGCGGTCCCGCAGCTGGCCAGTGGCTGCGGCCTCCAGCGGCCTGGTGGCTACCCGCCACGTCCGCGTAGGACCGTTGCTTCTGCAGTCCCCCGGGTGTTCCTCCGCCCCCCGGTAATGTTCCGGAGCATTTGTTTAACCTCCTCGAGGTCGCCCTTCGTGGCATACGCCGCGTTATCGCCCGTAGCCCTCAGCGGCCCAACTGCGATCGCCATCGCGAAAACTTCGCCGGCCCACTTATCTGGTCTTCGGTGACCTCCGCATAGTTGTTCGTTTTCGTTACTTTGAGATTGTTTTATATACTTACTGGCGTCATGCCAATAAATAGTTGTCGTGTTTTGTGTTGTGATTGTGACGGAGGACCGACGCCCCGGCACGCCCGGGCCCGAGACCGAAATGCTCCACTGAGACCGGGCTTGGCCCGGTTCCCGGAGCAAGCAACTGCCAAATTGGGCAGGCGGTTTCGGCGCACCGGACATCTCATGGTTTGTTCTAGTTGTTGAGCTGCTTAATGAGGCCGTGTAAATAATGAACGGAGAAGTTCACTTGTCACATCGGCTGAATGCAGGACTTGCTGGCGATGATGATAACTCTCAGTCTGATACCCTAACCCTGAGCAAACGGAAGCAGCTGCTACCAGCTGGCGATGTCCACGGAACAAGCACCCACCTCTTGTTCCAGCCCCGACTGCCTAACTTGTCTCGACCCTGGACTTCGTGTTCCAGTTACGGACCAAGCAACAAACACCCCCATTAGGCCGAAGCATCGATGCGCAACTCTCACGCCCATTAACGCGAGCTGTCAACCACGTTATTTGGCCATTTCCGCGTGGAAACCGCGGCCCTTAGTAAACAACGATAGATTATCGCGACTCTCAGCACGAGGTGGCTTCCTGTTTCAGCTTGCCCTGAGCGGGTCCCCAGTGATGCCATCATAACCACCCGCCCAACGAACGAACCCTTCTCCCAACATCCCGCATACCAGATAGCTTGGGCCCGAGTGCCTACCCCGAATCAATTATGGCGTGGACCGTGAGTGGGATGGTCACGACAGTCTTGCGACCGGACCGCAGCTGACAGCAGCGGGTAGATCTTCAGGATAGCGGCCGACATGTCGCACATCACGGCGAAATGCATCCTCATATTCTCCATCCACCGAAACAAGAGCTCTGAGGGTTTGTTCGCCCCGCCCCTCTCTCTGGAAACTAAATGGATAATGCTAACGCGCATCGTTGCGCAGGCGTTTCCCTTCTGACACAGCTGTTCTACGCCCTCGTCTTCGTTACCCGGTACACCGATCTCTTTCGAGAATCCTACGCATGGAACTACTTCTTCAAGGTCTTCTACCTACTCTCGTCCTTCTACACCATTGGGATCATCCGGTTCATTTATCCGCGCACCCGCGAGCGCGAGGTAGCCTGGAAGCTGAGCGCCATAATCCTCGCCGCGTGCCTGTTCCTATCGCCCTTCGTCATGCTCATCTTTGATGACTGGTGGAGTTTCCAAGAGGTACGCTATCCTCTCTAGTCCCCCGCTTTTCGCCCTCCCTCCCTTCGCTAACCCTCATAACCAACAGTACCTCTGGGTCTTTTCCCAAGTCCTCGAATCCGTTTGCGTCCTCCCGCAGCTCCTCCTCCTCCGCCAGACCACCATCCCCACCGTGATCACCTCCTTCTACATCGTCTTCCTCGGCTCCTACCGCGGTCTCTACCTGCTCAACTGGATCCTCAAGGAGCTCGACACCAACATGAAGAAGCCCAACCCGATCTCGGTCATTTTCGGCGTCATCCAAACAGCCCTCTACCTCGACTTCGCCTGGGTGTACTGGTCGCGCCAGCGCGTCAAGCTGCGCAACGGCGGCGTGGTCGACGCCGACGATCTCTCGCGGGGCTGGCTCCTGCGCCGCATTTTTGGCAACAAGCAGTTCGCCCGCGATATTGACGGCAACGGCACCGACGACGAGGAGAGTGCCCCCCGCGCTGGGTCGCAACGGCTTCAACCACCACCAACAACAGAACGGCGGTAACAACAACGGCGGCGGCGGGGTGCGCCCCAAGTGGGGATCGCGCGGCATCTCCATCAGCGCGGACGAGGGCGTGCTGGAGCACGAGCGCGAGCGTGGTCAGGCGCTGGACGAGGACGATGATGAGGATGGTGGTGTGGCGGGTGCCGTAGACCCGGACGCCAAGATGCGCGATCCGGACGAGCTTGCCCTGGCGCTGGACGAGGACGAGGATCTGGATGCCCCCGGCGCCTCTTCGGCTTCGTCGGCGCAGCAAAAGAAGGATACCCATACCCAGCCGAGTGGGGTGCGGGGCGGGGATGAGTGGAATGATGATTGATTGATTAAGGGTGGGTGAGCCAGTTGACGTCTGAATGGATGGATTTGCGTGGGATGGTGGGAAGACGGGATGGGTATTGATTGGGCGGTACAGTTTGGGTTTCAGGGATCTGTGCTCTATTGTGTATATGTATCGCTAAAGATTTGCTACATGGATGGGGGTCATCAGGGCCGGCGGTGTCTCGGGTGTTGGGCGGGTTTGATATGGTTCTGGTGGCTTTGGCGAAGATGAGAATATATGGTTTGTACCCGTGCTCGCGGTGCTGGTCTATCCTTTGCCGTGGCCGGTTAAGTGATGTTGTACGGTTGAATAAACCTGGGGTTTTTTTTTGGGGGGGTTAAACCCCGGTTATAAGAAAACAAGGAGGGGCCAACCTCAAAGAGGCCTTGCCTCGGGGCTAAAGTCCAATTTCTTGGTAGGAAATTGTTTTTTAATAATAATCCCCCAAGGATAAAAAATGCCCTTCCCAATTTTGGGTTTTTTTGGCCCCGCCCCCCCCCTCAAAGATATAAATTCCCCCCCCCCCCTCCGGGGGTTTAATATCCTCCCCCCCCCCCCCCCCCCCCCCCGGGCCCCACCCTATACAACCATCCTGGGCACAACCACCATCACCCATCAATCATCATCCCTCAACCTCGAGTCATTCGGCCCCGCCTTTGCCAAGCTCTTCCTCAGCAACTGCAGAACGCCCCTCCTCCTGGCCTCGCGCTCGCGCAACTCGGCCTTCTCCTCCTGGCTGTACATGCTCGTCTTCTTCCTGGGCGACGCCAGCGACGACGACGACGGCGTGCCGCCCCTCCCGCCATATGACGCGATCGAGCTGGCCATCGACTCGCGCAGCATGCGGCTGCCGCCGTCCTTTTCGGGCGACGACAGCATCAGCGACCTACGCTGATGTTGTTGTTGTGGGGTGGCAAAGGGGGAGCCCTCGCGGCTGCGGGGGCCGCCGGGGGTGGTGGGGCCGACAGAGCCCATGCGCAGACGGCGCATCTGGCTCTCGAGGACGTCGACGTCGCCGCTGCGCTTCTCCGCATGCTGTCATTCCGATTTATTAGTGCGGATGATGGCTCGACGGTGGGGACAGGGCCTTTGCCGGACGCGCCACCCGCCGAAGACGATGCGGGGTGCGGAGCATTGTGAGGGCTTCTTCCGTTTCGACGAAGAGCTTGGGAGAAAGTGCGCTAGGAGCGGCGTAGTTCATTTTGCTGCGACGCCTGCTCCGCGCTGAAGAGCCAGGATCTGGTGACCGCGAGCTGTTCCGAGATCGATGTACGGCACGATGATCTTGCGCATGTCTTCCTCCTCGCGCCGGAGCTTGGCGAGATCCTTGGCGAAACCCTTGATCGCATCTTCAACGCCTTCGACGTCTAGGACGCCGCCCCTCGCGCCACGTGCTGGCTCGTCGTTGAGTAAGGCGCCGAACCTCCCGACCTCGACAAGCACCCAGTCGTCCGAGTTCTCGAGATCTGCCGTACTTCGGCCCCCCTGCTTAAATTGTGTGCTGTAGCCGAAGAAGAATGACTGCAGTGATCGTGAGTTGAAGCCGAGGACGTCGATCATGCGGTTGATGTCTCTCCAGAGCGCTTCGCACGCGGCGGGTACTTGTTCACGGCTCGGGTTCAGCGGCTCCAACTGGGATTGGACCGTAAAGAGTTCGTGTATCTGGAGGGTTGGCTCGAGCTTTGATTGCAGAATCTGCTGGATACCCTCATCTTGGGGGTCAACGAGCACCTGCTCTTCTGCCCTCATCTTTTCTGCGAGCTTCCGCTGTGCTTGTACATTCGGATCCACTTGAGGGCGTTGACCGGTGCTGTAACCTTGCGTTGTCTGCCATGCCACGGGTTTTCTACCCAGAAGTTGCGATGCCACCCCTGGGGAGCTGAAGGACCGGCCAGGTTCGCTGGGCCTGAGAAGGCTGCTGCGTTGCTGGCCTCGTATCGGGCTCGGCGAACGAGGGCTCTGCGGCACGGCCGGCTTGGGGAATAAGGGAGGCGCGTTTCTGCTAATCTCGCCAAATAACGGTCGCGTTTGTTCTGCTTCGGTGCGTGAAATAGTCGAGAATGTGCTTTCCGCCCATCCCGCCAAACGAACTGTGCGGTGTAGCTCCGGGTGTTTGACCGCTAAACCCTATCGTCGGGCTGAGGTCCTTAGCAACATCGACGCCGCTGCCTTCACTGGCAGCTTCTGACTCATACTCGCCTTCCTCCTCTTCCTCTCCCCCCTCCTCTCCCTCCTCTTCCACTTCGCCCTCTTCTTCCTCCTCTTCCACTTCGCCCTCTTCTTCCTCCTCTTCCACTTCGCCCTCTTTTTCCTCCTCCTCGGATAGGTCGTGGTCACTGGCGCTATCAGGCACGGCGGGCAAGGCAGGGGCTTGTTTCGGCGGTGGCTTGGCGAGGAAATCGGGGGGCAAGGGCGCGTCGTCAGTAACCGGGGGCGTTGTTTTCTTTGGTTCGGGCTTGGGTTTGGCGAAAATGGAGTCCGGAGGTAACGGCGCAGCTTCCGGCACAGATTCCCTCTGCGCAGGTTTGCCCAAGAAATCGGGCGGTAGGGGTGCATCCTCTGCTTTGGCCGACGGTTTGGAGACTGTTGTAGGTGAGTTTTCCGATCCCGACGATGAAGAACTCAAATAATAGGCCGCCTTACTAGTAGCATCGGGCGGGAGAGGCGCCTCCGGAATCTTGGACAAATCTGCCTTGTCCTTGTCCTCCTGCTTGACCTTTGGCGTGCCAAAAATTGAAGTGGCCGGTTTAGGGGCTCCAAAGATATTGGACATGCCGCTGGAGGTAGGGAGCTTGGAGCCGAAAAGATTAGACCCACCGGCTGGTGCTGCGCTTCTAAAGTCAATCCTCTGGGGGGCCGGTGTGCTCGTTGGGGTGGTGGACTGCGGGCTAAAGATCGACTTGGGCTTCTCTTCGACGGGAGGCGGCGTGGTGCTCTCCATATCCATATCTTTGGAGACAGCGACAGCCGGCTTTTTGGACGAATCATCCAGTGAAAGCCCGAATCCACTCCCAAACAGGGACTTGCCTGCACCCTCCTTGGGCTTCTCATTATCATTGGCCGTAGACTTATCAGCCTTGAAGGTGGTTCCGAGGACGAAAGGTGAAGTTCCAAGCGCGGGCTTATCAGTTTTGGCAGACGGAGGCGGAAAGGCTGTGTCAGTATCCATAGAGACCTCGGGGGCACTCGAAGTCAAGGGAGCACCAGGCTTGGATCCGAAGATGCTCGACCCACCCGAGCCACCACCTAGGCCTGCAAAACCGCCCTTGTCGGCGAATGTAGCGAACCCACCACTCGTGGGCGCCGCGGCGCCGCTGCCAAAGACTTTACCAGGGCTTGCCCCAGAGCTGGGGAATGCGCTTTTGCCAAACGCGGGTGCCGCGCCACTGGTTGATCCCGTCGCCCAAGGGGAGACCTTGGCCCCCATACCGAAGCCGGATGATTGACCGAAGGCGGGAGCTGCTGGCTTACTCCCGAAAGAAGATGCGCCAAAAGCGGGGGCACCGGGCGCCGCCGCGGCTGGTTTACTACCGAAGGAACTGGAACCAAATGCTGGGGTTGTAGACGCAGCTCCGCCTGCCGACCAGGAAGATGCCTTGGTCCCTAGAGTAGATGTACCCCCGAAAGCGGACGCAGCAGTGGACGGTGTTCCAAAGGCCGTAGTTTTGCTAGCAGGGGAAGCAAATGCCGAGGGAACAGCAGCCGCTGGCGCTGGCGCCGCGAGAGTTGGAGCAGCGGTATCACCACCGCCGATCCCAGGGTACATCGTCCCTCCACGGATGGACTCGTTGTAAACGAGCCACCATGCTGCTAGGACACCTTCGTTGTTGAGCACCCACAGACCCGGGAGCGGGCCAGGAGAGAGCTCGATTTCTTCGTCAGTTGGAATCGGCTTGTATACCTTGTCCTTGCCTGATAGGTCAAGCGCAGCTCCGACCGGGTATGTTTCGGTCATGTCCTCACTCATGGGCACTTGCGCGCGCCTAGAATCGTCCGCAAGTTCTGTCGTCGTGAAAACATTGGTGATCGCATCAGCGGGTTTATCGGTCGTCAAGGGACTCTTGGATCGTGACAGAATGCCGACCCCTTCAGTGGCGGTCGAGGTCACGAGAAGAAGGTCCTGGAGATTCGGAGGGAAGTCCCTCAGCCTTAGGACGGTGTGGTGAGGAGCCTTGTCTGACACAAAGGGCTCGACAGGGTCGGTGAGCTTTTGAAAGGTGAATGTAGGGGTTCCGCCCGGGGGTTGTTGCCGGGTGATGAGGTGAAAAACGGACGAATCTTGACCATTGGTTGGGTTATGAACGACGAGGAAAACATGATTCTCGAGCCATGTAACCGAAGCAACTACTCATGTTAGTATGGGAATGAGGTATCAAGGGAAACCCAAGACGTACCATGATAGTCGTCCAAGCCTGGCGGCTTTGGGATATGGGCCTTCTCAACACCGTCAGGAGTCATTTGTGAGATGGATCCATCCGCCATGCCAGCAACCAATTGCTTGCCCTTGGTGCTCCATGCCGTACAACTGACTTGTGAGCGCAAGGTTGGCCCGCTCGATCCCGAAACCAGCTTGCGCTCGGCCAAGTTCGCCATAAAAAGGTTCCCATTGTTTGTGACGGTCGCGCAAAGCCCAGCCGACTCGGGCATTGGGTTGGGGACTAGAGCCCGGAGAGTCTCCTGGTTGGTGCTGAGCTCGAAAGAGGGTTGTGTGCCGCCCTGGGTGAGCGCCTGAATGTCGTACACTGCTAGGCCGCCGCCCTGCTCGGCGGAGAGAATTAAGTATTTTTCGTCGGCGGTGAAGGCAAGCTGAGAGATCCGAATCGGAAACGGCACCTTAGCCTGGGGGTTGAACGGTCGCACTTCACTGTCGCCACTCTTCTCGTCCTCGAAGGCTTTCCGTACCGACTCGGTAGTGGCGATATGAATAGCATCGGGCCCCGCGGCAGCGACCAGGCCTTTGCGCGAGGCGATGCTCATGAGCGACGCTGTGGGCGCAGGTGGAGGGGACCATTTCGAGGTCAGCTGGACTTTGGCATCGGCGGAAATAGAAAGAAATCCGAGGCCCTAAGAATGGTAGCGTTAGCCAACAAAACATCTATCACAACGGCGAATGGAGCCTGTAATCACCTCTGTTTGGATCACTTCAAGGTCCTTTCCCTGTGACACTCCTCCCACCCCACCGGCGGAAGCACCCATCATGGCGTTACTAGCGCCTCCGAAGCCGAAGGCCATGGTTGATTATTATTGCCTCTTTCTGGCGAGAGGTCGTGGCCGTTAAAATTTGCGTCTAATCATTGGCGGGTGGTGTGGTTATCGTGAGTCGGAATGCAGGCTTTCGGCAGCCGGCGCGAGTTCGTTGCCAGCTGAAAAGTAAACAGTGGCTGGGTTAATGCACCTGTGCAAAAGAATGTTGGGCGATACGGTCGTATCGAGAATGGTACGGGTCGGGATGTAAATGCGCGATCGTGGGAAGTTGTCAATTAAGCAAAGCAGATGCTCGATCGTTGTGCGGTGGTTGGGCGACTCCCTCTTCGAGATGGCCGTTCGAGAGCTCGAAGCAGACGCGACCCAGATTTTTCTGCCTGCCCGTTGCTTGCAGCGAATGGATCCCTGAATCTTGAATTGCTGCCCGTTTTGGCTAGCTCTTAATTAACTATCACGTGTGGAGAAGCTTGGGCCATTTTCATCCTGCCTTGAGCCTTGACCACTTGAGCTTGGTGGGTTTCGCTTGCAGTGGAGTCAGGCAGCATCCCCTTGGCGCGTCAACGGGAGCTCAACCGCCCGCCCTGTGCCTCGCCTGTCGTTCAGTGGGAAGGCAGCGTTAGCCTCGTCATCAGCTCCCACCAACCACCATCAACAACCCACCACAACCCCCCATCCCGCCAACGAGGTCCCCTCCCGCGGTGAATAGAAAACACACACCAACCCCGATCACACTCACTACCGCCGACAAAGTAATTCAGCTGTCCGACCTCGAGGCAGCACGATCGCCAATATGCCTGGCTTCGACTTCTCAAACTACAACCGCAATGCGGCACTACACGCCCGGGGAGTGCCGCTGCCCAAGGCGACCAGCACAGGAACGACTATTGTCGGGTGCATATACGACGGTGGTGTGGTGGTGAGTTGACGTTCCATTTCATCCCAGGTTGCGAACGGAGGAACCCCCCATCTAACCCCGCCTCCACCCTGCCAGATCGCTGCCGACACAAGAGCCACCTCGGGCCCCATCGTCGCCGACAAGAACTGCGAGAAGCTGCACTACATCGCGCCCAACATCTGGTGCGCGGGCGCGGGCACGGCCGCCGACACCGAGTTCACAACCGCACTGATCAGCTCGCAGCTGGAGCTGCACTCCCTCTCGACCGGCCGCAAGGCCCGCGTGGTGACGTGCATGACGATGCTCAAGCAGCACCTGTTCCGCTACCAAGGCCACATCGGGGCCTACCTAGTCGTGGCGGGCGTGGACCCGACGGGCACGCACCTCTTCACGGTGCACGCGCACGGGTCGACCGACAAGCTGCCGTACGTGACGATGGGCTCGGGCTCGCTCGCGGCCATGTCGGTGTTCGAGACGCAGTGGAAGGCGTCGCTCACGCAGGACGAGGCGGTCAAGCTGTGCGCGGACGCGATCGAGGCGGGCATCTGGAACGACCTGGGGTCCGGCAGCAACGTGGACGTGGCCATCATCACGGGCGAGAAGACGACGCTGCGGCGCAACTACATCAAGCCCAACGAGCGCACCCAGAAGCTCAAGAGCTACGCCTTTCCCAAGGGCACCACCGCCGTGCTCAACGAGAAGATCATTCACAAGGCGGACCTGAGCAAGTTTGTCAGCGTGCACGAGCTGACCGAGGAGGGCGGCGACAAGATGGAGGTGGACACCTAGGTGGTGGTCTAGCCCTGGTATGCTTGAGAGAACGGGGGGAGGGGGTTCGGCAAACGGTCCGGGTGGCTAGATATGTTGCTGTACAAATAGCGGGATCGTGATGCCGCGGGTTAATGCACAACCCGAAATGATTTGCCCCCATCTAACTATTAGTGACGGCGATTGTCTCTATTGCTCCCATTGCTCCCAGTGAGTTCGAGCTTAATCTCGGCTTGCCAACACCACTACATCAACGCAAAGATGGATGCCCGCTCGGCCATACGCCAATTTCTGCATGTCCACGAGGATAAAAATGTACCGTTCCAGCCCACGCTGGGCTGGTATAAATATGGATATCTACAAAGAACTTTTGTCCGCCCCAAACGAACTCCTGTCCAGGCCCGGATTGATACGCTAACTCTCGTCTGTACAACAGCGGGAAGCCACCCATCCAGCCGCATCTCTCCAAAACCCCAAGTTGGGTATGTGTACAAGTCCAGGTACAGTTTTCCCCTTTCGCCCCAACCCTCTGATGAATATGTGCTTTAGAAACGAACCAAAAAGATTGAACGAAGAGGTAAACCACCGCAACTGTTCCGCCTGCGCAAGGCTTGAAGTGTATCAAGAAAGGAAACCCGTCAATAGTCCAGTGATAATCATCGCTTCCAGGCATTACAAATGCCCCTCTGGGAAACCAACTCCCAGAAACTCCGGAGAAACAAAAGGGGTATGTAATATCATGCCGATGCATATGTGTCATAATCGTCCAGACGTTGTGTTGTAGGCGCAAAATAACGCGAGGGTGTGTTCTGCCTCGTGTGTTAATCCTTTTTCCGGCTGAATAAGCTCTTCCTCGACCTCGACTTGGACCGGGACTGTTTGTCCTTGTCGTCGTCGTATTTGGATTTGTGGATCCTGGGTACTTGTTAGCGTCCAAAGTACGATGGATGAAAGCTAGAGATGGGTGGCTTACCAGCTGTTGCCAACCATGCTCATCCCCTTGGACTCGGCCTCACGATAGAACTTGGCGCTCTTCTTGAGATCTTTCTTGCAGCCGATACCCTGAGCATAGCAGAAGCCTGCTTCGGCAAGCGCATCAACGTCACCCCAAGCTGGAGACGTCAGTTTAGATCAAGCCGGCTCTTGGTGCATGTGACTTACACGCAGCGATCTCGAAGCAACGCAGTGCAAGAATCTTGTCTTGCTCGATACCCCACCCGTTCATATGGCTCACACCTAGCTCATAAATGCTGAGCGCAAACTGCGCATTGCGCGTCTTGCGTTCCGCGACGTCAACCGCCTTGCCGTTCTTGGCTTGGCCTTCTTCGTCGTTCATCTCTAGAGTGACAGCATCTGCGGCTTTGCGAAGCCATTCAACACCTTCCCGCGGGTTCGGGCGCATCCCCCAGCCGTGTCGGCACGCGAGGGCATACAAAAGCATGCCAGTGGGGTGCCCTTGCTTTGCAGCATGTCGCAAATGCCAAGTTGACTCTTGCACAGCGCCGCTCTCGTGAAGGGCAATTGACTTGCTCACATGTTCCTCTGCCGTTAAATCTGACATGGTGGGAACGACAGAGTGCACAGACTTGCCGGCCTTGATAGTGCTAGCCGAGTCGCTGGTTGAAGTAGACGCCAGGGACTTCCCGGCTGCAGCGTCATTCAAGTGGGAAACTAGGCTCCGCCCTCGTTGTTCCTCCTCTGAGCCGGGAGCGCTCTCCGTCGATGGTCTACTGGGATTCGGAGAAGGTTGCCCGGCTGGCCGCATCATGTCGGTGCTCAGCTTACTCCGTTCTTGTGACGGCCGGGCGGCATCAAACGGGCGGTTCCCCGAGGAGCTAGACGGCCGAGTGGGAGGAGACGGCGGGAGTTGCCCGATCCCGGGAAAGTTGGGGGGGTTGCTCGTGGGCGATACAGGCTGGTCCAACGAAGGCCGCGCGGGCGGGTCATTGAGAAGGATAACAGACGCTCTCTTTAGTGCTTTGCCCCGCGGTAATGCAAATTTGGAGTAAATGTAAGACGGCGCGCCCGCACCATCGTCGTCGACAGCGGTTTCCCGCGAGGTTTCGCTGGTCAAACTGATAGGGGTGGCGGCATCGTCGGTAGGAAAAAAGGAACCCTGGCTGTCGGATGACGCTTGACGTGCTGGTGGATCGAAACTCGGCGTCCCTGCTCTGCTTAGAGGCCTGGAAAAGTTGAACTGCGGCCGAGGAAGCCCAGAAGCATCCGACGCAACTGAAGGTGAACGTTGATATGGGGGGTAGGCGGGAGAGAGAACGCTGCTGCTGGATGAGAACTTGCGTGAGCCCAGAGAATGAACTGATGTGCTCAGATTGCTAATGCCTTCTTCGTCGGTTGATTCGAGGGGCGATGACATCAGGCTAGAGGATCGCTTGGTGAACATTGGCCTGGGAGGTACAAGGCCCGCAGCATCGAACGGGTTTCTGGAGATTCGCTCGGGCGAGCTGGTTATAGACGCGCTGGGCACGGGTGATTGGTGAGGTAAACCATCTTGGTTCGCCGATCTCCCGTCCGTCTGCGTCCTAGAAAGCGCGGCCCCCATGGGTGATGGCGACCGTTCTCTGCGCGCCCCGATGCCGAACAGGCCTTCGTCCGTAGCCGCATCACTCGGCTGCCTTGGCTTTACGGGCCCCACGTTCTTTGGCACGGCTGGTACCGGGATGGACTCGTCAGGAGTAGGTGGGACGTGGCTCAAGCGCGGGTGCATCGACCGAGGTCGGTCGGCATGCTCTCCCTCTATCTCGGTCTTCAAACCGAGCCCGACGTTTTGGAGTGGCGGGTGTTCGTCCTCGGATGCGGAATCATGCGATAGGGAACGGAAGTATTCCGATCTGCCCTGGACGATCAAAGGGCTCTCGACAGTCAGCGGGGGCAGTCGGCTCATACGCCGTCCCAGCTTCGCGCTATCCTCTAATTGCTTGGCTAGCAGCCGGCTCTGCTGTGCAAAGGCATCAAGGGGGGAAAGCTCGGGGGGTGCTTCGCCGGCAACATGCATGCGGGGCGATCGCAAGGGTCGCGAAACCGACATTTGCGACTTTGACCGGAGGTCGATAAAATCCGGCCGTTGTTGCGACATGGCGAGGTTCGGTATCGGATCACGAGAGCTGGAAGGCTCGCGAGCCGCCGTGAATCGGGATTCGGGAGTCGGCGTGTTTATGAAGGTGGCGCTGTAAAGGGCACCCTAACGCTAGCGAAGAGACGCCAGGGGCAGCTGTAGCGGCGACAGCGTCAACGGGAGTTGAAGGTAAACGGGCGGCCGCGCATGGAAATATGAGGTCAACTCAGACCGCAACCAGTAGTTAACAGAGATGCGGTGGTGTGCAACTCCAACCATACGAATTAACCGAGTTGGGTCAAGCGTGCTTAACCGACGGCGGTCAAGTTGATGAGTTGTTCTTTGCGGAATTATCGAAAGGCAAGGCGTCTTCCGAGTAAATGGTGGAATCAAAAGTCCTGGACTCGTCGAAACGTTGTCGGGTTTTTGGAGGGGCTGTCAACGAGGGTGGCCGGTTTCAAGGTCGAAGCCGGATTTGTTGCTGGGGTGAGCAGTGCATCAGAGACAATAATTGCGGAGCGATCTTTATGTCGGCAATGGGCTACTTTTAGCCACGAAGACCCGCAACCAGGACGCGGCGCACAACGAGTGGACGAGCAGATTGTGGAATTGATTTGAGCGAATGTCGACGACGACAAGAACGAAGGTGGTTGTTTCTGCGCAAAACACGGGAGACGAGGACATGCAAAAGCGAACAGGAAATCGGAGGAGAGTCACATTTGGCCGAGGAGGAAGGGGAGAAACAGGGGCACACGGGGAAGTGGGTAAGCATGGCCAGACAGGGGCAAGGGGCTTTCACCCACAAGAACTCCCATGTCCTAGGCCTGAAACGGCAAAGCTAACGCAGGTAATGTTCCATAAATGCTTGATGCTAGCTCAGAAAGGATTAGCGTCTCCGCACCGTTCCTGGCGGAAACGGGCGCTGCTGTGGAATTCCAGCCACACCTCGCCGCGAAAGATGGGGTGCAGGACGGGACCCCTTTTTCCGCAACGTTTTTTTTTTCAACGGACCGGCCTGCAAAGTTGGCGCAATTGTTTAAGCCCTTTGTTGGTGGTGGCCCACTTACCTAGACTTTCGACAACTTGACGCAAGACGGTGTCGGCTACAAGCTGCAGCCCATGCTGTGGCAGGGCTGGGACGACAAACACGACGTCATCTTTTAGCCCGCATGGCCCTACAGCCGGACCCGTTCGCACCACTGAAACTGCAAACGGATCCGAGTTTCAAGGTTCAATCAACCTCGCGTATTTACTACAACTACGAACATAGACAACACTAACAACACCGTCCTCGGTAAATCGCGATTTCGTTATGAACATGAATGTTAGCTAGTTATCCGTAGTTATTTATAACAAAATCACAGATCGCCGGCACTTGTCGGTCCCCGCTCGAAATCGAAGCTTCAAGCCCGGCAATCCCAAGAAGTCCAGACATTCTTAGGCCGTGGAATTCACTAGTTTTGCCGATCACCTGTTGCTCCAGGGCCGTTGGGACCTTTGCGCAATGGTCTTTGATGAGGGCATGAACTCGATGTGTTATTAGCTTCCGTCAAGAAACGGGAGATCGTCTGAACAAGAATTTGCAAATGCTGGGCATCGGATCCTGCAAAATTACTCTGCCCTCGGAAGAAGAAGTTGGGATGAGACCTCGGGCCAATAAGAAAACAAGACCCCCAAGAACCCCCGAACGCCATCCCGATCTCAGCTCCCCGACAGACAACAGCAACTGGTGGGTGACCTGTCAACTGTGTACGACTCGACATGCCGAGTTCATCATCTTGGACGGCAGCTTACCCATCTCAGCCCGTCAGCGGTTGGCGCGAATCGGAAGCGAACAGACGGCGACAGGGTTCTCCACGATCGCTGAGAGCGGAGCTGAGCAGACCTGACCTGCATGTGCAGGTCATTTGGTGGCTGAAAGTTAGATTGCACCATTCAGCCAATTGCTTTTGTCGAAACAAACCCTCCTGGGAAGAAAGACGGGACCTTCCCTGACGCTTCGAAATGGATCGTCTCTTTCCAACGCTTTCGCTGGGACGAAGGAGGAAGGAGAACAAGTGGTCAGTTCCCTGAGTGGAACTCTTCGATCTTCAGGGTCCAGACCGTTGATTGAGTGGCCACATGACCAGCAGTGCTTGACATTTAATTTAAACTATCGACTGGTAATGTCGCATTACGATGTCGAGAGCCTCATGCCATTGCCGAGCATTGCTGCCCTATTGGCTTTATTTCGGAGAACAAACCCGTAGCCGAGGGGCTTGCTCTGAACAACGAGCGTTGAGTTAGCATATTGTCCTGGTTTCGGAGTCTCGAATGGTAGGCACGCAAGCAAGATGGGCCACGGTATCCGACACACGAACAGGGCTAAGCTAATAAAGGCTCGAAATATTTTATGCCTAACCGTAACTCCTCTCCCCAATGCAGTCTAAGAAACTTGTGTACTAGCCAAAAGCGGCTTCAAACCCGCCAGCCACCAACAACACCAGCACAAACGCAGTCACGGTATATAACAACTACATCCCCACTACATTCCGTTCCCCTCTAAAGATCCTTGGACCTCATCTTCTTGAGCCGCACGCCACCCTCGAACAGAGCACGGTCAATGGCTGCCGCCACGGTGAGGGTACCACCGACAATCGCGCACAAACCAGCGATGAAACCCAGGAAAGACTTGGCCTTCTCCTCCCTGTTGATGACTTTCATGGGGGAGATATCCTAGACATCACCAGTCAGCGATCATCATCATCACGCATTTGCGTCGCCAACAGAGCAGCCAAACTTACATAAGAGAAGAAAACTCCCGGAATACCGCCCCGCGCGTGCAGCCGCTCCTGGTGGCCCTCGGCCGAGTCGTCGCCGCCGGCCAAGCTCCGCTTGTGGCTGGTGACCGAGTACTGGTGAGTCTCAACGCTGCCGTCAGCCGAGGCGCCAAACGAGCCGAGCTCGGCGTGGTGCTCCTCGCGGAAACCAGCCCACGTCTTTCTCCCAGCCCAGCGGCAAGTACGATGTGGGCACGATCTTGAAGAAGTACATGTAGTTGTAGTTGACGTCGTCCCGTCTCCTGGTGGGGTGTCGTCGAGTGGGTTGAAGGTGGTGGATCGTCCACGCATGTTCTTCCTGGCATCGAGCTTCTTGTGCAGGTTATCGGGAAGCTGCGGGCCGAAGCGCAGGTGGTGGATTTGGTGGGAGAAGGTGTGCTTCGTGGGCGTGTCCCAGTAGTTCTTGAGGTCGTGGACGTGCATGTTGCCGTTGCTGAAGCTGCGGCCCGGGGCGATGTGGAAGTTGCCAATAACTTTGTTCACGCGCAGCCCGCCCTCGATCCGGCAGCCCTCATTGCGCTGCTCGTCTAACTTCTCGCTGTAGTGCTCGCGCTCGCACTGCTCGATGCCCTCGCCCCTGCCGAAGGCCCAAGCGGCTTGCGCGTAAGCGTCCTTCACTTCCTCGCAGGTGTTGCAGCATCCAGGCTTCTTCGCATTGGGCGGGGGCTGTGCGCCGTAGCAAGGACCGCAGTAGCTTGGGTCGAGGTGGGTAGCAACCTCGTCCCGGGCGTGCCTTTTCTACATGTCAGCTGTCCGTTGGGGGGTCAGGGCAGGCGCAGCGGCTCGGCTTACAGAGCAACCGCCTTGGTGTCGATATCGCCGCCGCCCTCGCTTTGTGGGCGCAGTCTTGTCTTTGTCACACCGTGTTGAACGCCGTGCTGCTGCTCGCCAGAAATGTCCATCACGTCGAGCGTGAGGAGCTCGCAGGGAATCCGGGGGAACGTTATGTTGAGATGGATCTCCATGCGCTCGCCTTGTAAACCCCAAAAGTCAGCCTCCTGTATTGCCGATATGTCTGAGGTGCGCCATACCTCTGCCCTTATCCACAATCAACTCTGGATGCACCTCTACCCTACGGTAGTCGGACCACTCCCCCCAGGCGAGGAAGAACACCACGACAAGCGACACGATGGTGACGATGCCACCGGAGGTGGTCCTAATGCGCGCATCTTCGACCGTCTTCGTAAAGGCGTCTAGCCTCGTGAACCTCGACTTTGGCGGCATCCTGTCTCTCGCGCGCCTTGTCGCAAGCGCTTCGGCCGGGACTCGTTCTCAGAAGGTTCCACGCTGCGGGGGTTCGGTTTTAGCAGGGTGCAAGGCGTAGAAATCACACAGGAATAAAGCGGCAAAAAATTGAATCAAAAAGAAATAAAGAGCGGCATTAATTGGGTTGGCATTGAAGAAAGCGCCGTCGACAGTAAGCCTTCCTCGAAACTTCCCCACGGTCTCATCAGCTCCAACAGCTACCAACTAAAAGTTAAGGCCACCTTACACAGTACAGTCCGCCGCCACAGCTGATCATGCGTAAGCCAATCGGCGATTGGGCGATGCAGCCATGTGGCTGTCCCTGCGTGCGGCGGGGCAATTTCAGGGTCCCAAACGCTGCTTGGCTCCACTGTCCTGGGGTCGACGAGCTATTCTTGGTTTCACGTTCTTGGCTTCGATGTTGCCAACGACCGAAACAGCAGGGCCCTGCTAAGTCGTCTGATGTGTGAAGAGTCGGAAAAAAAAAATCAAAAAGTTTGTTTGCGACGGGGGTTTCTGTATGGATATGATCCCAGCTATCCGGTTCCGTAAGCGACAAGCCGAGTGGCGTTATCTAACAATTGTCTCCCTTGCGTGTTAAGTATTGTGCTGGAGACTCGCCCTCGGGCTTTATCCCAGTTGCGGACAACTACTAACCTCAGCTATAAAAAGGGGTTATGGCTAGTTCTGACAAGAGGGTGCTCTACTTAAGATGGAGGTTTGACATGGTTTCCCACCCCTCGTACTTCGTAATCCCTCCTCGAATCACTTTGTTATTTCGCCTTCCTGTTCGGGGTCGGCGAGAGTGACTCACGCCGTCCCTTCTTCCTACACCAATCCAACGATTTGATATTATCAGGGGACTCCCAACTGTTCCTCCCATTCCCTGCCCTACTTCCCCAAACAACACAGAGAGAGCACCAACCCGTCAACCACGACGGTCCATCCTCACGCACGATGTCCCAGACCGAAGCAAACCCGCCCCAGGCGGCGGCAGCGGCGGCATCATCAGCCCCCTTCCCCCCGCCCACCATCCTCACACTCAGCAAATGCACGCTCCGCAACCTCCACCCAGCCGACGCGGCCGCGATCCAAGCCGCCTGCGACTCGCCCGCCATGGCCAAGTACATGTCGTACCGGTTCAAGTCGCCCTACACGATGGAGGACGCGCACAACTGGATCGCCTTCGCCAGCGCCTTCAAGGCGCCGGGTTCCGACGTGGTACCCTCGCTGGCCATCTGCGACCCCGTCACCAACGTGCCGATCGGCGGGATCGGGATCAAGGTCAAGACCGATGTCGAGGAATTTTGCTTCGAGGTCGGGTACTGGACTGAGGAGAAGGTCTGGGGCAAGGGGATTATGACCGAGGCGTTGCGGGCGTATTCGAAGTGGGTGTTTGAGATGTATCCGAAGGCGAACCGGCTGGAGGGGATCGTGTTTGAGGGCAATGGTGGGAGTGCTAAGGTGCTGGAGAGGGCTGGGTATGTGTATGAAGGGACGAGAAGGAAGGCGGGGACTAAAAATGGGTGGGTGTTTGATATTGCGACGTACGGTTTGTTGAGAGAGGAGTGTAATTGGTGATCTGTCAAAGGATGGCAGGTAAGGCGTAGCAGATGGAAATCTATCCCATGGTTATTTGAACTAAATGTGAATATGTTTGGGTTATATGTTATTATTCTTTTTTAAACCAAACCACTTGGTGAGACTCTGACGCAATGCCGAATACCCCCTTTAAGCAACACCACGGCAAGCCAGCCACTTCAGCTCCTAAGCCTTCAGTCGCGCACTGCGGGCAAGATCGTCCTGGGCATCCTTCACAAGGAAACTAAATGAGCGGTTAGCAAAGTCCCCTCAAAGCCCAGTCAACAAACACTTACTGATAAAACAGCACCGCTGGCGGGATCGTCCCCAGATGCCACAGGCTGTGCGCATCTACACTGTCCCACAACGGCGGGAAATCAAACAGCTCCATGCTCATCGCCGCCACCACCCACATCACCACCAACCCCGGCCACAGCGCCCACGTCTTGCCCGTCTGCCGATACCTCATCCAGCTAAACCAACTCCACAACAAGTTCTGCACCACCCCACACACCACACACGCCAGCGTGTTATACGTGTAATCCCACCGCCACAACCCAAGATACGCGACATGGCACGCGTACAGCACCGCACAAAGCGCCGTCCACCCCCTCAACCCGCGCACATTGCCCGGACGATCCAACCGCCAAATCCGCACCGCCGCATAATACATACCATACAACACCGACGCCCCCGCGGCAAAATAATCCAACCTCTCGGTAACCCTAAAATCCCTCGTATGAAACACGGCACTCAACAACCACGTCACCATGCCCAGCCGCGCCAGGAACACATAAAACGGCCTCATCGAGTACACCGCGGGGATGCGCGGCAGCACCTGCCGGTGCAGGCCGTAGTAGTGCGCGGCCAGGTTGCCCAGCGAGAACACCACGCTCAGCGGCTCCTGCATGCCCAGCACGCGGCGGAACGGCCACTTGCCGTGGAACTGGACGACGGGGAGGGATGGGGTCGTGCCGGTTTGCCGCGTGGTGGTGATTATTTGCTGGCAGGTGTAGTCGCATTCGGCGGGGCAGGTCCAGAGGAGGAGGCGTCGGTGGAGGGCTGGAGGGTGGTGGTTAGTTATGGTGGTGTGTGGGTACGTTGGGGGGGGTGGCCGGCGTACGGATGGAGGTTTGGTGTGATGCGTCGGGGCCGCAGTTTTCGTGTTTGCATATCTGTTGAGTGGAAGGCGGATTAGTTAGTGAGAGTATTGGTGTTGTGGCAAGCTACTATGCGGCGGCGCATTGGGCTATGGTTTGTGATATTGGGGAGCTTGTGATTAGGGGAGACGAACCTCGACACATTCTCTAAACTCGGGCAGCTGGTCGCCAATTGATGCTGCCACCGGGCGGGCGAGGAAAAGAAAGGCTACAAATAATAGCGACCCTAAGGGGAAACCCCTGCGCAACCCCCGTGGGACCATCATTTTGGTGATAGCATAAGGTGGTGTTGGTAGGATTTTCGGAGCTGGCGGAGAGAAGTTGGGAGACGCGACCTCGGGGCGCCAAGTCGCGATGCCAATTAAGCTGCCGGCCCCACATGGAAGGGGAGGGATCTTGTAAGGCACGACATCCAAATCCTAGCCGGACCCAGACCAGAACAACCGACAGCATTCTTATAAAATAGCTCTTCGGGCAACATTGTGACGAACACCGAGCAGAGCAAAGCGCAGCATCTTGTCACTAAACGAGATTCAGTTCTATAGGTAGCAACTACATAGAGCAGCCGAGTAGCTGAATCGCCAATATACATTTCATAAAGTCCCATCACCCGTATCGAACTGCGTCACCGCATCAACATTCATCATCGCCCCCAAGGAGGACAGTCGTTTTATCTTCAGGCCCAACTCCCATCTATGCAGAGCCGCCAAAATCGCCAAGTTAAGTTATACGCCGCCTCGTAGCGAGACATGCGATGAGAGAAAAGAATATGCCCCGTATAAAAAGAAGGGAAGTGGGGAGAGCTGGAACTCCAAGGGTCGTTTCGTCCGTTCCCATCGTTTCGTATCAGTCGTAATTTTTCATGAAGCCGTCCATGATGAACTTGTTGAGATGAAAGAAGAAAAAGAGAGAAAGAGAGCGAGTGGTAAGACAAAGGAAAACAACTCTCCAAGACATCTCCGCCAACGGCCCACCGAGTGGGTATATGAAGAAGGAAAACAGAGAATAAGCAGACGCCCACCGCGATATGAACAAGCTCCAAAACGATAAATGTTCAATCCAACTAGCGGGGTATTTCCATCCATCCACACATCGTAAATTCATACCATCAGTCCAAAAACCTCCTTGACGTACGTGGTATCGTTTAAACGTCATCGTAATAATCGTAGACGCCATGCCGCAAATCCAGAAAATGCGCTCCCATTAGGAAATACGCAAAGCAGCAGAACATGTACAGTGAAGCGAATGGCACCGCCAGGAGTTGATATGGGGTGAGGGTGAGGGGGTGGGGGTTAAAGTTTCGTGAAGCCATGGTGTTTAAAAGGGGGACTCGGAGCGGTGGGTCGTATCCCGCTGCCGGAGTTCCTTGAGGCGGTGGTCGATGTAAGCGAGGCGGTCGGCGAGACTGTTGCGCGCGGGTGCAGGGTTGGAGTCGGTTGAAAACTGCTGGATTGTCGCGAACGGCCGGCCGAGGACGCCGAGATCAATGCTGCCGCCCTGGTGTGCGCGGTGCATTCGGTGAGGGAAGCTGAAGCTGGAGCCTTCCCCTGTGAACGGGGAGCCGAGCCGGGGTGGGGGTAGTGGCAGCGCCGACTCGTCGAGCTGCGTGCCGACGTTCGGCATGCTGGTTGAGGAACTGAGCGTCGGTAACGACGGGATTTTGGGGATAAAAAAAGCGTCGTTGCGGTTCGGTTCCGTATTTTCTTGAGCGGGAGCCGGGTTCGTTGTGGCGGTCGCAGCAGCAGCAGCAGCAGCGCGAAAGCCCGGTTCGAGCCAGAGGTCAGAACCGATGCTGGGGCGCTTGCGCGGAATGCCGGATTGTGTATGCCGCCGCTTTTGGGTCCCCGATCTACTGAGACGGACGGGCGACTGGAGCGTTCGCCTTGCGCCAACGGTCTGTGACTGTCGACGAGGCATGGGGCCAGGCAGGCCGAGGACGGCTGCGAGGGAGCCAGAAGAGCTGGGCCCATAACTGCTGGCGCCGAAGGGAGATCCCAACCGGTGCCGTTCCGCGAAGGAGGGTTCGCCTTCAAAAGTGCCAAGAGTTTGGTCTGCGAGGAGTGGCGAGCGGCTTGGGGCTTCAGGTTCCGGATTTGAAGCTGACAGTTGCGCCAGAGGGCCATTGGGCTGCATACTTTCCGACGTGCTCAAGGCAAGCGAGAGAGACATATCCTGCGTCGCGAACGCAGCCGGTGAGCGGGCCGGTGTGGAGCGGCGGTTCCAGTGACGGGCAGCAGCCTGCGTGAAAGGTGTATGGTTTCGCGAGGCAAATTTGTGATTGTTGGCTCGAGAGCCGGCCTTCAACTTGCACAAATCTCGCAGATGCGCGCGGGTAGCGGCACATGTATGGGGCCACTGAATGAACGTGCCCGAGACGTCCGCAGTCGGAGTGGCGCTCCCGCTCTTCCTACCCTCGCCAGAGCCAGTCGCTTTGGACAGGGCCTTGGAACCCTTCCAGCTCCTCTTTGCCTCTCGCGCAACACGGACACAGACGCCATGCGGTGGGATGCAGTTCTTGCCCATGCGAAACGGGGTGACTTTAGGATCCTGGAGGTACAACATGAAAGTTGACCAGAGGTGGTCGCTCATCGCTTTCGTCCAAGGGGCTTTCCTCGCCTTTCCTCGGAGGTTTGCAGGGCCACAGGATGGCGCATCATCGTGGAGGGTAGCAAGGTAGTTGTCCTTCTCCTTGCTCTCGTCTCCAAAGTTGTCGTAATGGTAGTCATCTGAAGCAAGCGAGAAGCGGCTGAACAGCGATGCGCTAGTTTGTGTTGACCTTGATGTTGAGGGTCTGCTAGACTCATAGTCAGGCTCTGGTGTCGACTCCACGCTGCTGATGGAATCAATCGTCCAATTGGGATACAGAGAGGCCGGCAGCGAGGTTTCGAGTTCGGGCGCCGGTGTCTTCGGCGCAGGCAATCCCCGACCCTGGGGCCTTAGGAACTGCATATCCCCTTCATCATGGTCGCGATCGAATTCCGGAAAGGGGCAAGGCGCATTCATGTCGTAGTCGTCAGGCGCGATCTCGGGTTCCTCGATGCTCGGTATTGGGACATCAGCGGCAGCGACAGAGGCGAGAAAGTGCTGTGTTGGCGCCGTGAGTTGAGAGACGACGCGCCGCCTCAATTTCAGGCGCGGCCTCGGGGCCGAAGGTATCTGGACGTCATCCATTTGGGGGAACGGTTCCGGCGTCCTGGGCGCTTCGTAGTCGGGGCACTTGAAACCCCGCGGAAGGGTTGCGGGTCCGGAATGTAGATTCATCTTGTCTCGAGATTGGAATGTCGAGGTATCATGAAGGGGTCGAAATGTGCTATTCCGAGAGTGCCTCTAAGTCAACACGCGAAAAATGCTCATGCGCAAAAGTAAAATGCGCGATGGAAGCCGTGTTGAAAGTGCGCCGACAGATGTGCGGAGGGCCGCCGGATTAGCGCGGGCGCGTCGGTCTAAAACGGATGGCTGGGGTCGGCGGACTGGGTTCTTGTCCGTCAAAGTCCAAGCGCGGCACAAGAGCTATTCGTCAAAAGGCGTCCTTCGTATATGTTATGTCGAAGTTCGAAAGTCGTCAATCGAAGAGGAAAATCGTGACCGAGAGATAGGAACTAGAGAAAACCAATAAAAAAAAAAAGAGATAATGAAATTACGTGTCGAGTCAGGATAACCTGGAAACGGAGGGGATGGTGAGCGCAGCGCTTTTCGGTGGTGTCTTGCTGGCCGTCGTGTCGTGATCTCATTAAAACACCGAAGACCTTGCGCCGAGCGCGACTGGTCGTCAACTGAGTCGCAAATGAATGACTGCGCTGGGGAAAAAGGGGAAGAAGCGGGATCTCCGATGATGGGGTGCCCGTTGGGGATATGTAACGACGGATGCGCTCATGCAAGAAGGGAACAGACGGGGGGTGGGCACGGGGGCGGGTTCGACAGCGCACGGCAGAGAACTCAGGTGCCCAGCAGCCCAGCAGCCCAGCCCGGGCCGGGCTCCTTTGCCCCAGTGCCCCCAAGCGCCATCCACCGAACGAGCAGCGAGCAATGGGGGGGAGGACTCTGGGAGTGGAGACGGTGCAAGGCCCCTGTGAAGAACCTTGTTGGTGCAGCTGCAGTTCGAATTCCAGGGACCCCCGTCCCCAAATCGACACACACTCGACACACCACGGCTGTTGCGTGGTGGAGCAACTGATGCTTGCTGCCGCCGCCCGATAGGCGCGGGCGCCGGGAACGTCGCAATGGGTCACTTGTTGAAGGCGCAAGCTGTCAACGGCTCGCTGATTTGTGAATTCGTGAGCCGACTGCAGCAAGCAGGGACAGCAACCGGCCAACGGTCGGGCAGGGCGATGGGCTGGTAGCAACGCGTCGAGACTCACGACAGATTTGATCCGGGTTGGTCCGTTCAAGCAATGCACGTTCCCAAAGGGGAGGGAACTAACAGTGCTCGATGCGGTCTATGCATGTACATACATACAAGTACGTTCAGACGGCTAATTCAACACTCCACGCGCACCTAGCGATGCGCTGGGACGCCGCTCACAACGAAAGACCCGAAAAGCTCAAGGAATGAACCCCTGGCTTGTGGGCGTGTGGAGTTCGACAGCGAGTAAGTGGGCTTGCGGAGCGCCGAGGCAGATGACTTGGAGTTCTCGATTCGCAAGCTTCGTGAATCCTTCTGCTGTAGCGTCGAATCCGCGCGTCGCACACAGAACGGGAAGCTCGAGCTGTGCGCTGTGATCGAATAGGTGTAGCTTGTCCGATTGAGGCGAGGAATTGAGAGGCTGGGAAGCGTTCATGACGCGCGAAGTCTCGACATGCGGGCTGCAAGCGAATGGAAACCGCGAGGGGTCGCAGTCGACGGTGCGAAGAGATACCTTAAAATTACAGTGCATTGGCAACATGGATATCTCGCCCCGACCAGGTAAATCCGCGCCTGCAAATTCACCGTTACGGAAGTTTATGCTTGTTTATTAATTGCAGTAACGGCTCCGGCATTAGGTGTGTTGCACCCGGCGAAAATATGAATGTCGGGCAACAGAACGGGAGGAGAAGAGTTCCTGTTGGGGAGGTGTGGTCGGGATGACAGGGTGTGGTGCACTGTGTGACAGACGAGGGGTTTGAGATGGAACAGGGAACGAAATAGACGCGTTTTTTCGCGTTAAGTGCGCGCGAGACGAGACGCGAAGTTTAAGTGGCTCTCATCCAATCAAGACCTCCTTCCCACGGCCATCTTCCGCACACTCATGAGGGGCCGAAATGGGAGCGAATACTTCGTATTGCACAGTAGGACATTATCATATGATCTCCCATGTTTAATGACGGCAAAGTTATCTGCCCTATCTACTCAAACACCAGGGCATTTACTCATTGCTTGAAACAATGGTCTTTAGGACGAGCGTTTTGCGACTCCTGTGTAACATGTGAGCAAGCAAGACGCGCTGCCGTCCCGGCTGTCTGTGCACTCCACTGCAGTCAACGTGGCCAGGGATGGACACCACTTGGGGTTGTATCGCGGGATCTTGTCAGGTCTGCTCACCGCTTCATCGGATAAGTCGTCAAAATCCACACCGAGGGTGAACGACCGATCGGCCCCGGCTGCGTTGAAGATTTTTGACCCAGGGGTTCCTTGGGCTGGCTTGCAGGCGTGGACAATGAATCCCACAGCGATGCTTCCCAAACCTGCAGATCCCTACAACCATCCGAGGACGTCTGCAACCGTGGCCCAAGCACGTGGGTTCCTCTGTGCAACACCCACTTGGGTACCTGGGTACTTCGTACCCCCTGAAAACCGCGGGGTGGGAGGCGAAGAGCAGTTTTCGACAAGCATCCACGCGTGCCATGATCCAGATTCCCTTTTCCCTGTTCGTATCCTCAGTATGGAGAATCGAGGACCCCGGTCTTAGACACACTCAGCCATCAACCGACGACACTGTCAAATGTGCCAAGAAATCACTTCAGACGACGAATCACTTCAGACGACCGACGAGAGGCTGAAGCCTTCCGTCGTCCTCTCGTCCATCTTGCTAGACTTGAGCTCGCTGCAGTTTGTTGGTAATCGTTTTCGCGACTCCAACATCATTGGTTCGTTTGAGCCCGAATTACCTATCGGGAGGCTCTTGTCCCCGCGCTTAAGTGGTCAAGATCCGTTAACGGGCTAACAGCCCAGCGGCTGTTGGTGCTACGACAGAGATAGAGGGCAATCAGTTCTCTGCCGCGATAGTCGCTCCCGCCTTGTCTGTTCTGGTGTCCAGTTGTAATTGCCCACGTTTGAGGAAACAGCATCTTGAAGTTGGGCTTGCCCTGCTAGTGGTTACCACCACTCGCGCAAACCCTAAAGGTGCACCTAGTGGATGTTGGGCAGACATGCCTGTTTGCATAACCCCACATCCGTCCGACGCTTCCCACTTTCCAACTTCAACTTTTGGTGCACGAGAGAACAACCCCCAGTTCCAGATTCGACCATTTCTCAGCATCAACCCGTCCTTCTTGGCTCATTTTTTTGGTTTTTGGTTTTCGAAGTCGGACACCGTCGAGATGGACGCCCTAGTTGATATCATTACGCTGGAGAACCTAGAACAGAAGTTGCCGCGATGGGACCCCTCGGGCTCCAATCATCTTTACGCTTTGGTCGATATGGGAAGGTAAGCTCAAGCTCGACACCCCCCTAACCCCCTGCACCATGGCCATGGGTCATGTTAGCCGTGCCATACTGCGTACAGAATAATCCCACCACTCTAACAGATCTCATCAAGCAACGGCATCCGCTTCTCCGTCTTGGATCTCTCCCCTCCGCGGACACGGCTCCTGAAAACCGTTTACAGGGAGCGGGCCGCCATCTCGCTGTTTGATGCGTTGAATGGGCCATCATTAACTTTCCCCGACGAGACGATCAAGCTGGTCTCGCGGACTCTGGCACGTTTTAGATCCATCGCTATCGACGACTACGGCGTCCCTCCAAACCAGTTGAGGGTTTTCGCAACAGAGGCGATGCGTCGGGCCCAAAACGCCACGGCTATGCTTGAGTCCATACGGGAAGCGTCCCCAGATCTGTCCGTGTACATCCTCGCGCCTCCAGTCGAGACCCTTTTTGGCTCAGTGGGGGCCCGCTCGGGCTTCGTCGATGTGAAGGGTTTGTTCCTCGATCTCGGCGGAGGAAGTGTCCAGATGACGTACTTAGACTCCTATGCCGCGAAATCCGGTCCCCGAGAAGATAACGTTGGACCCGAGGTGGCCGCCGCGCTCGCTGGGCAAAGTCTTCCTTTTGGGGCTGCCCGCCTGATCAAGGTGCTGGACAACGGCGACGCTGCCACCCAAGCGTCCGAAATATCAAGTCTTCGCGCGGGCATGAGCAAGGCGTTCCGGACATTGTGCACTAAGTTCCCATCTCTTGCCGCCGATGCCACCGAAGCCCATCAGAGCGAGTCTCAAACGGAAGCTGCAGCCACGCCAGGGATCGACGTCTATCTCTGCGGAGGTGGCTTCCGAGGCTACGGGAGCATGTTGATGCATAGGCATCCTATACAGCCGTATCCTATCCCTTCCATCGGGTCGTTCACCGTCTCAGGGAGTGTGTTCGGGCAAAACAAAGATCTGCTCGAGTTCAACAAATCTTTTGACGGCAAGATTTTTGGCATGTCGAAACGCCGGCGGGCGCAGTTTCCTGCCATTATTGCTGTGGTCGACGCACTCATTGCTACTGTGCCCGCTATTCGCTCAGTTACCTTCTGTTCTGGGGGGAACCGCGAAGGGGCTTTGATGATGAGCCTGCCACCAGATATTCGGGAGAGTCACCCCTTGACACAGTTCGGGGATCTCATGGGGAACCCCGAAGGTTACATCATGGGCTCAGATTTAGCAAGTGTTGCAGACGTTCTTGATGCGCTGCGGTCCGCATTTCCACCTGGTCTCAATTTGGCCACCACGACCACGGTGTTCAGTTTGCAGCTCGGTACGCTTTATGCTCACCAAATATGGGCTCAGTTGGGGTGCGAGGCTGAGAAGAATGCATCGGCCACTTTGCATAACGCGATCAGTTGCCCAGACCAGCCCGGGCTGACGCACCTCGCCCGCGCCGTCCTGGGTGTCACAACTTGTGCACGGTGGGGAGCGAGCCTAGCACCCATCGACGAGCATTTATACAAGAGCCTCCGGGCCTTGATGGATGCGGCAGATCCAGATGCGACATTTTGGGCCGACTACACTGGCGCCGTGACCGCAGCTATGGCGGCCCTGGTGAAAAGCTGGCCCAAGACGCAACGCGCTATCCAAGATAAAATCAGGTACGCACCAGGCTTTCTACTTGTTTCTCATGATTCTAAATAGAGAACTAGCTTTCGGTCGACCGCGGAGCAGGGGAAGACGCTCCATATTCGACTCGACATCTTCGTCAATGAAGAAGCAGCGTTAGGAGTGGACCTTGACGATGTGGCCGGCCATTTCAAGAGTTTGAAGAAGCATAAGCATTGCGGGAAGAAAGTCACGGTCAGCATCAAGCCACTCCATTGAGAACGGGTAACACAACGATGTTCAGCTCGTCCCATACCGTGCCTGTGAGGCTAGCTTACGGCCGAAACTGCCCCAGCCACACGGGTCCGGATCCCCCACAACACCGTATTCGTCCTAACTACTACCCGCAACATCACTTCAAACATTCTGGGATACATTCCTCAACATTTTGTTGCTTTACACATGGAAATTCATTGCTCATGGCCGCCGCATGCGCCCCTCCACCGTAACCGAGTCACGGAGCCGGACGCTTCTCAAAATGCCGCCGCCCCTTCCGATTGAACTGAGACCCCAACATATGAAACAGCTAAACCGCATCAAAACGCCAAACACCCTGCCGTTTTTCAACAAAAGTCTTCGTGGTGTTTATTTCCGGACTGGGCGAGTTTTCGACAAGAACTTTGTCTCCTTTTTGACGATGCGTTCGATGAACAACCCATCCGTGGGGGACACCTGGTGTGCCACTCGGCCGTCTATCGGGTAAAGTCAGCGATTGTCTATCTCCATCGGCTCGTGGTAACTTACAAAAGTCAGGGAGCATCTGCCAGACTCTCTGGTATGCATCGTGGAGGCTCTGATCAACCCTGAAGACCTGAAGATCGGCGTCTCTGATCTTCTCGATTGTGGTTTTCTTGTGAAATATCCCGGAGTAGATGACGATGATGCCATGGAACAATCGCTCAGTCGTCTCTCGAAACTCATGTCTCGTCACGTCCATAGGCGCCACTGAGTTCTCGGTCAGCATCCAGGAACGAAACACTGGTGGCAATGAACTGACCTTCGATTGGTATTGGGGCAGCATTCGTTTGTTGTTGCTCCAACACCCAGCTCCACGATTGGCGATAGGTCAGCATTAGCTGCCACAACGAAAACCATTTCATGATGTCGATCTCCGTTGCTGCAGGGCGAGATGTTTCTTTCCCGGAGATGTACTTGTCGATTTCGGGGAGGATGTTCCGCTCGAGTTCTGATATCTTCTGGCTGGCAAATCGCCGAAGCGAGTCCTGAATTGCCTCAAACCGGAGGTCAAACGGAAGTCCTCGGGACTCGGGCTTTTCTCGAAAAAAGAGTTGCTTGCAGCCCCAGACTTTCCACATACACCTCAGCTGGAAAAGGTTCGACAGCAACCCCCCAGTCATCTGCTGCCCCGCAGGGCGCATGTTCATCCTCGCCTGACGAACAAACCTGACGAGCAGCCTATCCATCTCAGCCTCGAAGTCCATTACCGTCTCCGCTAGGATCTGTTGTTCCATCCAGCGACATATTACGTCTTCCCAAGTTTCTGTTTCCGAAGGCGGTTCACGCAGTGCGATATCCAGTCGACCCTGACCCGGTGGCGCGAAGGCACGAGCCTTGAGGGGGAGCCAAGGGCTGTTGACATCGTCGGAGCAGGAAATGAGCAGGTGATATACATGATACTTGCCCGGCTGCTCGCGACTTGGGTTGTTCCAGTTCCACCGCTCTGATCGAAGAGTCAGTTCCATTGGACCTCTCACGGCACATTGTTGGCAAATCTCACCAAATACTTTCGGTATCATCTCCAACAACGGTGTTCGGATGCATGACAACCTTGGTAGCGGCCGATTTTTGCACGTCGCGCAAATCTCATCCGAGTCGCACTGGCATTGGGAGTCAGCAAGAGGTTGGAAGCCCTACTGTGAGGATGTCGCAGACACTTACCCCTTTCCTGTTCATCCTACAAGGGTAGCAAGCCCCGAGCTCCCGAACCCTGCCTGTCTCTTCCCTATCCTTGACAACTCTCGTCTTCTTCTGATGCATCTCTGCGGGCGGTGATGGCGAAGGTGACCCTTCTAGCAAGATATCTGTGTCTCGCGGAGGAAGGGGTCCCGAGAGCTTCGGCCAGACGTCAAGAGGTTGGGTTTCTCGTGCTGGGTCGTCCTGCATCTGGCAATCCTCGTCTTGGTTGGCAGTCTCCGGGGGGTCCAGCATAGGACAATCCTCGTCTTGACCGGGACCCGGCGGGGGGGTACTGGCGGGGGTCACGGCGGAGGGCATGACGGCAAGCTTCCCCGCCGAGGAGGGAGCATCAGACTGTGTGGTTACATCTGTTGTCGTTCCGGATGCATAATATGCACTCCAGTCGAAGAGGTCCGAGTAGTCCTCGGACGTCGAGACACTTGTGGTCTCCCTGTCATCGACCCTGGCAAAGTTGCTGTGGGGCGTAGGGTCCTCGCAGAACGGCTGCTTGGGACCCGTACCCCCATTGAGGATGCCGAAGCGGTCTGAAGTGTCAGACATGTGGCCCCACGTCTCCAATCTCGGAACTAGCGGCAGGTTGGCGTGAAAGTGCGGCCGAAACGAACAATACAGGACGAAGCGGCGTCAAACAAGACTCACGAGGCAACACCAAAGTGGCCAATGGGTTCAGTAATGCAGGTTACGGCACTGCTCTAATCAAAGGAAAGGGGAGGTTTGGGCAGTCAAGAGGAGTGCCCCCTCGAGTTTCTGTACCCTCCATCATCACCTCGAGAGCCTCATCACCCTTCTCCAGTCTGCCTTCCCTTCACACACACAGGCGCAACGGCTCTTACAACGACTGCCCTTTTCGCTGAAGGAGAGGGGTATGATTGGTGGGATTGTGAACCAATCAAGCCCTGCTCCAGACCGATTTCTGGACGACAGGGGTGGGCCAGACACAAAAAAGGGTTCATGCTGGTGTTGGCCAGAGTCTTTCACTCCCAGAACCGCCTCCGAAGTACGAAGGAGTTAATCCTCATGAAGCCCTTTTTGGGACTCGATCTTGTATGAAGCAGTGCTCAAGTTGACTTTCTCACGTATCCAGCTCGCAAGAAGCCTCGGTCCGTGCCATTTTGCGCTCTCGACCGCCTGACATAGTTAAGAGCCAGCAATGATTGATTGCCAGCAATATAATGACTAGTTACCTAGTTAAGACCAGGGAGCACTGCGGTTGATCTGGCGAGACCTCATTTCTTGTTCAGCTCCGTCCTTGTGGGGCCGGTTTCTTCTCGGCAACGCCATCCCGGGCTGCCCCACCCTCCCAAGTCGGCGGGTACACAACGACACTGCCAGGTTTGGCTGCTAGCCGTGCCACCGTTGGGCAGAGGAGAGATTCGTGGCCAATGTGTGAGTGGATCGGCTAGACCTGTAACAGTCACAAGTCTCAGCTCCCAATGCCTTGTGCGTTCTCTTCTACGATAACTTGCTAGCAAAAAAGTGTCTTGCCCATGAGTTGGAACCAGAGCGCAGTTGCGCCCAGTATGGTGGGTGGAAGGAAGCTTGATTGGGGTTTGTTGTCCAAAAGGGGACTCGCGCCGCAGAATGGGGCTGGAACATTGGGGTCGGGAGTTGGAGTTGGAGGTGGCACGGGACGGCAAAGGGCTTCAGCGCTTCGGCGCGTCAGCGCGGTTGTTTCGTGATTTTGGGGGGTGAGGCCTGCTGCCGTGGACCCCCATTGCGCGGGGCACAGTTGCGCCAAAGCGAACACACAGGACAGGACGCCAGCTTGTGCGCATGCGTGTGGCACACCATCTCCAGGCCCGTCACCACCTTGGGTGGGATCATTAAGGTAAGGTACGCTGCTGTGCCTTGGACACACAGCGTTGGCCTCGTCGCCATGCCGCCGAGGCTGATCTTGGGTTTCAAGCTGGATCTTGGCTCGTGGATGAGGCTATTGGGTTGTATTTCAGTTTGCGCAAGACCGCAATGAGGGTTGTGTCTATCGCGGCCGGTTAAGTTCTCGCAATAACATTAAAGTAGTAATAACAACTTTTAAGCAGGACAATCCACTATCGCTTACGAGGGATAGTCACAACCCCATTATGCAAGCAACCTACCACCCAATATGTATGTATGCACATCCACACGTACGCCAACAACCATGGCCCAGTGCCTGGGTGACATGAGTGACACCGAATAAGCAAGGCAATCTGTATACAACGTGGGGGCCTTGAGACTGCCTGGGCATCCATACATCGTGGAATTGAAAAATCGGTGAAACAACCGGGTGGCATGGCCCATTAAATGCGTGGCAGGTACCCTTGCATTACTAGCATCTCCGAGAGCTCCCCCCCCATCACCTGCCTTGCCCTCCCCTGGCCACTTTAATCCCCCTCATCCCAAAACTATGAAATCTATTCTATGGACAAACCCATGCTGCCTCCCGTTTCTTCTTGTACTTCGCGTTTCGCATATGCCATGCAAATTTGACCAACACCCAAGACAAGTGAGTATGAGGATGGGGCCCCTTTCTGATGTGACATCCAAAGCCCGAAGTGACAAAACCAAACAAACCCGAATCCAAAGCGAGACAGCAGAACGCAGTCGCATTACAAAAGGGTATCATCTATACAGATGCCGAACAGAAGAGAAACGAAGGCCCAAACCAGAAGTTCTCCTCCCGCCAAACAAAAAACGAACTGAAACCCGCGCAAACCAACCGAAAGAAGGAAAACCCAGCTGAAAATGCCCATCCCATGATCCCACACCTCTCCCAAGCATGAATCAGAAAAAAAGCTTTCTTCTTCTTTCTTCCCCTTCCCATCCATCCCCTTCAAGATATCATCAAACGTGCTACCCCCCACCCAATCGAATCACCCGCCACCATGGTGATGATGACCCTGACCCGGCGCGGCGCCCGGCCCCAGGTTCGACGGTTCCCGCTCCCCCCATGCCCCATGCCCATACCCGCAAGCCCCCCATAACTCGACTTGCGCGGCTGCCCCCCCAGGGCCCCCCAACAAGATAATCCCCCCCCACCACCAAACTGCGACAGATTCGCCGCCGACCGACTCGCCCGCAACCCCAACTGATACACATCTCCCCCACCAAGCCCAACCCCCCCAGGCCCAGGACTCCCCGGCCCTGCACTCCCCGTCCCACTCCCACTCCCATTCGCACCCCATCCCCCACCGCTCGACATACTCCCCACGCTCAGCACGCGCGAGCCGCGGTCAAACGCCGACGCCGCCGGGACAGCCGGCATGGGCAAGGGCTCGAGACCGATGGCGATGCTGGCGCGGAAGGCCTGGCGTGCGCGGTCGTTGGTCGAGCCGCTGCGGGGGCGGAGGTGCGGCGAGGAGGTGGGGGTGGAGTGGTGTGTGGAGTTGTGGGTGGTGGGGTTGAGGTTGGGGTGCAGGCTGGGGGATTGGGAGCGGTGTTGTTGTTGGTGTTGGTGGGTTTGTTAGGGGGGGGTGGGGCGGTGGTGGTGATGGGGGAGGTTGTGGTGGCGGGTGAGGTGGTGGAGGATGGGTCCATCTCGTGGAAGCCGGCGCGCGGGGGGTGGAGGGGCGAGGTTTGTTCGGTGAGAGCGGTGGTGGTGGTGGTGGTGGTGGGAGGGGCGCCGGCGGCGATGGCATCCCATTCTTTGGCGGCCAGCCAGCAGTGGGAGCGCATGTAGATGCCTTCGACTGAGAACATGACCACGTCCGCAGAGAGCTCGACCATGTTGGAACTGCCGGTTTGGAACCACATCTTGCGGGTCTGGCCGGCGTCTTCGGTCCAGGGGGGGTTGCCTTGTGGCGCCTGGCACAAAAAGTCTTCGACGCCTTCGGTGTAGTGCAGGCCGGGAGCGTCGACGACCAGCATGGGGAGGGACTGGATGACGACGTAGAGGAACAGCCAGTTGCCGATACGCTGGTCGGCGAGGTCGGCGGGGTTGGTGCCCTTGGATTCTTTGAGCTCGAACTCCTTGTAGGCGACTAGGAAGGGGAGGGTGAGGGCGTCGGTGTCGATGTTGCGGGATTTGATGAGAATGAGCTGGAGCTCGTGGGGCTGTAGGGCCTTGCTGTACTTGGCTTGCTTTTTGGCGGGGAGGTCGTGGTAGTTCTCGTAGATTGCCGTCATGCTCGGCAGCTTGGGGACGTCGAAGGGGATCGGCGGCAGCACGGGGGGCGACGACTTGTCAAACTCGCCGAGGACCCTGCGGAGGGCGGAAATGGAAGCTTCGGCGGGCGTCTTCTTGCTATCGTCGTCGGAGTCGTCATGCCCCTCCCCGATAACACGGGGTGTCATGGACTGCCGATCCACCAGAAGATCGTAGAGGGCGCAGAAGTCCGAGTAGAGGATCTTCAGGCACTCCCGGTTCAGCCCGCTCTGCGAGAAGTGGTTCTTCTTGCTGCGGGCCCGCGGCGGCCAGTTGCCAAAAAGGCCCTTGTAGTAGCTGAGGACGAAGCTCTTCATCTTGGCGAAGGAAGTCCGCCATTCCTTAAACCTGACGTTTTTGTACTCCTCGGACGAGGTCGAGTTGGCGGTGCCGGAGAATAGCGAGGGGAACTCAAACGCCTCGAGTCGCGTGTTGACGCTGGCCTGGCGGTTGGCCAGGTCCAAATGTGCGCGGTCCATGCGCTGGCGGGTGCTGACCGAGATTCGGTCGTAGAGAGGCGACTTGAGCTCGAGGAGATACTCATATTTGCCCACGGCATGGGCAAACGCCTCGTTGTAGAGGTTCCACGACTTGATCTGCTCCGCCAGGATGAGCGCCTCGAGCGTCTTCTCCCGGCTGTGGCGCACATCGGCGATGCCGGTCTGGTCCATAAACAAGTCGAAGGCCCTGTCGACCGATTCGCCAAAGGAGGAACCATCGAAGCTGCAGAAGTTGAACCGCCGAAGCAGACCAGCGACCTGGAGCACGGCGGCAAACAGGGTCGAATTCTCGGATGTGCCTACAAGGGGCTGGTGCGTCAGGAGCGCGAAGAGGTTCCGCGCGGCGACAAGGCGTTCGAGGTCAGTGTTGCCGAGGGGGAGATACAAATGGCCTTCGGTCACGGGACCCTCGGCCGGTGCAACGTCGAGGTATCCAGCATTGTGAGACGTCGAGGCCCATCATCTCCGTCACTAGGAGCTCAACCAAGACTGCCGACGGGCTAAATATGTGATCTGCAACTTTGAAACTGGGCCCGCGATCGCTCCCCTTGGGGTGCAGGTACACCAGGACGTTACCTGACTCACTCCATAGTTCAGGCACCTGCATGCGGTTAGCGTTTTGACCGAGCACGACAACTCTCCTGCAATGGGAGATGGTACCTTCTCCCCATTCACCAGGGGCGCGATGTTATAGTCGACTTGGTTATCTGGCGACATAACCCAGGCGCCACGGGGCATGGGCTTAGTAACATCCGAGCTAGCTCTCGATCGGGCGCCCGGAAACCAGCTTTTCCTCTTCCGCTTGTCGGCGATGATGGGGGGGCTACCCTCGCTGGGGGGCTTCAACAAAGACCCGCTTTGGATTGGGTTAGAGACTGCTCGCGAGGTGTCGACCGCGGCATCACGGACGACCGGGGGCTGAGCCGAGACACTGCGACCACGCGGGTTCGGATTCGGAGACAGTTGCCGGGGCTGAGGCTGGTTCGGCTGGAGCCTTGCCCTCGACGGGGGACGGTCGGGTGACGGGCTCCTGTCGGCTCTCCTTACACTTGGGGGCGTTGCCTGGGTTGATGTGACGGCCGGTACGCGGGCTGGCGTACCGAGCTTCTTGAGGAGGGTGGGCGGCGGTGGTGGCGGGCCAGTAGGCATGGCTGGTATCTTGTGAAGCTTCCTGGGCGGCGAGGACTCAAGAGGGGTGTTTTCGAAGAGCGGCGCGCTCTGTTCGATGGGCGACAAGGTTGTTGACCCGGGCCCCGACCCAAAGCGGGAAGACGACTTGGAGTCGGCGCTCGTCCTGGCGGTCGCTGTCGTCATTGTCGGTACGGTACTGGTCGGCGAGGTATAAGAGGAGGTCGTCGAGCTTGCCGGAAGGGGCTTCCGATTGATCTCCGGGGATTGCGGCCCTGAGCGAGATGTGAGCTTTGGAAGAAACGAGGTCAACAGCCCTAAACGAGGCCGCCGCTTCTCCATTTTTGCCCCCGTCCCCGTCGCCGTCGCCATTGTATTGACGAGGTCTTGTCTTTGTTTATGCTCTTTCCTTTTCTTGGCCCTGCTCTTCTTCACCTTGTTCTTAGGGGGAGCAATGCGCCCGCCTGCGTCAACCACACCTTGAGCTCTGTCTTGGAGATTTCAGAGTGTGGTGATTCAGCAAGCTTGCAGCCCTCTTCTCTCTCTTTTTTTTTTGGAGTTTGGGGGGGTGTGTGACAGTGATCCGCAAGAATTCTTTGCTTTCTTTCTTTCCGCCTCTTGCACAACTCTCGGTGACGGGGCCCTTCTCAGTACCTCGCAGCAGCGGGGTTTAAGGCGACGGGGGTGTGAACGGCAGAAGGGGGGGCCCTTGCGAGGTGCTGGACGGGGCGGTTTGGCACTTACTCGGGAGCATTGTAGGTAGACGGTATGTCTCGGACTGCGCGATCCCAGACACGATCGTACAGCTGAATCTCTTGGTGCTTCTTTGGTGATCGACAGCCGGAGGGCCGAGGGAGGAGGATCGAGCGCAGGGGAGGCGTTGTCCCGACAAGCTGAGCACGAATGGTGGATCGTTAAATGACCCATGTGGAGGTGTTTGAGCAAGCCCGCGGGGGTTCCGTGGGTGACAGCTTGCACGCTTTGCTAGGGAGTGGGAGCGGCAGGGTTTCCTAGCTTCGACTGGTGTCATGCAGGGCTGGCTGAAGTGTATTCAGTCTTGGGTGACAGGGATGGGGATGTTCATCAGTCTGATGGGCTGTTCTTGAAGAGAGGCGTGTACAAGTAACTAGCGTGGTGTATGTATGCTTTACTTCGTGCTCGTTTGTTGTTGAGAGAGAAGGATGCCGCTGATGCTGCAACAATTCAATAGCATCATCAAAGAGTAGCTAGGCAGCAGGCAAAGCCAAAATGATGTGCAGGGGAGCCCGATGGCAAAATCAAAACAAGAACCCAACAGACGGATCCAAGGAGAAGCAACAAATCAAAGACCGAATCTGGCGGCCGAAGACCCGGGTCTGGTGTGCTCCAACTTTTCATCCCCGATCCCCGACCCGACCCAATGAACCTGGTTAGGTATTGAGCACCCCAGCTTGCCCAGCACCCGTCTTTCCGTCTTTCCCTTGCTGTGCACCCACCCATCGCTTCGGCTCAGCCGCAAGCAACCCGATGGGATGACTCCCACATGGCGGAGCTTGCTTGTGCAGACAGCTTTGTGCCTGTCTGCTGAGGGGAAACGCGGGTTGTCAGGATCGAATTGTGAAATTTGGGGCTGGAAGGGGAAAGAGAAAAAAAAGCCAACAACGCGCATAACGTCATTTCGCTGGGCTTTTTTGGGAACTTGCATGGGTCTTGCCTGTTTCAGACAAGCGTTAAGGTTAAAGGGTCGTTGCAACCCACCAAAGATCCCCAGGTTCAACGGGGGCTTTCGCTGCACTCCTGCGGCGATGAGAGAAGCTCTAGAAAACTTGGCGATTCAACAAAGTTGTGCTACCCCGGATTCTACATTCCGAGTTCAGTGTTGGTCACGATACGAAGCTGACCATATTCCAAACGCCATAATAAAGGAAATTTATTCAGTCGGCCGCTCTTGCAGCGCATAAAGTAGCACGGGCAGCAAGCGGCATCCCTCAAACGCCCGAAGATCGCATTTCGAAGTCTCCCCACCGCAACCGCAGCGATCCGCATCCTCCACCGCACCGCCACGGGCCACGTCAGGGAACCGTTGGGAGCCGCGGCTTGGAATCTTACGGCGTGTCGGAGCGATGCATAACCGCGGGGCCACTCTCTCAGTGAGCGGTTAAAATTCAAAAGCGGCTTGATGACAGACGCCCAGAGGATTCGGGTGCCGAAACCCCTCATCGGTGATGAGCTGACCCGCGTTGGTCGTTGTCGAAACAGTCGCTCAGCCGCAAACCCGGTCTCCGAGAGGTTTCCCTCTCTACTAGATGCTCTTGAGGATTTGTTTCTGTGTTTCTCGCATTTCGACCTGTAAAACGGCCCGAGGTTCGGACTTCTGGCCACTGCGTTCTCAACAAATAAGCGAGGTGCATTTCGTGTAACATGTCCACGAGTCTTAAGAGTTGTCAGGCTTTCTCTGGCGCATGGCTGGACCTCGCGCCTATGATGATGCCAAACACAGTCATCCTGTTAACAACATTTATAGTGGGTTACTATACGTGTCAACGACCCGCTGTGAAGGATTCTGGCCCCCATCCGGCAGCTGAGCTTCCCCAAGCTCCCATCCCTGACCTGCTCAATACCAAGAGCATATTATGATTCCACTGAAAGGAAACATAATTTTTAAACGCGGCTCGCGGCCCCTCGAGGGAACACCCGGGAAATCCACCATGGCCCACTCCAATAATGGGGTTCGAGCTCAGTAGGCAACGGTGAAACAGCGGCGCAAGGAACTAGTGTGGACGACTGGTGGTCTCACGCGGCAGGCGTGTCGAGTCCAACCATGGACATTTTGAAATTGGTATACGAACCGGCCAATACCTCCCATTTCTGTCTAGCTCTAGTAGTACACCAAGCCCATTTACACAATACACCCAAGATCTGCCTGAGGAGGCTGCCCATCGCAACCTATTCCCAGACCTCACCATAGAAACAGTCCGCAAAATCCAGGTATCGTCCCGTTACCGAGAGATTTCGCGGACAGGGGGACCCTCGCCTTCAGCATGAGGAAGACTTGTCGGCCCAAGCCCAACTCGCGCTGCTCAGCCGACCAGCAAGAAGCGAAAATGGTAAAAATAGAAAGGAAGGCTTCTGGCCGGAGCATCCGTTTGCTCTCACCCAATAAGAAGCAAAACAGCAGCTAAGGCGGAAAAAAAAGACATCGCACCTTTGACCAGCGCCACCATATTCCCCCTATATCACACCGCCAGCTTGTCCATCCCAGCCCAGATTCCCAGGTCATCAATAGTAAAAAAAAACGCAACAAAAAAGCACCATCTATATGATGTCGCAAGACATAAACGAGAGGAAGAAACCAAAAAAAGGGGGCACAAAACGAAGGCAAGAAGCGAAACAAAAAACAACCCACCAACTCCACAGAACATAAGCCGCTGGTCATTAGATCCCACTCTGCCTCGCCTCACCCCATGCCGATCCCATACGATTCCATCCCATCCCACCCGCGCAATTCCGCGCGAGCCGCTCACCTCCCATACCATCCCTCACCTACGGCTGATATGGCTTGTACCCCGGATACCCACCGGTCCCACCACCGAGCTCAGCCGGCGGGCTCGGCTGCCGATAGCCACCGGCGTTGACCGGGCTTGTGGTGGTCGCGATGGGGGCCTGCGGGCGGCTGTACCCCGACGTGAAGTCGAACCCGCCCTCGTTCCGCAGCGGCGTGGGCGAGCTGACGGGCGAGTGCATGCCGTTGCCGCCGCTGTGGTTGGAGTACTGCCTCTGGGGCGGCGCGCGCGAGCCGCCGTAGGGGTTGCTGGTCTCAAACCCGGCCTGTTGCTGCGGGGCCGGGGAGCGCCGGGGGTCGGGGCCGCCGCCGCCGAGGTAAGGGGTGTCGTAGACCCCCGCGCCTTGGGGTACGGGGGAGTGGCGTGCTCCTCCGGCGCCATACGGGCCTCGTGGGGCGGGGGATCGTCGTGAGTCGGCCCCGTAAGGCCCTTGGGGTGCGGGCGAGCGTCGCTGGTCGGCTCCGTAGGGTGAGGGGTCCATCGCGTGGGGGGTGTGGTGACGTGCTATGCCGTAGCCTTGGTTGCTTTGGGAGTCGTAGTTGTCATACGGTTGTTGGTGGGGGGCACCTCCATAGTTGTCATAGCTGCCCTGGGCTCCGGGATCGGGGTAATCGTGAGTTTGCCCGTATCCGTTGTTGTGTCCGTCGTTGTATCCGTTGTTGAAGGCATGCGGTGAACGTCGCCCAGGACCCATGGCTGCGCCGGCCATCCCGTACCCTGAGTTCGGCTCGTTATAGGCCATACCTGGTTGGTTGTATGCCGGAGCACCTTGGGAGTATGGGTCGTTGTTGTTGATAGCGCTAGCAGCAAAGAACCCGTTGTTGCCCCCTGGCGGCCCATACGGACTTCGGTTGACCGGCGAGCGCGATCCGTGTGGAGAAATTGCCCCAGCAGCTCCGCCCGCCAGGGCCGCGCCGGCAGCTTGTCCACCCGCTTCGGGTTTCTTTAGGGCGTTCATCTCGACCGCCTCTTCCTCAAGGTACACCTTCTTCCGCTCGGCGCTTTCCCACTCAGGCATTTGGGGTAGGGAGTCGTCGTCCTTCTTGCCTCCGGCGTCAAACTCGGCGAACTGAGGGAATGCCGGTCCTTTGGAAACCCGCGCCGCTGTCGAACGGCTATCGAAACCAGCATGCATCGGTTCTTGTGCCTTGTATCCGTTGGTTCGGCGGGATATAGGGTTCGTCGAGATACTTGTGCCGGCTGCCCCTCGGTGGATCGCAACACCCGCAACAATTGCCGCAGCACCTGAGGCATTGAAAGCATGAGCAGCAGCAAGAGAGCCCGCAGCATAGGCATCGAATCATGCACCAAGCTACCCCGAAGATGATCAAACCGCCGATGATTATGAGCGCAATGACCGGCCATCTGGCTTGTTGTTAGCGCCACGACATCGCCGCCGAATGGATTAAGGAGAGACCTACTTGCAGTAGTTGACCTGCATGCAATTATCCCAGCTGGAAAAAGCCGTCTTCACATCCGTGATCTGCCCTTCGAGGTCTCTCCTCGCGAGCGCGGGTCGCAAACTGGCCACTAACAGATCTAAGAAACCCCTCCGCAAACTCCTCTCCATCGCCACGTTGACTGACGGCATCTTGCCTCTCGGCTGTCCGGCCTCCTGCTAGTCGGCAAGCAAGTCCCAGAATATCGAGGTGAGCGATCAATAAACGTGATCCGCACTCGTATAAACTATCGAACGATATCGTTATCCGGCGAGAACTACAGCGCCATTGCTAGACCAGCCGTCGCTTGTGTATGATCGTCTTGCGCCCAATGGCGTCCCGGCCGCGATTCTCGGAAATCTGCTGTCGGTTTCGAAACGCGGCAGAACATAAAAGTCGGAGATCTGATGGGCCGATGCTCGAAATGATATTCCTAGTCGTGAAGTACAAATAACGGATTGTAGAAAGTGTTTCGTAAATGGCAAGAAATGTGTCAAATGATTGATGTAAATTGGCACAAGGAAGCGAGAGAAAGCAAATTCGAAGTGTATTCGATACTGGGACTCGAACTTCAAACGAGGGTGAGGCCGAGTCGTACAAAACGGGAGGAATCGGGCAATTGCCGCCAACACCCAAGATATTGCCAACGAAAGGCCAAAGGAGTGGCTGTCCCGTCTCACCTGTGGATGAGATGAAACTAAGGTGTGTAGGAAGGGAGGCAGTCAAGTCAGCCTGACGAAAAAAGAGGGAGCGCGAAATGCGTCCCGCACTGCCGCCCTGGCAGAGGAAAAGTGCGGGCGCATGAGACGAACACCCGCACGGCATTGGCCCGCCGGCTTCCCCCCCTCGTTCATCTTCGCTTCTGCAAGGTACCAACGGCTTCAAACCCCTGCAACAGGGGCCAACCATTTTGGGGGATCGTCCATGTCCACTAAATCAGTGCAGATTCCCCCTAATGCGGACAGATTGCGTGGCTATCTGGGAGTGAAGATGAGCGCTGCAGCGCTGTTCGCAATGGTTTTTATCTCGAAGGCATGTTGTGTCGGCAATTTACCTCTATCGCATTTTTCCCACCCCCATCCCTTATAACAATGTTTCCGAGGACCTGGCACCAGCCGGTCAGTTGGGCGAGTTGCTATGCTCAACTTCTAAAGTCCAACATAAAAACTCGTACTCATACCTCAACCGTCTTATCACCGTCGAAACCCTCGCTCTGAGCAAAGTAATATCCCCTCTGGTTCGCTACCAACCTCAACGGGCCCGCGCCATCCTCTCGATCAACTACAAAATCGCAATTGTAATGCGTATGCCCAAAAGCCCAAAGTTTGACCCTGCCGCTCTTGAAGCACTTCTCCTGGGATAAGTCGGTTGCGAAGGCACTCGTGACCGGGCTGCTGGCGTGTCTGGGATCACTCGCACGAGCATGCAGAGTTGGGCTCCAGTGCGAAAAAATGACGATGTTGGCGTGGGAATCCTCGAGCTCAGCGACCTGTGCATTGAGCCAAGACAGATCCCGTTTGTGCCTGTCGTTGTGCGCTTCCACATCCCACTTGTCCGTCTGGAAAAAGTCGTTGAGGCCCATGCTGACTGCCATCTGGCTTTCGGGCGGAATGTAAGAAAAGAGGCTGCAGCCCAGAATCACGGTGTTGGTTTCCGGTAGCCGCAAGACGCCACGGTCGAGCAGGATAAACTCGCCGAGCGACGCATCCTTGCGCGCCTTCGAGTCCTCTTGAAAAGCCCGAAGAAGATCGAGGGTTTCGGGCCAGTTGGAACCGTACGCCTCGTGATTCCCGGGGACGAGCATTACAACCCGAAACTTCTGGAGTTGTCGAGCTAGAAACTTGAAGAAGTCATCTTTGTGCGCCGCGACATTCCCAATATCGCCGAGTAAGGCGAGATGCGGCGCTCTGGGCTCAATGTCGAACACATCGTATGCTTTAGGGGCCTCCAAGTGCAGGTCGGAGAGGATCTGGATGGCCATGTTGCGCGAGAACCTGCGGGTGTGTAATTGTAAAACAGACGGTTTAAGGACGCAAGCAAGGGGATTGATTCTACTGTCTACCTCATACAAATAAATATGTCTTGGCGGGGTTGGTTGGTTTAATAAGTAGTGTAAACAAAGCGGAACAAATATTGGGACGAAGAGGGGAAAGTAACAGATGTCATTCCTGACATTTTGCGGGTAATAGTCAGGTACGTTCAGTTTACTCACGGCAGGACAGTTTGTTGAAATAAAACGGCCATATACCTACAATAAGAAAAGGATGATTCCTCGTATCTGGATAACCACCCAAGTCTCGGAGACGGAGAGTGAGATGGCGTCGTTCAAGCACTGCGACTTGGTTTACCAACAACTCAGTTACCTCCTTAACTGCGCACTAAGATCGTGGGTCTGGGGGCGTGGGGATGAGCGTATGTGGAACGAAAAGAAAGCCATTCGGAAGTCCCAAAGTCTACTTTTCAATTTCATTAACTCGGTGTCTTTCATTCTAATTTATCCTGCCAAGCCTGCTCGGTTTTCTTTACCTTTTTCTTTTCTCTTGGGTTCTTTTGGTCGGCTCTTTTTGGTCAGAGGTGGTTACATGATTCAGCAACCTCGCCGCGTTGGTCTGATAGCACGGGCCTGCCGACGTCATGGACACCAGGAACTTTGACCCATGGCTCGCTGACCCAGGGAAAAATCGGTAGTACCGCTATTACGTCAAATAGGTAGCAGACAAGACAGTACAAGAACCTGGTAATAAGCCACAGATACAAATAAAAGCCCCATCCCATTATTCACGCCGGGATGCCGCGTGAACCGATCCATAGGCAGCTCCCCAAGCATATCAACGCAGTCCCATAACGTCGATGCCCCTTCCCGAGTTAAAATAGCGGATATGGCCTCCGCCAGCTGAACCCCCTCCTTACACCCTTGTCTCAATCCTATTTATTTGGTGTTGGTGGTCGGCGGAGGTCCCGGGGGTGGCGCATATTCGGGTTCGGGACCGCGGTGGTACGCACTCTGCGGTTGCTGCAGTTGAATGCCCTCTTGGTTGCCGGCGTAATACCCATCGCCCGAGCCATATTTGTAACCGCCTGGGGGTCCTTGATCTTGAGCCGAGTATTGCGGTGGCGGAGGGTAGTAAGGAGGTGGCGCAGGCGCCATCCAACCCGTTCCGTACATCGGTTGAACGCCTTGTCTTCTACGACGGCGCGAGTTACGGCTATTAGGGCCGCGTTAGTAGGTTTCCAAACGCCGTGTAAACACACGCGAGGATAGACATACAAAAGACCGGCGAAGACGAGGAGTATGAAGAGAACGGCCAACCCGGCGAAGACCCAGCGTCCCCACCAGTACCATGATGAATAATAGCGACAATCACCGTCGTAATCACGATAACCGCCGCTCCCACAGCTGGAAATATTATCAGTCGCCATGGTCTGTAAGTATTGCGCCGTTTAGTACATACCCGTCCCGGCGCTTTGCTAGTTCGGCGATTTGCGCAATGAAAGGCGCCATTGTTGGATTCTTGTTCTCAACAGCCCAAAATGTTTTGGGTCGTGTTTCTCTGCGTAAAGTTGGTGGAGGGTGAGTGATTCAAGGTTGGGCGGGCCGATGGTAATCGAGAGTTGAAAGGGAAGATGTTGATTGAATGAGGTGGGAGGTTGTTGGCAAAGATATGATGCGACAAAGGCAATGAGGGACGGAAAGGTGACGTGCCGTCACTGCAGTTTCAGCACTGTGGATCAAGGTGCTTTACCGCAGCATTGGCAAGAGCTCGGCATGGCAGCACAGTGAGATTTGATAGTTAACCACACGGTGCCACGGAAGGCGTGGCACTTGGTGGCTGAGCCGGGCAAACTGTCATTCTTGTCATTGTTCTCCCAATTAGATCGCTCGAGGGAAGCTGCCAAGCAGCGGTTAAGATCTGGGCAAACCAACTGCTGACTTTTTTCCCGTTCAAGCTGTCTTACCGACGGTACGAAGTACTTTCAACTAATCTGTCGACAGTGCGAACCCAACACTGGCGCCTGAGGCGACTCGGGTAGCGCTGATCTCATAGGTACCCATCCAAGAAGTTGAGAGGCGCAGGGAAGCTCTGCCACGCTTCCATCTTGCCATTTCGGACGGCTTTCTCGTGCAGTGCCGGAGAGTTCAAGTCCCGCTGACAACCACAGCCTAACTACTGAACTTGGTATACGCATGGGGCTGGAGATACGGACAGGGGGTGGGAGTACGCATGCCGACACGGACCCCGCATACGCAAGTTTGGGAGAGGCGCAATGCCGCCAACACCTCGTGGCCCTCGATGATGGATACGATTTTCCTCTTTCGGTAGAGTGATTCCCGAGATTAAGAGTTGAAGGCTTATGTTCATTTGGGAGCCATGATAATTTGCGATCGTTAAGATTGAGAAACCCAGCTCGGGACCCATTTGGCCGTGGCTCACATCCGCCGGCGCCGGTGCTGCTGGGGATGGTGCTGCCAGAACGAGAACGAGAATCGAGAAGACTGGACTTGGCCTGTGCCGGGCTCCGAGGACCCCACTCGGCCTGCAACTCCAGCCACTTCTTGGGACTTCAGCCACAAAGGTACAGCCACGTGACTGCCGCTAGCCCCATCTTGATTTCCCCTCCACACACAAATTTTGGAGCAGGAGAAAAATCCAGCCCCGAACTAACAAACAGGAAGGTATCCCGCCATCACGTCAAAATGGCTACCACCCAGGCAGTTCAGGTGTTCGGCAAAAAGAAGAATGCCACAGGTACGGATTTTAGTTTCGAGCGAAGCACATCGGTCGACCGGTCTCTGACAATCTCGCAGCCGTCGCGCGCTGTGTGCAGGGCAAGGGCCTGATCCGGGTCAACGGCAAGCCGCTCAAGCTGTTTGCCCCCGAGATCCTCCGGGCGAAGCTCTACGAGCCCATCCTCATTCTCGGCACGGACAAGTATGCCGAGGTCGACATCCGCATCCGCGTTACCGGTGGTGGACACACTTCGCAGGTCTACGCGACGCGCCAGGCTGTACGTATTCCCGGGTCCTCTTGCGCAATGAGGTTGAAGAAAAATGCTAATTCGACGTTTTGTAGATTGCCAAGGCCATTGTCAGTCCCCGAACATAGCGGCTCGATCCGCGCTGAGAAGAAAGCGAATACTGACTGGGAACTTTAGGTCGCCTACTACGCCAAGTACATCGATGAGCACTCCAAGAACCTCCTCAAGACCGCTCTTATCCAATTCGACCGCAACCTCCTAGTCGCCGACCCCCGGCGTTGCGAGCCCAAGAAGTTTGGTGGAAAGGGTGCCCGTGCGAGGTTCCAGAAGTCCTATCGTTGATCGGTTTTTTGGTCATGTTGGGAAGCGGGGACTTGCGTGGACACGGACGGCGTTCGGCATTGCATTGATCAGCTACGAGTCGATATTGGCCTCCGACGATGGCCTGCTGAGGTGCACGTTTATGGCGCCTCGGGAGATAGGAATAAGACTCGAGTCTATCTGGCCCCCACACGATACTCCTCGCGGGTTCATGCGTGGATCATGTGAATATGGGAAACGGGTGTCTGGGGAGGATGGGAATCGTGGAAGCAGTAGAGCAGCTCGAGTGACCGTCTGGTTTGCCCGCGCCGGGTGGGAATACGATCGGTGTTTCTCCATTCCGGATGTCCAGAACAGTGCAGACCCAGACTAGGGGGTTATAGTGATACTTGAAGAGTTTCACGGGTTCCTGATTATTGTTCAGTTCACCATACCCTCGGATTATTTCGACAACCTGTGGACGACCGACACGAGACACCGCGCTGGAGGGATCATACAACGTGATAATGTGCTTTGACTGCGGATGCCGCGACCACAATTATAGCAATCATCCGGCAACGATGTGATCACCAAAAAGCTGTCCTCGAAGACTGACCCTGGGTCCCCAGCCAAAGTTCCCCACCACAGGACCGGAAGAAGAACGGTATCGAGATGTAGTCCGACAGATCATGTGCGCTATTTGACCACGGCAGAGATATGAATCGTGCACAGCAAAGATCCCGAGAAGCCGGTCTTCAGCCTCGAAGGTCAAAGATCTGGAGCTTTTCTGTAAAAACGCCCACACGGCGACTTCACATCTGAAAACAACCCCGTTGTTATTGGCCGCTTGCTACGGAATTGGGAGGTTGCGTATGTCTACCCACGGTGACGCTTCTCAGGTTGCCAATCGCTTTTGTGTGCATCTCACTGTTGTTAGGGATTATAAGATGCAACACTGGGCCCGCTCGAAGACTCGGGCTCCATGCGCAGGGATAGACAGTGTAAATACAGAGATCCCTTCCCACCAACCATTCGGCCGTCAAGAAGCAGGAGGCGTTTGAGGTTCTCAGCACAGCACCGCCAAATGGCATGACAACTAATGTCGACCACACCTTGAAATAATATGACTTCGGTGTGAATCCACTCTTGCTTTGCCCTGTCTTGCCCGGTTGCCCGGTTGCTTGGGTTGACTGCTTGCCCCCCTCCGTGTGCCGGCGCCTGTCTTGTCGACGGATGGATTCTCCAAGCAAAGCAGCAGCCAATGATACCTTCACACGTCAATGGCCGGAAATGGTCCGTGTGTAAGTCCAGGACTTGACCTTGCGCGCTCTCCCCTCGTTGTTCCGGCCTCTCCTCTTTCGTATTCTTTCTTCAAATCACCGTGGTGAATATCATTTTTATTTCACGCGTTGCGCTCTCTTTTTCGCCTGGTTTAGGCGTAAATTTGGCATCTTGTCCAGACGCTTGAGCGACATGCCCAACACGGTTCAGGCCCAGCTTGGTGGGGCTTCACCAGGTGTTCATCCCTCGCTCAGCAAGAGCGCTCGCACGCTGCTGCGATTGAACAGGTTTAGAACTGACCCTGGTGCTGGTTCAATCTCAATCATATCATTTCGTCTCGTCATGTTCTTTTCATCAGGAGTTTTCAACATTTATTGTCATCAAGATTAAGCGTTGCTGCTGAGAAAAATCATCGAGGAACAAACTACCCGCACCTTGCACACCGAAAACCCTCACTTCCTTTCCGTACCTGTCCTTGTCCTGTCATAACGTATTTCAGAAACACCGTTCTCTGAAAGCGTCCTCAAAATTTCCGTCCTCATTCCTGCGAGTGGCAAGCGCCACTTGTAGATGCTGGGAATCATGCCCGGCCTTGCGGCTCCCATCTGGGCTCGTCTGACGACGGCGGCGTTCAGTCCTCGTCTCAAAGGTGAGCTGTATTGTGCTCAGTGAAACGGTACGAAGCCTGCCGGTCGAAGGATAACATTGACCTTGTCGCAGACTTTCAACGCCATCGGATGGATAAGAGAGGGGGTGGTGTTGAGAAAAGAGTTGGTCGTCGCCGGCCGATAATCGAATGTCTTTTGCCCCGAAAACTGCGTCGATGATATGGAGAGAGGGAAAAAAAAAAGAAAAAAAAGACAAGAAAACAAAAACAACAAAGCAAACCCCGAAATCCCAACTGCACCGCAAACCAAGCCGACCTGGTGTCCCGAAACACCATGCGAATCCGAATCCCGCCGAACGTTGGGTATCCAAAACAAGACGCGCGACGATAAGCCCGCAAGGGAACGACAAGCTCACCGATTGGCAAACTTCATCAACCATTGCAAGACGGCCTCGAGATTCGTTTCTTCCTTAGCCGAGATGCCATAGCACGAGACCTCGCGGTGCGCGACATTTTTCAGGTCCATGGCGTCGATCAACTCGTCCACCGAGAGCTTGTTGGGCAGGTCCGACTTGTTTCCGAGTACAAGGAGGGGGATGCCCTCCAGGGCCGGTTGGCTCATTAGCGAGTGCAACTCTTCGCGGGCCACGGGGAGCAGGTGTAGGTCGGCAATATCGACGATAAAGACAATGGCGTTAACGTTGCGGCAGTACCTCTCCCACATTGGTCTGAAGCGGGGTTGGCCACCCAAGTCCCAGCACTTGAGTGTCACATGCCCGCGTTGCACCCGCTTCATGTTGAAGCCGACTGTGGGAATGGAGCTGCAAAAGAGGAGGTCAGCCGGGGCGAAAACTTAGGAGGGGTGGGGAGGATTGGTCTTGGTGACACTGGGAGAGGATGTGGAAAAAGGGCGTTGCTTACTCGATCGCGAACTCTCCGCCCTGTCGACGAGGAAATCGGTGTCAGCCCTTGCGATGCATCAGGGTCGAGCGGTCCGCCATTTACTCACCGAAATTACACGGAGAAGCGAGGTTTTGCCAGCATTCTGCAATCCGATCATGGTCACATCCATTTCGGTCGCCCTGCATCGGATTAGCCTTTCGACCCCAGGTATCGCGGGCGATGCGCTGCCGATGCGATGCGGCCCGGTAGTGCCCCGCAGCTCGGCGGCGCGGGGGAGGTGCATGGCAGCCAAAAACTCACCAAAACGTCCGCAACAACCAGTCGTACACTTTTCTGAATAGCCCCGCCATGGTTGTCGAGGGCCACGCCGTGGTCGGGAGGGCTGGAGGGGGTTGAAGGAGTTGGGGGACCAGGTTGGGGCGCGTGTCAAGGCCGAAAAGTCGCGCAGGCGATTTGCGGGTTGAGGTATTCTCGAGAGCGTCGTTCGGGTCCGGGGTGACGGGGAGAGTTGATGGATGGGCGGTGACAAGTCTCAGCCGGGACCAGTTTAAATATTCTGCGCCGAGACTCGGCGGCCGGGCGTAGGATTATGAATAAAAAATGTCTCGTATGGCGCGTGTCCCGGTAGGGGCTTTTGCAATTTCGTAAGAAATAGGAACTGGAATAAAGCAGGTTCCTGTTTGTGATCGGTGAAGAGCAAGACGGGGGCAGGCGTGGGTGAGCAAGTGACCAGGCCCACCAAGCAAAGATGCTGCCGGGGAACACAAAATCCAGGTAGGTAACTGTTGTGCAAGTCAAGCTGTGGCCCGTGCCTTGGTGCGCAGGAATATGATGGATGTTAAACAACGAGCGGGCGGTTAGCACTTAGGACCCCGGGTGTGGAGCGCCGAGACGGCGAAGAGCGGTGGAAGTTGTCGGCAAGACGAGACGATCGGCTGTGATCACGGACGAGGGTGCGGCGGCTCAGGACTCCCCAGGTTGCAGTCACAGTCAGTGCTGAGACCTCGAGCCAAGCGGCGGCAGCGGCAGCGGCTGTGTGGCAGGGTACGGCGGCGTCAAGTGTAAGTAAGGTAGCAGAGAAGAGCCGTAGCCAGGAGGGTCGTATCGCGCATCAGACAAGAGAATGGGGAGCGCAAGGAAGGCCCGGATCTGCAAGGAGTTGCTGCAGGAGGCTGCCGCTGTGGATGCTGCAGGGACCTGGATACTTTTGTGCCCGGAGACCTAGCCGATCTGAGATGAGATGTTGAGATGAGATGTCGTTGCTGGCTTTCTTGCTTCTGTGGGCCTGGCCCTGCCCTTGGAGCGACTGTTTAGTCTGGGTCTGGGGGGGGTGGGCGTCTCTGGTGAATGACCGACAATACTTGGCGATTTGTATTGCCTGTCCGAGCTGCTGGTGCAACGGTTGCGCTATCGCTGCTGTTCTAGCCCAAGCCCCGAAGTCCAAGACTTTGGTGGAGATAGATGATGGGCGGCCTGTGCTATTTATCTGGAAGAAGACGAACAAACGCCTCCGTGACAGTGGTTGAACGGGTTGGGGAAGCAGCGGCCACCAACAGCGGGGTCACAGGCGTTCGAGTGATTGGGCCATCAAAATCAACCCAGGAGCTCTGGTCAAGGGTTCCCCACGCCCAGAAAACCAATGGCCGCAACCGAGAGAATTGAAGGGAGCAGGTTTATGGCGTCCTGCAAAGTGCTGGACTTGAGGCCAATGATGAAACCGATCCAACTCCAAAAGCAAGCGCCTCCGATTTTGGGGCGGCCGCGGCAGATCCATAGCTAACTAGGTAGTTATCGGGCCGGGCTCTTGGGATGTCAATCGTTGTGCCGTGCATGTAAATCCCCAGGCTGGCCGGGGTCCATTACCTACCTACCTAGGTAGCTCTGGATGCATCCATGGGTGGAGTCCGCCGTCGCTGAAGCACATCTCAGCTTGTGGAGGGAATCTGCCTCGGGCAGTTCCATTCATCGAGGCAGAGTATCAGTTCTCCATAACTGCGAATACCTACTATTCTAGACATAATCTGTATACCAACTGAGCGTTACACACACCCCTCACGGAAATGCAAGGTCGAAGTCGGACTTTGACTGTCGGCCCTGTGGGCTGCACGTCGTCTTTTCGGACCAGGCTGCCTCAACATGGTTGGCTGCTGCAGCCCGGGGCCTTTCTTTGGGGCTGAGGTGGTTTGGATGCCGACTCCACTGATGATTTTACTGGACACCAGTTGAGCATGGCCAAACCCCCACAGGGCCGCAGCTTGTCCGGCCATGGAGGTTTGGGGAAGCTGCTGCAGGAGAATCCCAGCAGAAGAGGTCTTGGTTACATCCAGATGACAGAGCATCGACAAGGCCGTTACGGTTCCTGGCCACTTATGACTGCAAAACGACAAGGAATCTCAGGTATCCAACGTCATGTAGTTCGTACAGCCATGATCGCTCGGCTCCTACCTAGGCAGGTGGTCAGAGGCAGCCCAACAGGCACCCGGATTGCTTCCGGGGTTGGTCCTGTCCCATGCACAACATCCGGTCTGTGGCCCCCAAGACTAAGCCTGAGAAACCTCGTTGTCCTCTGCTGTGACACTCATCGACTGACCCACGCACCCGACAACCACCGAGTTCTCAAAGCCACAGGTCCCGAGCCCTTCACAGCGGCGCAACGAATCTTTAGTTAGCAGAGAGGGCAACGGAACAAGGCGACGCGTCCATCGAGGCTACTGACTCATGCTAAAGAGTATTTTTGAATGGTAGAATATATCTTGACTCGAGAACTGCTTTACTGTAGGAAAAAGGGCGCTGATGGGATTGCGCCAACCGTGTTTTTTCGTCATTGCTACTGGCGGTTCTCGATACAAGCCCACGGCACCTTACTTTACCTAAATTACTCCAATTGCCGGCCGAGTGGGTAAACTCACGAACTAAAAGGCCCACAAAAATGATACCCCACCACGCCCACCAAACTAATGGCGGGCCTAGCAGCTCCTCGATAAGCGATAAGGAAGGAAAAAAAAGTTACCCAAACAGACGATTAAACTTGTCAATTGAAGTTATTCGCAGCCTGAACGATACCCAGACCTGTCCCCCTTCCAGCCCGCAAAGACCTAGTAATGAACGGGAAATAAACAGTCGTCAGATTGAACGAGGGGTTGCCGTTAGACACTGAGGCAGCGCGATCCCATTCTAAACTGCAAGAATTGCTTTTCGTTTCAGGAGTACGCTAAGATGGCCCCCGAACGCACCAACACATCGTGGGACCACGAGTACAATACTCTTCGCCGCGAGAAGCTCTTCCGAAACCCCCCAACAGACCGAACCGCCTATCCCGCCCTCCAGCTCGCTGTTGATCCCCACATCGAGTCGTTCAATGCGCTCTTTCGAACCGACGGGAAGCCCGGCCTCCTCGACCATGCGCTTGCCGAAATTGGGACCAAGACATTTCTGGATGGAGATGACCGGGCAGCGCCTGCGAACAAGAACAAGTTGACAATACGGTACAAAAGCGTCACGCTCCAGCGATCCCAGGTTCCTGCCATCCAACAAGTTCGCCAAAAGGCGCGAGATTTTCTCGGCTCGAGTGCAGAGAACGACACGTCTCTTACCGAGGGAAACTCACGGCTGTTCTCGAGTACAGCATCAACGGTGGCGAACCACAAGAGTTTGTCCGCGAGCTGGGCCAGATGCCCATCATGATCAAGGTAAGCCACTGCACTTCCCCTCGGTCAGAAGATGCGGGAAGTAGGTTCTGACGCGCCGTCCTCGGCTTAGTCCAACAAGTGCCACCTAGAGAACAATTCCCCGGCACTTCTTGTGCAGAGGAAAGAGGAATCCGAGGAGCTAGGTGGATACTTTATTGTCAACGGCATCGAAAAGATTATTCGTCTGCTCCTGGTCAACCGAAGAAACTTCCCGCTGGCCATCATCCGCCCGAGTTTCACGAACCGTGGACCCTCATACACGCCGTACGGTATCATAGTAAGATCCGTTCGACCAGATGAAACCTCACAGACCAATGTGCTCCACTACCTGAACGACGGCAATGTCACGTTTCGATTTTCTTGGAGAAAGAACGAGTATCTCGTACCAGTCATGATGATACTGAAGGCCTTGATCGAGACGAACGACCGGGAGATTTTTGAGGGCCTGGTCGGTCCACCCAATTCAAAGGGTATCGAGAACACATTTCTGACGGACCGTGTCGAACTCCTCCTCCGCACCTACAAGACATACGGCCTTTACACCAAGACACAGACTCGGGCGTATCTAGGGGAGAAATTCCGAGTCGTGCTCGGTGTCCCCGAAACTATGTCGGACTACGAAGTCGGTACGGAATTCCTCCGGAGGATTGTTTTGGTCAACCTTGGCTGCGTCGATGTAACCGAGGAACAAGATCTCGACAAGTTCAAGATGCTGCTCTTCATGTGCCGGAAACTATACGCACTGGTTGCCGGCGACTGTGCGGTTGACAATCCCGACGCCGTCCAAAACCAGGAAATCCTACTCGGTGGCTTCCTGTACGGTATGGTGTTGAAGGAGCGTCTCGACGAATTGTTGTCCGTCTCACTCAGGTTAGCATTGCGCGACTATTTGAGGAGGAACCCGTCCCAGTCTTTTACTTCGTCCGGCTTCACGAAAGACTTCCCCATTGCCATATTCAGGAGGACGAATGAGAACCTCGGAAATGCACTGGAGTACTTCCTCTCTACGGGTAATCTCCAGAGTCCATCAGGTCTCGACTTGCAACAGACATCGGGTTTCACCGTGGTGGCTGAGAAACTCAATTTTCTGCGTTTCATAAGCCACTTCCGCATGGTTCATCGTGGTAGTTTCTTTGCCCAACTGAAAACCACGACTGTCAGAAAACTGCTGCCGGAGTCTTGGGGCTTCCTGTGCCCAGTACACACCCCTGACGGCTCGCCCTGTGGATTGTTGAATCACATGGCCCACAAGTGCAAGATCATCACGGACTCGGTGGACGTATCCGCCGTCCCAGGAGTTGCCATGGAGCTGGGGGTGAATGACTACTCCTCCGCCGCTACCAGCGAGAGTGTCGTGGTGATGCTTGACGGTAGGATTATCGGCTGGTGTACTCCAAATGCCGCTAAAGCCGTTGCCGACAACCTACGGCGCTGGAAGGTGGAGGGCGGCCACGGTATCCCCATACTCCTAGAGATCGGCTACGTGCCCCCATCCAAGGGTGGGTCGTACCCCGGTATCTACATGTCTTCGCAGTCGTCTAGGATGGTCCGGCCCGTCAAGTATCTTCCCCTTGGAAAGGAAGACTTTGTCGGTCCCCACGAGCAGCCATACATGTCCATCGCCTGTACCGATGGCGAAGTCCTTCCAGGTGACTCGACACACGTCGAGTTCGACCCTACCCACATCCTCTCCATCCTAGCAAACATGACCCCCTTTTCCGACTTTAACCAGTCGCCTCGCAACATGTACCAGTGTCAGATGGGGAAACAAACAATGGGTACACCAGGGACTGCCCTCCGGCATCGGACGGATAACAAGATGTATCGCCTCCAGACAGGCCAGACACCTATTGTCCGCGCTCCCCTGCACAACACGTATGGCTTCGACAACTTTCCCAACGGTATGAATGCCGTGGTCGCTGTCATCTCGTATACGGGTTACGACATGGATGACGCCATGATCATCAACAAGTCGGCCCACGAGCGCGGGTTTGGGCACGGCACGATCTACAAGACCAAGAAGGTCAGCCTCAAGGACGACTCGAGGACGCGCACGTCCAAAACGATCAGCAAGATGTTCGGTTTCGCCCCCGGCAGCCCCGTCAGGGCGTCGGACCGCGAGATGCTCGACGAGGACGGGCTGCCCTATGTGGGACGGCTCGTTAGGGAGGGAGACATCCTTTGCGCGTGGCACACTGTCTCGGCCGATTATAGCGGGCAACTGATCAACAGGGATGGCATCACGCACTGGGAGCGATACAAGGAGGCGGAAGACGCCTTCATCGAGGAGGTGCGTGTGATCGGCAGCGACTCGGGCACCGAACCCCTGCAGACCGTTTCGATCAAACTTCGCATCCCCAGATCGCCCATCATCGGCGATAAGTTCTCGTCACGCCACGGTCAGAAGGGTGTCGCCTCTCAGAAGTGGCCGGCCATCGACATGCCCTTTTCCGAGACGGGCATCCAGCCCGACGTCATCATCAACCCCCACGCGTTCCCCTCGCGCATGACCATCGGTATGTTCGTCGAGTCCCTAGCCGGCAAGGCAGGTGCCCTGCACGGCCTGGCGCAGGATTCAACGCCGTTTAAGTTCAATGAAGAGCACACAGCGGGCGATTATTTCGGCCACCAGCTGATGAAGGCCGGCTACAACTACCACGGCAACGAGCCCATGTACTCAGGCATCACAGGCGAGGAATTCGCCTGCGACATCTACATCGGCGTCGTTTATTACCAACGGCTGCGTCACATGGTGAACGACAAGTATCAGGTGCGTACCACGGGCCCCGTAGTCCCGACGACGGGCCAGCCTATCAAGGGCCGCAAGAAGGGTGGCGGTATTCGTGTGGGAGAGATGGAGCGCGACGCGCTACTGGCGCACGGCACAGCTTTCTTGCTGCAGGACCGCCTGCTGAACTGCTCCGACTACTCCAAGTCGTGGATTTGCCGCGGCTGTGGGTCATTCCTCGCGGTGCAGCCGACAGTATCACCGTTTATTGGGAAGCGGAAGCAAGTCGGCACCGTCCGTTGCCGAAACTGTGCGCAGCGCCTGGATCAGATTGAGGGGCTGGATCTAATGAAGCTGGACGGCGAGATCTGGGAGGATGGACAGGGAGTGCAGTGGATCGGGGGTGAGAACACCGCCATGGTGGTTGTTCCGGGGGCGCTGAAGTTCTTGGATGTGGAGCTGGCGGCTATGGGTGTGAAGTTGAAGTACCGGGTAGACACCAAGGACGCGATTCGGAGGGGGCCCTTGAGGGCAACGGCACCGAAGGCGCTCCCGAACGTACCTGCGTCGGCGTAATGGAGTAACCTGTGATTTTTGTTGCAAGTAAAATAGTCAAACTGTCTAGTACTGTAGAGTCTCTCTCATGTCTCGTCTCGGCCCCCTCGGCCTTGCTATGCCTCCCTCGAGATAACGCCCCCGTCAAGGACTGGGCAACGGCACCGTTACACATGGCGAAAACAACACCAAGACATCACCCTCGCGAGCAGAGCTGAGCCTTTACGGCGGCACGAGACATGACCACGCCTGCCTGCTCGCAGATGCATGCATACCATGGGTGTCGTGGGGAACACGAGGGAAATGAGAGGCCTCTCTGTCTCTGCAGTGATCCGAACACAAACTAAACGCAATTTATTTCCTCATGGCAGACCGCTGTGACGGGTATATCATGCAGTCTCCCGCTGCTTCGAATAGGGGCTCGGGCTTCATTGTTCGTATCAACTCCAACACGATCCCCAGATCCGAACGAGGCCTCGTCTCACAGCAGCAAATTGAATCAATAAATTGATCATTTTTGAAAAGATTTTGGCGGTCCACGACAATAACTCGAGCTCTATCCGTTCAACAAGGAAGGCACGACCCGTTCCCAACCCGCAGTCCCGTGGGTTTGGTTCATACCGAGGTCATCTCTCAAGTATCGCCCCTTCCCTGTCACAAAATTAGGGTTTACGCCAAAGTCCATTCAATTCTCCGAGCAAGTAGGAACCTTGACGGGTAATTGGCCCTTGGCTTCCTCTCTCGTTGTTTGTGGGCCGATATTCACGGTGGATGGTGCTATCTTGACCTTTGGTTTTGGCAGATCTTGTTGACTTTTGTTTTATTTATTGTCATCACGGCCCCCGCCGCTTCTTGAATCCCCCCATTTTTGGCCTCGGAAGAGTCTCGATAGAAATCATCCATCTATCAGCTCTTTCGGGTCCAACCACCCCGCCAGGGACTCAAAAAGTCATCGAATTTCTTGAGAGCCACCCGCCCCCCCCACCCCCTTAACTTGGTTCAACAGCAACAGTTGACACGAAAAATAACGACGATAGCGATGGCACATCTCCGACTGCCACTCCTCCTCGCATTTATCTGCCTCGCGAATACCCTTGTCGTCGCCCAGTATTCGGCCTACAACTATGGCTTCGACGTTAAGAAGCGAGTCAAGCGCCAGCTCGGTCGCCGTTCAACCATGGTCGTGCAAGAAAAGATTGGGGGCGACATACAAGTGCGCCAGGAGGTCCGGCAGGTCGAGAAGGATCAGGAGCTGTGGACGCTGTATATTTTGGGTTCGAGCATGTTGCAGTACACGGATCAGGCGTCGCCGATGTCGTACTATGGGCTTGCGGGTTTGTGGTTCTTTCGGCTTTGTACTCGGTCGCGAAGAAGTCTGACCGTCGGCCACAGGGATACATGGAATGCCTCACCAGAGCTGGGGCGGCGTGGAACCGGTCACGGGGAACGAGAATACCGGGTATTGCACCCATTCGTCAGTTCTGTTCCCGACATGGCACCGGCCATACATGGCGCTGTACGAGGTACGACAGTTCCCTTCTTGTCATCGGGTTGACCAACCTGGTAGTCGGGTCGGGTGTCTAACTTCCTTGCCAGCAAGCCCTGTACGAATTGGTCCAGATGATTGCTACATTTTGGCCCGAGGACGAGAGACAGCGCTATGAAAGCGCAGCCCGCAGATTTCGGCTTCCCTACTGGGACTGGGCGGCCACCCCCCCTTCTGGGGAGAGCGTTCTCCCCAAGAGCATTGGAGGGAGCCCATTCATCGAGGTCAACGGCCCCAACGGCGTCCAGCGGATTGCGAATCCCTTATTCAGTTACAATTTTAAGCCTCTCGACAGGACAGCGTTCAGCTCGGGCCCTGTGAGTGGACTCCAAATTACTTTAGATTGACCACTGATAAGTTATATGTAGTGGAATGTCTGGACCCGGACACTCAGGAGCCCGTCGAGTAGCGGCGCAGACGCCCAGTCAAACAATTCGCTGGTTGCCATGAACTTGGATCAGAACCGTCCTTCCATCGCTCAGCGCCTCTATGCTTTGTTCTCGAGCAATGATAACTACACCACGTTCAGCAATAATGCAGCGGGAGGATCGGCTGAGTCGGTCGAATCTTTACACGACACCATCCATAGTCTGGTCGGCGGTTTCGGGACCAGTCAGTCGACGACTCAACCTGGGCACATGGCCTACATTCAGTGGTCCGCCTTTGACCCTGTCTTCTTTTTGCACCACTGCATGGTTGATCGTATCCTGGCTCTCTGGCAGACAATCCACCCTGATACCTGGGTTCCAACGTCGCAAGCGCTTTTGAACTCGTACACCACACGGAGAGGCCAGTATATAGACGCCAACACAGCCCTCACCCCCTTTTTCTCCAACAGCAACGGCACCTTCTGGACCTCGGACGGAGTCCGCGACCACACAAAGTTCGGATATACTTACGCCGAGCTGCTCCGCGGCCCCTCCGGCACCGCTCCCAGCGACAAGGTAACCCGGGTCAACACTGCCAAGCAAGCCGTCAACCGCATGTACGGCTCCTTCAGCCCGGCCAGCCTCTTCCTCAAGGAATTGCGCACCCAGCAGGGAACTGGTTTTGCCACCAGCCACAAGGCCCCGCACCACTCGCTGCTGCAATCCAAGATCTTTGTCGGCGCCGACGGCAGCACCAACAGCGACAGCGGCGACAGCTACCACGAGTGGATCGCCCGCGTGCGCGTCAGCGAACAGGCCCTCGACGGCGCGTCGGCCGTGGTCTTCTTCCTGGGCGGCCCCGTCCCCGACGACGACCACCAGCAGGCCTGGGCATCAGCGGCCAACTATGTCGGGGCCATGGGCCTGTTCACCGCGGCCCGGTCCAGCGCGTCGCAGGAGACGGACTCCGGCGCAGGCTCAGACATGTCGCACGACGCCCCCATGTCGGGAAGCGTGCCGCTGACGGCCGCGCTGGTGGCCAAGGTAGAGACGGGCGAGCTGGCGAGCCTCGCGCCGGCGGACGTGCAGCCGTATTTGCGGGCGAACTTGAAGAAGGTCGTGCTGAGCCGCAAGGGGGGGATGGTTGGTGAGCAGTGCCTCCCGGGGATGGCTATTCAGGTGGTGAGCTCGGTGGTGGCGGCGCCGTGGAGCGAGGAGGAGTTGCCGCGGTGGGGGGAGGCGACGGTGGGGTTGGAGATGTGTTGAGCGGAAGGGGTGGGTAGGTAGGTGGGTATGTGACTGGGGATGGTTTGGGGGAAGGGAAGCGGTTATGTGGTTGGGTTGGTGGATTGTTTATGTGTTTATGAGGAACGCGGGAGCGAGTGGGACGGTAATGGGTGTGTAATGTTCGGGGGAGGGGGCTTGTTTTTTTTCGATTAGCTTCTGTGTTGGTTGGTTTTGCTGGAAGATAGGGGTGTGTAGCGGGGGGACGTGGATGGTGTTGTTATTGAATTGCTTCTCTCTTTCTCGTCTGGCTTAAGCAAAGTTTGGAATTTACTATCCTGTGTTAACTGACTGAGCTGTATTGTTGTGGATGACCCGTCAGCCCTTGATTCTCCTTGATTCTGTTATTTGGTTCACAGTATTCGTAACCTGAGATCATTATGATGCTGTGAAGGGCAGATGTTAAACGAAGGAGAGAGAATCAGAAATGGAAAGGGAAACGGAGAAAACGCGATTTGCTTTCATTTTCTACACATCTCATCACTGATCAAGAGTTTGCTCACTTTTCGTTTAATCAACTTACATATTTGGTAGCTCATTGGGCAGGCTCTGTAGAATCGGGCTACCCGGGCAGAAGTGCCAACCTGGAAGGTAGGAGGGTACCTACCACAGTTAAGTAGTCATAACTCCTTCAAACTGCCATTTTACTACTTAAATACCTACTTAAACTCAGCTTCTCGCACCAGCCAACCAACACCAATTCCAACCCAAATTCCAACACCAATCCTACCGCTAGCAACACCAACCACAGCTGATAACAACGACGATAATAATATCCTCCCTTCTTTCAACAATATTGTCACTCACGGTAACAATCTCATTCGCGAAATAGCAAAGGATCCGAAGTTTCCAAGGTATCGAGGGTATCTAAGCTTTTATAGTGTCAATGGAAGCTCTCGGGATTCGAATAACGAAAAATGACAACGCAAATCGCCAGGCACAGAACTCCCAGCGGCTGGTTGCCAATTCTCGCTGCCGTCTGATTCCCCTCTTGGCTGTTCAGCGAGAATTGCGCATATATCGCGGCTATCAAAACCTGAAACTACCCGGATTCTGGGGAACCCAGGGGTAAATGTGCCAGGCGGCCTAGCGAACAGCGGTTCAGCAGCAATTCTGCTTCACTGACTGAATTATCTCGGCCTACGTTCTTCCAGTAGCAGCAGCAGTTTCTACAAGGACAGCCAACCGGTGAGTCACCTATCCACCCTCCGCTCTAGGCTCTTGACTCATTTTATCTTGCTAGGAAGTTGAACACATATCACATCACGCCACTGGAGTAGATGGCACCAAGAGGGATTCGGGGTTGCGCCTTGTGTATTGCGTTCCAAGAAGTCATATTCCCGAGCAGCGAGACTAGATAACAAAATGCAAGCGTTGATAAATCCAAGATCGCTATGCGTTGACCCAACAAACCCGCTGATTATTCGAATGTACGCCCGTGTATGTGTGAATCCAACGCCGGTATATAACGGAATAAACGAGGAGGGAAGATGCCCGAGAGAACAAGAAACAATGCACCCATGTTTGACGCCCAAACCATAGAACCCAAAGCCCACATCACGCCGAGCCATGTACAACCCCGACCTCCACCAACAAAGCTGCCCGCTTACTCGGCAGGGAGTAACGGCTTAGGCAGCGTCCCCCTGTCCGAGATGTGGCTCGAGCTGCTGCCGATTATTGTCGGGCTGTCGCCATCCACATCCGGATCATACTCGCCCTCTCGATTGGGCCGGCCCGTGACGGAATCCTGCCTCTCCATCCGCACATGCGAGCTCCTCTCGGCGTTGACGCTCTTCCGCACATCGTCGTCCTCGTCGTCGTCGCTATCTTCGCTCTCGGAAATCGCCAGCTCCTCGTAAGCGATCGGCCCGCTAGTGCCTGTGGAGGCCTCGCCATCAATCGCGGCAGCCTCCTGCTTCTTGATGTAGGAGTCGATGATATAGTACTGCAGAGCGTTCATAATGAGCGGGAATAGCATCATAACGAAGACGATCTGCAGCTTCTCGTTGCCCTCGGTCCAGCCCAGCGCCCAATCGCCCACGTGTGGTAGCCACGGGAACGCCATGAACATGAAGAGCACGACGAGCTTCATGCCCATGAGGCCGCAGAAGTAGATCAAGCTTTGCTTGAGCCACCACCAGGCGTTTGGCGGAGTGCCATAGTTGCCGCTCTGAATGGACTCAGGCGGGCTACCGAGGGGGGTGTAGGCCACGAGCTTGGTCAGGACGCGCACAATGACGATGAGTATGGGGATGCCGATGGTGGTCTGGGTGTTGCATTAGTCTCCATTTAGAGCTGGAGCAAGGTCAAAAAAATAAAAAATACTCACATCAATCCCCAAATTCAACAGATAAAAGGAGCACGGATTCGGCACATACACGTCCTCCTCGGCCCTCCCCATCAGCCCCCCCACCATTCTCCTGACCACCCCATTCGCAGCCACCGCCCCGGCATCGACCTCGATGCTGAACTTGCCGCTGGTCAGCAGCGACATGAAGACGTTGGCGCCATGAACCAAAACGCTGCCAAAGACCTGTTTGGAGGCGTCAAAGAACCAGATCTTGACGGGGCGCTGCGGGCGCTCGCGCCAGCGCTTGTACACGAGCGAGAGCAGGGCCAGGGCGCCGAGGGCGAGCTGCACGAAGATGGCGAACGAGCCGAGGAGGCTGCACTCGGTTGGCTTCGTGGGCCCGGCGGGGGAGCCTGTGGCGGTCGGGGCGGTCGGGAGGAGGGATGTGGTGGTGGGGTTGGTAGACGTCATTGCAACGGTCACCGCTTCGACGAGGCCGATGAAGGCGGGATCGGCGGCGGAGGCGGGAACGGAGGCGTGGAGGTGGAGGACGGGCGGTGTGTGGTCGCCCGGAGAGAAGGAGACGGAGGAGGAGGAGGAAGGCAGGCTCGATGCTGCTACCGCTGTGAAGGTTGGGACTGCGACATCTGGGAATGCGGGGACTGCAACGGCGGTTGGCGATCGGTCGGCAGCTAACATTTACTCCTTGAAGCTTCTTCTACTGCTCCAGTTCGTAGGCATCGAGAGCGAAAAGTCTGTACTTCGTACCGTTTCGTTTCCGGTCGTGTTCGTCGTGATTGCCAATCGGATGGAAAGGGGGCCGGAGTCCGTCCGCTTGGTAAGGAGTGTTTCACCTGACTGAGTCAAGGGTCCGCTCGGTTGGTTCGTTAGTTAGTTCGGGAAATGGTAGCTGCTTTTTCTGGAAATCAATTGTCGAGACCCTTGTTAATTTGGAATGGCGTATTGTTGTTGGGCGTGTATCGAAAGAAAGGAAGGAAAGAGAAGCTGAGGTCGGAGAGAAAGGTTAACAAATATTGGAAAGCTACGGTTGCAACACAGCGAGACAGCCTAGAAAGAAGCGTGGTGCCTGGAGGGGAGGCGCAGATGGCAGTCCCGCGGGCAATGCACGAGGTCGTTGCAGCCGACTTCTTCGATCAGGGTCCCTATTGGCCGTCCGCTGTTGGCCTTGAGGCTGGCCCACGTCAAATGGCCCACACGGCGGGCCCGCTTACCTCCGGGCCAGATCTGGTTCATGGGGCCCACTGCCCAGCTGCTGGTTGCTGCTGGCTTACCGGCAATCGCTGCCGACTTGGCATGATTTTGGACTGCTGCTGCGTATTTGATAAGGAGAAAAATAATACGAGCTGCTTTACTTTCGATAGCTGCATAGAGAGGCCGATCAGAAGCTTGCTGTGATCTTGCCGGTGGACATTCGAAAGGCTGCACATGTTGTTGCCTCAGAAACATTCATACCTATACACGGTACATGAAGACACACATTTCGCTATAGATGATGAAGTGACGTAATCCAACACACGAACAAAAGATTCTTGAAACGGAAATAAGCCAGGATAAATCGGCAGCGTCGTCGAAAAGCATTTTAGGGAGATATGGAAGGCTGCTACCAAGTACCATCGCTGTCCCCAGCCATGGCTTACAGCTATGCTTGTGTCAAAAATCGGTCTGCGCCCAATGCCAATTTGGAAACCGCCTGGGCAGTTCTGAAACATTGACGGGCAATAAAATTGCCCGCAACGGCCCTGCTCGCACCGGAAAAAGACCCCAAATCTCAATCGTAAAACTCCATCCTCTAACCCCTACCCCAGAGTCCCAAGCAACCCGGGGACATCAGCAAAAGAACCCTTGAACTGAAACGAGAAAAGTTACCAGCTTTGTGTGGATGGCGTGAGCTGTGACGCTGTGACTGGCCAGCAAAAGGTGACCATGTCCAGAAACTGACCGCAAATTAAATCGGCTAGGCGCACTCTGGCACGGTCGGAAGTAGCTTTCGCACGAAGTGAGGCATCCTGCGTGCGTGCATGGCAAAATCCGGCCTGCCCTTCTTGACGATGGATTTTGGCGCCCTGGGCGCCGAGGCCGCCTTTGTCTTGGGGGAGGGGTTTGTCGGAATAGACGGGCCTCCAGACACGTTGCGTTGACTCTGAAGACTGTCCGCAGGCCCGTCTAACTGTCAATCGATGCCATGTTGGTGCTTGAGGCGTTCTAAATTCTCCTTGCGCGCGTCCAGGTCCTCTTTTGTCCGGACCATCTTGTCGGGCTGGTGGTAGAGTACTGCGGCAGACGGTCAGTTGTGGGATGTCGCCATCAACGGTAACCACGGCTCAACATACCGACGAGGTAACGGTTCTGGAAGTTGTAGCCGTTCAACTTGTCGCACGCCTGCTTGGCGTCCATAACGTCTTCATAGACGACGAAGGCGGTGCCTTTCGTGTTGCTCGCGATACCCTGTCGGACTTGACTACACATCCGAGTTAGTAAAAGGCCTCGGAAATGAAGGCGGATGCAAAATTGACATACCGGATAGGTCCGTACTTTCCGAACAGGTCGAACAGCTCCTCTGGAGTGACGTTGTAGCTAGGCCAGGGAGGTTAGCACAACCGGACTCTCAAGAACGCGATTCAGATACGGGCGATGGCAACACACCTTAGATTCTTCACGAACAAAGCTCTATCCATAGTTGGGTGTCGTTAGTCAAGATGCCGGGATGCAGCGAGGCCGATCGGGGATGACGGGAGCCGGGGCTGCCGCTGAGGCGGGAGGTTGCGACCGGGTGGAGAACGTGAAGGAGGAATGGCCACCAAAGTAAAAGCACAGGTCGACTTACCGATTTACCTCCGGGCCAAGTTTGTTGGCTCGACTCATATCTCGATGCCGATTTCGTGAATCCTCGACTCGATATTCTGTTTGGGTACGGTACTCCTCCGATTGGGGGTTGCGGGTGGTGCGGTGTTGGAAGTGTTGAGGCTCAAGTGAACAACGGGTTGACACGGGAGCGAGGAGGAGAGAAGTTCGAAGGCGGAAGGTCGCCAGGTGGGGCTTCTGCCTATTTGGGAGTTAGTGGCCCACGTGATGCGTGTCATCCCAGGTTTCTTGATAAACCTGCAGATCACGCAAGGGCAACAGCGCGTTTTCAAAGAGAAGTCTTTAGAGATTCTGAAGATATCCGAAATTCAACAAGCGTTCCTAGATTCGTTTCTATTTACTACGAAGAGAAATTCCCCGGCATTGAGAGAACATTTTTGGTCGAAGGAGATGCTTGGCAACTAGCCGAATTCTGGAATCGCCGTGTTGGTCCGCCTAAGGTATCCATGTATGTACATATCAAATACTTCATTTACGGCTACAACAATCATTCTTTTGCCCATTCGCCCGTTCCTACCTTTTCCTGTGTGGTTTTGTCACCACTGAGCGCCATCTGCCACTGGTAACGAGGCCCGGGATGCAGATAATCATGCTCACTGACGTGGCTGCAGCACTCAGATTCGTGGACTTCCATCCAGGGCTGACCTGAAATAATAACTCTTCAAGGTGTGGAGCGATGCAGGGGCCACGCAACAGAACCCCCAATTTCCGAACGCTGCACTTAACGCGACTCGCCAGGCACGGGGCAACACAGTGCAAGCGTTGATTCGTGATTCAATGAAGCCCAGAAGCTTGGCCGAGTCTGGATGGAAACTCGACTTCACATCTCGCCTCCACAATGCTATGCCGCTGCTGCCCTTTCTACATCCTTCAAATTCTTCCATAACCACTGTAGAGGTATTTGTGCCCTAGTCTGTTTTTAGACGACTCAAGCGGACCTGGATCGATCGTCACTTTCGGTATTTTCTCCGAAAAATAAATCGACATGCCGTCGATCGCCCAGGAATCGCCGACGGTGCAGTCGTCCAGGAAGCGGAGGCGAGACGGCAACGACCACCAGATATACCCGTATGCGAGCCTGACCGCGATATCCGTGGACCCTGGCGCTAATAATTCCATCTTTCAACCTGCGTAGTGCTACAAACACCCCTCACGGGATCTTTGACCAGGACGATCGAACCCACCATTCTTCTGCCTTAGCCAACCGCAAGATCATCCCCATACCACCGGGCAAGCGGCAGCGAACATTAGTCGACATAGAGTTTGAAGTGGATGGAGAACCGATGCAGCGATCACCCTCCAATTCCCCCCCGCAAAGGCACCACCATGAGTTTCATCATCCACATCGGGACCATCAACAAACCAGGGACGCTTCCCGGGTCGAAGAGGACACCCGATCCCGATCCACCGTCCCACCCCTCTCCGCCGCACCCTCCATGAGCCGCTGCCACATTTGTTCGCGCAAGCCCAACAAGAAATCCGACCTCGACTCCTTCGCCGACTGCCAAGGGTGCGGCCAGCGGACATGCTACGTGTGCATTCGCGAGTGCCTCGGCTGGGGCGGCGGCGGCGACGGTGATGGTGGTGGTGGTCCCAGCCCATCCTCATACGCCCACTCGATAACGACGACACGAACACAAACACAACAACAACCGCAACCGCGGGCGCAACCACCACATCCCGCCGTGTCCGAGGGACCCCACCACAGTGCCCGCGCACTCCCCTCCCCCCCGGCCGCGACAACAAGCAGACCAAGAGGGGGCGCGTCTGCGGAGGAAGCGGGGGAGGTATCATTTACGATGCTTGACGCAGACGACGAGGAGCAACAGGCGCAGCACGACGACATTGGGCGAAGGGAGCGTGAGCAGGGGTGGACAACGGGCGGCGGGCACCGACGGGTGGTGTGCAGCCGGTGTTGTGTTGAGAGGGGCCAGGACGGGGAGGTGGTTTGCTTGGGATGCTTGCCGTTTGTGGAGGGCTGAAGATCTATACATGCGTGGACGGAGAGCATTTAGAAAGGCGTTTCTGGTTAATTATGGCCGCTCATATGTTTGTCTGTTGGTCGGATAATACAAGGATGAAGCCCCCCACCAACTCGGACTCGAGCCTTACCATACGGATCATTGGGACTGGGAACCCGCCGACGATGAGGATTTATATCCCCCCCGGACAAGAGCGGGGAAAGGGGCGATGGAGAAGAAGAAACGCCACCCGACCCGCTTCACCGGCCAAAAACAGACCCCGCCCCGGAAAAGGGAACTATTGGTAACGGCTCTGAGGCTGGAAGGAGCTGGAAGGAGCCAGACGAAGCGGGAGCCGGCGATTCAATCAGAATCAGTTGTTCACCGGGCATTCGCGATGGCCTGGTGGGTTGGTGGCCCGTCATCTGGATATCTCTTTTGGCTTTAACCAGCTCTCGGAAAAGGGATGGGGAGACCGCAAGGCGGCAGGTCATGAGGGATATTTTTATTATCGCGTCCATCCGGATCTTGCGGGATGGTACTTTCGAGGAGGTCGCGAGATCAGAGTACCTGGCGGAACATATAGCGGCAATTCGGTGCCTATAAACTAAACTGGGTCTAAAGAGTACTATTGTACAGAGCTAGGCATGAGAAATCAAGGAACTTTAGAGGCATAAGTGTATATAGTAGGCATAGTGGAAGCGGTCCCGGGTGGCGGGAGCCAGGGCCTGATAGTTCACTATTGAAGCCATTCGCTGGTGCCATTTTTGGATCTGTCTTTGTGTGATTGCCAACAATTCGACGGTTGAGTACGCTCTATTCGTACATACAAAAACAGCCACCCTTCCCGCTCTAATTGTACTGCGCGTACGCAGCGGTCGAGTTAAACTTAAGGTTGCCCTTAATGACTTTGTCGACCGCGCTCAGGAAGTCCTTCTCAGTCGCAACCTTCCTCCTCGCCCGGATGGCGAACATGCCAGCCTCAGTGCACACGCTACGCAGCTCGGCGCCCGTAGCGTTGGGGCACAGACGCGAGATAAGCTCCCAACGGATATCGCGCTCAACCGACATGCTCTTGGCGTGGATCCTGAGAATGTTGGCGCGGCCCTCAGGTCGGGCAGCGAGAACTCGATCTTGCGGTCGATACGCCCCGGCCGCATGAGAGCGGGATCGAGCGTCGACGGGCGGTTGGTGGCGAACATGACTTTGATGTTGCCCCGAGCATCAAATCCGTCCAGTTGGGTGATCAGCTCCAGCATGGTTCTCTGCACTTCGTTGTCACCTCCGGCACCATCGTCAAAACGCGCGCCACCGATAGCGTCGATTTCGTCGAAGAAGATGATGCATGCTTTCTTTGTCCGTGCCATCTCGAAGAGTTCGCGAACCATCCTGGCACCCTCACCAACATACTTCTGGACCAGCTCGCTGCCAATGACGCGAATGAAGGTCGCGTCTGTCCTGTTGGCCACGGCACGTGCACACAAGGTTTTGCCGGTACCGGGGGGGCCGTAGAGGAGAGCACCCTTCGGTGGGTCAATGCCCAGATTGCCAAAGCGCTCGGGCGACAACAGCGGCATCTCGACGACCTCGCGTAGTTTCTCGACTTGTTCCTTGCAGCCACCAACATCGCCGTATGTGACATCGGGCTTCTCTTCGACCGTCATCATAGTCACGCTGGCGTCGATTTTGGGCGGGAGCGGAAGGAGAATTTGGTACTTGTTCCGGTCGACTCCAACGCGCATCCCTTCCTCGATATCTGTCGGGCTGACGCGCTCGCCGAGCTGGACGACAAACTTGGCAATTTGCTTGACGTTAATGACATATTTGCTCTTCGATTCGTCCTTCTCGTCCGGGATGATCTTGGTGCATCGCGCTACTTGAAGCGGCTGCTCTTCCGACATCCGTTGACGGTCGGCGGCAACATCCCAAAGATGAGGCGGCGCCAGGCCGGTATCTGATTCCTGTATGAAAAGTCAGCGAAGGCCATGTCTGGGGTCGTCTTCACAAGTAGGGCGTACCTTCACGCCAATCTTCTCATCTACGCTCTGTTGCTTTTCCTTTATTTGTTGCTCGAGCTTCTTGATGGCAGCGCCGTAAGACGCAGCACCGTATGTTTTTAGCACTTGGATATCCCTTGACGATGTCAGCTCCGTAGCGTGTTGGTGGCGGTTCCAGGTGTGACCAACTCATCTGTGAGCGGGGTGATCTTCTTCTCTTCTACTTCGTCATCGGCGAAGTTTTTCTTGTACTTCTCCCAGTTTGAACCTGTGGCAGAAGGCTATGTGATCGTTAGAAGCCGGAAACTAACGGCGCGGGCAGCGACCAAACCAAGGGGGGTGGGTGTTGGGGTGGCGTACCATGATGACGGACGGCGGAGGGGAATGGAATGCGGATTCGGCGGTTTAAATCGTAGATCGCTCAGCAGTAATAGGGGTACTCGCGGCCAAAGGTAGGCGGTATCGTCAAATCGGGTTGTGGTAATTGCTGCGGCGACAAGTCGTGGAGTTTTGGCGAGGGATGATGTTGGAGGCGGTTATGGCTGCAGCAACGAACCCAGAGGCAGCTGTTCCGTAATCCCCATGCTGCCTTGGGCCCAGAGCTCTGCGAGGCTGAAAGAGATCTAGTCTAAATGCGGCTAGCGCCAACTGATATGGAGACACCCCGCCTGCACCAGGGCCACAGCGGTCCAGCTTAGGCTCTTCCATCCCCCACTGACGGCTTGGGAAGAACTCCAGCACCCGACTGAAAAAATCCCGTCCCACCTTGCGAGTTGTATGTACCTTGGAGGGGGAGCTGCCTGGAAGTCAACAGAAAAGAGCACCACACCGCTTGTCAAAACAACACCACACGCCTTTTTTTGCCCGACTTTCCCGCAAACGAATCAGAACGAGCTTGCAAAATGGCAACTGCGACTGCGACCGCGGCACAACCAGGTGGAGGGGGTGGAAATGCGACGTTCAGGGTACTTGCTCCGAGAAGACGGTCCATCGCGTCGAGCTGCTACTGACCCCTCGATGTAGGACAAAGAGAAGCCGCTGGCTGTCCGGTCCTCGAACATCGTCGCCGCCAGAGGTAGGCAACCTTTTGCTGCCGTCGAGCAACCCCTTGGTGCTGACTAGTTGCAGCCGTTGCCGACGCCATCAGGACATCGCTGGGACCGCGGGGTATGGACAAGATGATTCGGAGCGGCAAGGGCGAGACCATCATCACCAATGACGGCAGCACAATGCTCAAGAGCATGTCGGTCATGCACCCCACAGCCAAGATGCTTGTACAACTGTCGAATGCTCAAGACGTCGAAGCCGGTGACGGCACTACATCCGTGGTGGTTATCTGCGGTAGCCTACTCGGTGCTGCCGACCGGTTACTTTCCAAGGGCATCCACCCCTCAGTTATCTCTGAATCGTTCCAGAGGGCCGCCGCCGCCGCGGTAAAGGTCCTTCACGACATGTCGCAACCCATCGCCCTCACAGACACCGCCGCCCTCCTCCAAGCTGCCAACACCTCCCTGTCATCCAAGATCGTTTCCCAATACTCGAACCTCCTCGGGCCCATGGCCGTCAACGCAGTCACCAAAACGATAGACCTCAAGACGGCGGACAACGTCGACCTAAAGAACATCCGTATCATCAAGAAGGTTGGCGGGACGATAGAAGACAGCGAGCTGGTGGACGGTCTGGTCTTGACACAGCCAGTTCTCAAGAGTGCAGGGGGGCCGACACGGATGGAGAAGGCCAAGATCGGTTTAATCCAGTTCCAACTGAGCCCGCCCAAACCTGATGTATGTTGACTTCTCTATCTTGTGCTTTAGGTCACACATCTTACTGACGTACATTAGATGGAAAACACCATCTCTGTCAACGACTACCGTCAAATGGACAAGATCGTCAAGGAGGAGCGGATGTACCTCCTCAACATGGCCAAGAAGATCAAGAAGGCCAAGTGCAACGTACTCCTCATCCAAAAGTCGATCCTCCGTGATGCCGTCAACGATCTCTCCCTGCACTTCCTCCAGCGCCTCGGCATCCTCGCCGTCAAGGATATCGAGCGTGACGAGGTCGAGTTTATCTGCAAGTCGACGGGCTGCAAGCCCATCGCCGACATCGACAGCTTCACCGAGGACAAGCTCGGCAGCGCCGACCTCGTCGAGGAGGTCCAGAGCTCCGGCAGCCGCATGGTCAAGGTGACGGGGACGCGGTCGGCGGGCAAGACCATCTCGGTCGTGGTCCGTGGCGCCAACAGCCTGATCCTGGACGAGGCCGAGCGGTCGCTGCATGACGCCCTCTGCGTGGTGCGGTGCCTGGTCAAGAAGAAGGCGCTCATCGCGGGCGGCGGCGCGGCCGAGATCGAGATCGCGTCGCAGCTGAGCAAACAAGCGCGCGCGCTGTCGGGCACCGAGGCCATCTGCTGGAAGGCCTTCGCCGACGCCCTCGAGGTCGTCCCCACCACGCTGGCCGAGAACGCCGGCCTGAACAGCATCAAGGTCGTCACCGACCTGCGCCACCGCCACGAGCTGGGCGAGAAGAACGCCGGCGTCAGCATCAAGAGCAGCGGCGTCAACTCCAACATTGCCAAGGAGAACGTGCTGCAGCCGCTGCTCGTCAGCACGAGCGCCATCGAGCTGGCCGCCGAGACGGTCAAGATGATTCTGCGCATCGACGATATCGCTCTCAGCAGGTAAAGAAAGGGGCGGAGAAAGAGCTAGGTATGTGTATCACGGACAATAAATGGCAGGGAAATAAAACAACTGCATGAATGAATGATGGATTCGCTGCTGTCGAGGAAATTAGAGAAATCGACCCAGTAGAATCTAGATCCCTCATTGGGACCGCAATACATCTACCTGATAATAAGTGCTGCCATCGGATATCCCTAAGAGCAAGTACAACGAAAGCAGTGAAATGTGTGTCCGTAGCCGTGTCGTCACTAGGAAGCAAAGTAAAAAAAAGGTGATAAAATTGGTTAACTATTTGGCAAATCTCGGAATCATCGCAAGCCAGCCAGGCCATATTTGTACAGTACAGAATCTAAACAATCGCTCCCGAGCTCCCAGTGCGCCCCCAAGCGCACCACACCTGCTCTCCGACTGGCCAGCTGTAGCTAGGCAATAGCAATAGCCATCCTTCATCATGCCCAAGCATTGGCATTTCCTCAATCTCAAGGCTGCCTCCCCCGTCACGCCCGAAATAGCCTCGCCTCCAAGCCACAACCCAAGCAAATCAGTCTAATAGTTAAGCTCACCACCACCACCACCCGATACCTGATCCAGGTCCTCGTAGCTCTTGAGCGTCCGGCCTTGGACTGCCTCGCGGGGCCCGACGGCAGCGCCACCGACGCCGTCACCCCATCTGTTCGCCGGTCCAGGACGGCCGCGCCCGCCACCCATCATGCTGCCACCGTCGCCGCCACCATAGCGGGGGTTGTTCCCGCGACGGTCATACGGACCAGACCGGCTCTGAAACCTACCCCCGCCGCCGCCCGACGCGCCGCCGCGACGGATAGGGCCGGCAGAGCCGCCACGCTCGTCTCCACCAGCACCGGCGTGCCAGGCAGCCGGGTTGGCCAGGGGATTTGCGCCGCCGGCGCCGCTCATGATCCCGGCCGGGAACATGGGCATAGGAAAGCTCGGGAAGTTCATCATGTTGTTCACGGCATAGCTCTGCAGGTTGAAGCCACGGGGGGTGCCCGTCGGTTGTTGGCCGTTGGACTGGGGGAAGTGGCCATTCGAGTTTGCGTCGGTGCGCGAGGGGGCGATGTGGGCAGGGTCGAGGACATAGGCGTTGATGAGTTCGAACTGTATCATAGCGTTAACATAGATAGATGGTGGAATGGGTTGGGGGTAATGGTTCACCTCTTCCTTGAGCTTCTCAAGCCACTCGACGTGGCGTTTCTCGACGTGCTTGCGCCAGAAGTATTCCTCCTTGAAGAGCTTGGTACATTCGGGTACCTTGCAGCGCCACTTATGCTCGTCCTCTTGCTTGCAATACTTGCCTAGGTCGTCGTTGATCGCATCCTCCACTGGCTTGCCGCCAAGCTTCCGAAGGTCGGCCGTCTCGGGGTGCAGAATTTGGTTGATCTTGTCTTCAAACGTCTTGACCCAATTATAGGCCCGCTGCAGTTGTTGCTCGGCCTTTGACGTGGCGCGGAACTTGCGATCCTCTTCGGGTGCCTCGCCCTCCTCGATATCCTCCTCCTTGCGCTTTTTAGCTGGGAAAGGGTCCCCATTTGCGCTCGCCTCAGCCACAGCTTTGGCAGCCGAGGACAGAGTGCTCCGGGGCCTTCGGAGGTGACCGCCCGGGCATTTGCGGGTCAGCTCATGGATCGAGTCGCTCTCGAAAACGCAGAAGAAGCAGAAGTTGAAGACGCGACGAAGGTACTCGATGGTCAGATCCAGTCGCTTCTTGTCAACCAAAAGGTCCATGTCATCAACCTCGTCATCCACCATGCCTTCGTCCTCGTCGTCCTCTCCCTCTTCAATCATGTCATGATCCTCTCCCTCTTCGCGCTCCACGTCCAAGGACTCGTCTAGGCGAAGGCGCCGCTCCTTCTTAGGCTTCTTAACCGGGGCCGTGAGCACCGCCGGGTGAAGTTTCCCTTCATCACGAAGTCGATAGGCATGCTCTTCAATTTGGCGGGCAGCATTGAAATCAGACCCAACGTCTGCCTCAAACTTGGCGACGAGTTCGGTGGCTAACTGGAGGTCTTTGCGAATGCGGTCTGGGGCAGAGAACAGATCCCAAAGCGCCTTCTTCCTGGGGTGCGAAGGTGGGTTATGGACACCAACATGGCAGGTGAAGTCACCACGCAGCTCGTCCTTGACAGTTTTGCCATTGATCGCCTCAAGAGCTTTCTCGGCAGTCGAAACGGGAGCGGCAGACTTGGACTCGCCATCTTCATCTTGTTTGGCCTCCTCCTCGGTCTCATCAGGGATCGGGGCCTCGGGTGCGGGGTGCAACATGATCCAACCGATCCTGTGGTACCGTTTACTGGGGTTGGGGTCGCTCAAGGACAGCCACTTGAAACCACCTTCTCCCTCCCCAAGATGCTCCTTGCAGAAGGCTTCAAGGTTCTGGCGGCTTACAGAGGGCGCGATGGTTTTGATAAGGAGAGTGGGCTGATCCAGGCTCTCGTCCCTGACGTCGGCGGGCATAGTAGGCACCAGATCACCGACGCCGAGTACTTCATTTGCGGCCGTTGCTTCACCCTCTTCCTTTTCGACAACGCCACCGGCTCCGTTGCTCTCACTCTTTGGGATGCCCTCGAGAGATAACTCGTCAAAGATGCCGGACGCGAGGTCCTGCTCCCATCGAGCATACGCACTGTGCCGCTGCTCGTTCAATTGCTGGCGGAAGGGGTCGCGAACGTCGGGTACGTAGCGCTCTTTGAACCACTGCTCCTCCTTGTGCTGTTTAACAAAGGTATGAGCCATTTTGGCTTGGAGGTCCTCTTTGTATTTGTCGTAAGCAGCTTGGATCTTGGCCTTCTCCTTCTCCCGATCCGCCTGGACTTCGCGCGGGCCTCGAGGGCGCTCGGGTTCCCTACTCCGACCGCTCTTGAGCCGCTCCTTATCCTCCTTTATTTTTTCGTTCGACCTCCACCACTCGCCAAACCACGAGAACCCTACCTGATATGGCAACTTGAGAGGATCGGGCAGAATATTGTTCAGGCTTCGATGCGGTGTGGAATCTTGGCCAGGTACGTAACGGTCGATGTTTGGATGGGGGGAACGACGACCGCGGTCATCCCGATCGCGAGTGCCGGCATACTCGTCGCGGCCCCGTCCCCTTGGCTCGTACCGATCGACTACAGCGGGAGACCGAGACCGACGGCGACTACGGTCAGTACCTAGAACGCATGATGTTAGGAGAGGAGGTCAGGAGGAAGCGCAACGATATGACGAGCTGGGAACCGAACTGTGCCAGGATAGCAAGTCGCGGTTGGGAGCTCAAAAATGTTGGGTCGCAGGAGCTTAACACGCACCAGGAGATCTGCCACTGCGGTAGAAGGTGTCTCCCCTCTCCTCCTTGATCCTCGTGTCGTCGCGGCCGCTCCAGCGGTCGCCGGGCGATCGGGCCGAATCACGGTGATACTCCATCTTATCTTGAGTAGCCGTGTTATTCCGCTGACATCAACTTCGCCTTCTGAAAGCAGAACTTGGAGGGCGCAAGGTCGAGAAGTCAAGAACAGGACGGAGGTCTGTTACTGCCGTTCGGTTTTATCGCACGCCGCTGGGGCCTTGTTTGCCGTTTGTTACGTTACCCCTAAAACCAATTTTTTGAATGTCTATGGCCGGTAATGACTGTTTGGCGGCATGATTGCGGTTAGAAAGCAACGAATCTTGGCGGGTGAGGGAAGGCAAGCAGGTAACAATGAGGGAGGGTTATGCAATCGAAAAAAGAGCATGCAGCATCGAGCTACAAATGAGGGGATGAATGCATAAAGAAGGTAGGTGTAGTATAAGGGTTGGGGGTTTCGAGGAGGTTGCTAGGTTCATCGCGACGATGCAGGGAGGAGTGGAGGACAGGCGGGAGAGGATCAGGCTGACAAGTGAAGCCGAGAAGCGTGCTCAAGAGCAAAACGCTGGGGCAGGAACTGATGACGGTGATGATGAGGGTAATGAAAATGGGCATAAATAAGTAAAAGAGAAAGGGTGAACGAACAATTGATGGTAGACCGTCTACAGCGACGATGAGACGGGACTCCTCGGAGCAGGCCGATGCGCGTTGGGGGTTTGGAGACCGCGAACAGCGTGGAGTTGCTGAATTGGCAAGGTGCAAGACTCCAAGTGGACAATTCCAGGTTCTCGCTCCACCAAGTGGCTGGGCGGAGTCACGTGTTTGAGCTGAACTCAAACGCGGCCCCACCCATTCCGGCTAACTGGGCTACAAGTAAGTTGGTCCATGGGGGTTAGGGTAAGTTGCAGTTTGGGATCATGACACTCACTTCAATTCAAAGTGGTCAGAGGATGAATGATGTATTGACTGTAAATATATCTCGTTGCAAAATATAATAATAATAACTAATACTAACAGTTCCAAAATGCATATTCTTAATTTCTCATCTCACAGCCAGCTTGTGGTGTGTTTGTCCCTGCCTGTTACTCTCGCCAAATGTCTTGGGAGCTGGATTCGGTGATGTCATCTTCGCCGAGTTCGTCTGGGGTGGACTACAACTTCGCCTTTTTATGTTTAACGTGGAACAAACCGAATTCGTAACCGTGACCTGACTTGAAATACTTTTTTGGATATACACTCTCATACCCTTTCATCTTTGAACCAAGCCGCGATGACAACTTACATACCCTCACTCACTCTCCCGGAGGCCATCTTCGGCAGCCTCCCGGGTTCTATCCTGCTGCCCATCACCTTGGGGTCGGCAGTAGGCTATTCCACAAGACGTGTGTCCCTCTGAGTCTGCTGCCAAACTCGCACTGAGAATAACACGCCAACAGCTGCCACCAACCGCCGTGAATCCCTCACCCTCAAGCAGCCGCCCCTTCGGCCCCCAGCAAGCGTCTTCCCACCTGTCTGGACCGCTCTCTACGGCGTGATGGGCTATGCCGCACACCGGGCTGTCTTCCTGGGTACTTCCCCTCTCAACACCACAGTAAGCCCCCCTTCCCTCGTTGCCCAATCCCCTTACCCCCCAACCCCAACCCCGAGCTCACCACCCGTTCGCCAGGACACAATCCTGGCCGCCCGCCAAGGCGCCACGTTGTACACGATCCAGTTCGGCCTGAACCTGGCATGGATGCCGCTCTTCTACGGCTTGAACCGGCCCGTGCTCGCGACCATTGACGCCGCCGCCCTTGTCGGCATCAACTCGTATCTGGGCCTGGCTGTGGGGCACCAAGGTGGACGAGGTCGCCGGCTGGCTGCTGGTCCCCTACATCGGCTGGCTCGGGTTCGCGACGTACCTGTCGTTTGGGACGGGATATCTGAATAACTGGGACTTGAGCCCCATCGTTGGAGGCCAGGGGAAGAAGAAGAACCCCTGAGTGTGATGGGAGAATCTTAGGGAGGGGGTGAAGGAAGGAATGTAGGATTGTGGAAAGATTGTTAGAAATCTATCGCTCTTTTCGCCTCTGTGTATCAACAAACATGGCTCTATATACCGATATCATGAACCAGGTTCCCTCTCCAAATCCCGGTGCCACAACGCCCGCTAAACGAGAAATAAATGCTCCCCGTCTATACCGCCGCCCCCTTCTATAAAAACCCCCAAATATCCCAACCTCCTAGTCCTCCCCCCTCCCTCACTGCATGGGGAAGTACTTCTTCAATCCGTCATAAACCATGAAAATAAACGCCGAACTCGGCACCGACCTCAGCACCGTAATTCCACACCCGCGATAAAACCCCTTCAAGCCCGCCTGCTTCCAAAGCGCCGCCGTCTCCCCAGAAAAGCTCCTTTGTGGCGCCGCGCCCTCCCCAATCGGCGTGGTCTGCATGCGCGACTTGACGGTATCCGCCGGGAAAAACAAAAAGTTATACATCATCCCCGCCGACGCGCCCGCCACAGCCTGTTGCCACAGCGGTAGGGCATCCGCGGCACGAACCCGCTCACGCTCGGCCTCCGACCGCGCCGACCGCTCATTCCACTCCCGCATCAGCTTCGTCACCGTCTCCTTCGACCCAAACCACGCCGCACAACCCCCGGACTCCCGAATCAGCGTGCCCAACTGACCATGCCAGAAGCCGCGCAGGCCCTGGTGCCGCCAGATGTCGCGGATGACAGGCAGCGGGCGAAGCGGCGGCGGCGCCTTAGAGCCCCCCTCGCTTGCCGACGCGGGTACCTGGATCTTGCACTTGACCAGCTCGACGGGGGTCAGCACGAAGGAGGTCATGGCGCCGGAGAAGGCGCCCGTGGCCCACAGGGCGGACAGCGGCAGGGCCTGGTCGCGGGGGGTGTAGCCCGCGGCGTAGACGGCGGCGCGCCCCAGCCGCTCCCAGAAGAACAGGCTGCTGTTCTCGAGCGCCGCCCCCACCAGCGGCGCGCTGATGCCCCGGTACAGGCCCAGGAAGCCGTCCGCTCGGATCGACTGCCGGAAGCAGTCTAGGGGGCCTCTGTACTGAAGCGGGAGGTGGTCGGGCTGGGATTGTAGGCGGACCTTGACTGTGTCGAAGGGGTACTCAATGTATTTGCCTACTATGACGGCGACCTGGGGTGGGGGGTTAGAAGGTGGTGGGGGGTGAGGTGGGTGGGATTGGCTTACGGAACCGTAGATGATGTCTTCGATGGCCTCCATTACTGCTGTCCTGGGCTTCAGGTGCGCTGAAGTAGTCGTGGTTTCTGAGAAGGGCTTGAGGTCACTCGCGCCTTCTTGGTTGGTTGCTGGCTCCATGTCTGTGAACGGCGTGTGTGTCAAGGTCGGAACGTGAAGAAGTAAAGTCCTCGTTCCTTCCCGACCGGCGACCGGCCGTCAAACCAGAATGGCTGACTATAAACCTCCCGGTGTGCGTGGGTAAGATCTCGGGCTGCGGGGTGATGCCCCTGGCCGAGAGCTGTTGGCGGGTAGACGGGACGGAACGCACCGCACAGGCAACGCTCTGAATGGGATGAATAAAATAAAACAAGGAAATCAAGCTTTGTTTGCTTGTTCAATGCAAGGCAAATTATGTAGCCCGGCTATCCACAATGAGGTTTACACAGAAGCGCGGTGCGAGATGAGTTGGTCACAAATCACCGCTCAATGGCCCATCGAGGGGCGGAGGCAAGACTTGACTTGGAGTCCCGATGAGCGGAGCAGTCACCTTGCAAGGGCTGAGGCGAGAGGGCGCCGGTCTGGCTTTGTCTTGTCGGCTGTTGAAGGGACAATCGTCGAGACCGTCGACACCTCGCCGTTGCGTGAAAGGTGCAAAAAATAAAATAAAAACCCTCACATGTTAAGACTGGGGATGGTCTCCTCCTTGGTACCGGACACGGTCCAAAACCAGCTCAGGACATGATGGCGGTTGGAGTGGCACTGTCCTCACCACTGTGCATCGGCAGTGGCAGAACACAAAAAAATTGAGAACGGTCCGGGCTCTTGGCAACAGGGGTAAGCCAGGAACGGGAAGTGGGTGGTGGTGGGGTGAGAGGCCGAAGCCGACGTACATGCGACCGAAGTAGAAATTTCTAAAACGACGTTATTTTGCCATAAGATAACAGTGCCTAACTCGATAAAGCGCATGGTTGCTACTGCATCTCGGGTTTGGAGCCTTCAAATTACCACCCGAGATCTCTGAGCAAGCCTTAATATGATTCAAGACCTGATGGGATTGGTCTTCTGCAGGCTTCAGAATACCTTAAGCCACGGATTGAAATATCGTCAGACTAATTGAACATACATAGGTATCGATTGTAGGGAAGTATACATTAATATCGGTGTCTAACCTCTAAGTATTGATACAGAGAAATGGAAACCTCATGGCTTTTTATACATGGATCATTAACCCCAGACAGCCTGACAGGCATGCAACTTCCAACATAGCCACTCAAATCCTGTTCAGGGCAGCTCTTGGGTAGACTTAAAATGCGACAGCTCGTGTATATGATGCTTGACGGGCATCTCGAATTTCGGCCCTGAATCTTTCGAATCATGGTTGTCTTTTCCCGCCCCTTCTTCCAATGCGGCAACTCCCTGTCGGTTAAGTTTTCGCCTTTCCCAGACTTTCCAAACGAAGAATGCACCGAGGGCCAACAACCCGGTACCAATAGCTGCGCCCACGGCAGCCCCGGCGATGGCGCCTGGCGTCATAGATGGGTTGTTAGACTGCAAGGGTGTATCCGTTGTTGATAATGGGGGCGTCGCCGTGCTGTTCGCAAGCCCGGTGCCACTGGCCTGTTGGTGCACGATGTTGAACCCGTTGATAGGAACTGCGTAGACGGTAGCGCGAGATGACTTCACGACGGTCGATGTCGCAATGTTGGTGCTCTGGACCGTGGACTTCTCCGAGGTGCCGCTGACGGTGACCGTGAGGGTGACAGAAGTGCGGGACATGTAGGAGATGGTTTCGCCCGGCATGACCTCTGATGTGCACTGCATTACGTGCCTGTACGTTGGCTGGAAAACCGCACCCAAGGCGTAGTTGCTGCTCACGTTAGCACCCACGCCCGTTCCTTTTCTACGGTTCACGGGCTTACCTAGGGCAGCAGTAGGTGAACGCTGTTTGCGCTGCCGAAGCACTGCTGTCTAGTGTGCTAGTATGAACAGCCGTATAGGCCTCGGGACAAACAAAAGTTGGCCCAAATGCTGTTTGTAATGGTGAATTATCGGTGCGGTCCTGCCACCACCAGTCACCCAGTTGCTTGTTGTAACATCTTCTGGCCTCTTCTATCTTAAATCTGCTGGGATAGACGGGATCCCAAGCAAGAAGGGTGCCCTCGTCAGTTTGTCGGTACAAGTATTTCTCGCACCCTATCGGTGATGGCCATGGTGTCGGCAAGGGGTAGAATATAATGGGTGATCCGCTCAGGTTACCGCCCACAGGTTGTGTTGCAACGGTGGCGGTGGCGGTGGCCGTGGTTGACATGGTGTTTGTATCGCAGTCGTTAAGTTGGCAACCAAAGTCACGAATTATTCGTAAGCCGAGGATTTTCAAACCCGCGAAGCTGCCCGTGAAGCCGTGCTTACGTTGTTAATCGAATCAGCCGCCGCTGGTGATGGGATTGATCAATTGAAGGGCAACCCATTTTCGCGACCTGGAAATCGCGGGAAGCCACCTTATGTTTTCAGCCTCCGTTGTTGTTTTAGGTGCCGATCCATTCCTATAAATAGGTAGCAATTGTCGGTCGTCCTTCTGTCGTGCCTCTCTCAAGGACGTTGTGTGCGACATTGTACGAACTAGTATCCGTCCAATCAGGCTTAGACTTTGCGGGTCCTAGTTCGAAACGGCACAGCATCTCAAAAGTTGCCCGACCAATACCAAGAGGTTACCGAACACATGTCGTTGGTCGGCTCTGTCGGTTACAACTCTGGAGCGTGGCATGGTCATTGTCAGGGACTCTATTTTATTTCCAACTAACAAATTCCAAACTTATTCTGAGTTCCCTTCTCTTACACAACACAAACCAAAACAACTCCTCCATCTCTTTTCTCCGTGTTACAGATCCACCATATGCGCCGCAACTCGGGCCGCACGAGCGGACTTGGCAATCCTGGAGATTTAGCCACCGTGATCCCACTTGCAGGGTTCTTATCCGAAGCCGATCTACCCGCAAAGCCGGCTTCCCTGTCAACTTAAAGTCATTGCCACGAACAGACAGTGGAGATGTTAGCAAGTTACAGCCACAGTGATACCTTCGAGTCTTACGACACAAGCAAGTTTTTGGCTGGACCTGCATGTCTGTCACTCCACATTCGACTCTGGGCCGGTCGCAAGTCGACATGGCCGCCGATGAGCTGTTGCAATAGAACGCTTAAGGTGTATTGACGAGCCTCCTTATAGGCCTGACCCCGAGGACTGCACACACCAATGATATCCCACACACGACTACCTCCAACCCGCGGCATCTACTGCCACGAACCCCCCTTCCCGGCGAAACCCCCACTATCGTCCAGCTTCTTACCCCCGCCCCGCGTCGGTTTCGACTGCGCGGCTTCGTGCCGCCGCAGCTCCTCCGGCACCTTCGAGATCGAAGACTTGGAGATGATCTGCTTCAGATCGTACATGACGTCCGAGTCCTCGTTGCCCAGGAATGTGATGGCCACACCGCTCTTGCCCGCACGACCGGTACGACCGATACGATGCGTGTACGCCTCGATGCTCGAGGGCATGTTGAAGTTGACGACCAACGACACATCCGCCACGTCGATACCACGCCCCGCCAGATCCGTGGCCACCAGGATATTTGCCTGACCGTTCCGAACCGACGCCAGCGACGCTTCACGCTGCTCCTGCGTTTTGCTGCCGTGGAGCGTGACCGTCGAGTAGCCCCATGATTTGATGTCCTTGGCGACCATCTCGCAGTTGCGTTTGATGTTGACGAAGACGATAACGGGCGGCTTGAACTGGCCCGAGTTAAGGATCTCTTGCAAGCGCCGCTTACGCTTATCCTCGCCCGAAACGAACTCGACACGCTGCTCGACTGTGTCGACGGCCTCACCGGCATTACCGATAGTCACGATGGCCGGACGACGCAGGTATTTCTTGGCGATTTTCTCGACGAGCGGGGGCATGGTCGCTGTATACATCATGGTTTGGCGGTACCGATCTTTGCCGCCGAGGTAGCGGCTCATGAGTTGTGAGTTCTCTGCATCTTCTGTATCCGGCTTCTCGTTTGCTACCGGTAGAGCGTCGAGAATCTTGGTTAGGGGCTCCTCAAAACCCTGGTCGATCATGCGGTCTGCTTCATCCATAATAATGTAGCAGCACTGGGAAAACACAAGCAGGCGCCTCTCAAGACAGTCCACCAGACGACCCGGAGTTGCGACAATAATCTCTGCGCCGTTCCGGAGCGCAAAGGCTTGCTCCTCCAAAGAGTGACCACCAACAATGCTAACGACAGTGAAACCAAGGGGACCGGCGAATTTCCTGGCCTCGGTCTCGATTTGCTGCACCAATTCTCTGGTCGGGGCGAGAATGAGCGCATACGGCCCGTCGTTCTTGTTGAATTCCGTAAGAGGAGGGAGTTCCGAGATGTATACTAGCAGAGGTAAGAGGAAGGCGGCTGTTTTACCTGAACCGGTAACGGCAACACCAATCAGGTCGCGTGCCTGTTGTGCTATCGGTATAGCAGCCCTTTGAATAGGGGTTGGCTCGTCGTAGCCGACATTTTCGACAATTTCGAGCAGCCGCCGTGGCAGATTTGACTCGGCCCAGCTGCGCATTGGATTTGGGATGGCGCCACCTTTAGTGGCGATGCCGAAGTTCTCCTTGAAGATACGCCAATCGCGTTCTTTCATGTCCTCTAGCTTTTTCTCCGACCAGTGCTTGCCAAAGTTCTTGCGTTCTGCCGCTTGTTTGACGCGCTCGTGTTGTTCCAACAACTTCCTCGCGCGCTCCTCTCCCGTTTCTGGGTCGCCGCGCCGGATGGCCTCTGCCTTCCGGAGCACCAACTCGTCGGTATTCTCGTAGCCCGCGAGCCTTACGAGTGACTCTGGGCGTTCTGCGTAGACGGGGTCGAAAGGCCTGCTCGTGTCGTCTTCGGGATCCCAGTCAAAGTTGAACTTATTTGCCGCCGTCCTCTTTCTCTTCTTCTTCGCCGAGAATGTAGATTGGTTGACCTCAGGACCCATGTACTTGGCCCGCAACTCCGCTGCATCCTTCCGCTCCATCTCGGCTCGTTTTTCATCATTGTCGTTAAGCCGGCGCCGCTTCCCGCCGTGCTCAGGTTCACCACTGTCGCCTGGGTGGCGCATCGCTTTGGGGCCGGTTGGTATACTGTTGGTCGTCGACTTTCCGCTAGAGTATCCATTCGATCCGTTTGTCCCGTTGGCCGACGAATGCCGTTGTGCAATGAGCGCTTCTTCTCGTCGTTTCCGTTCTTCCTCCTCTTTCGCCGCTTTCTCTGCGGCCATGCGCTCTCGTTCCTTCTTCGGGATGAACCTAGGCTTCGCAGCCGCGGCTCTCTCAGCCTCCCGCTGCCGAAGCAGAGCTGGGAGGTCTGGCGGTAAACGTCTCCGATCCATAGCGCGATACAAGTGGTCGCCGGGGTGTAGATCGAGATGGTTAGATGGACGAATAAAGTTTGGTTTGGGGAATGGGATGGCTGCTCGATGCTGGACGGCCACTCATGTTCATGTGCATTTGGATCTTGGCGCAAGTGCTTGGCTGGCTTGGCACGTTCCCACCGTGTCGCGAACGACTTATATGCACTGTACCCTGAATACGCTTCTAGTCGTTTCAGTGGGGGCAGAAAACATGAGAAACGGGATAAATGAGACACAAAAAGAACCTCTGATTTTTTTACTCTTCATGGAAGCCAGCGACACTAATTTGATCTGTTATTTTTCTATTATAACGAAGTGAGAAGCGGTCTCCGCCCATCCATGGTGGTGCGAGGTGGTTATTTTACGCACTGTCCGAAAACACAGGGTCCACTCTTTTTTGAGAATCCATTGCTCCTCGACTAAGAACCTCTCGGCTCGACTCGTTGTCGGCAAGGCACTCGCTCGCCCACATCACAGCGTCAAGCAGACCTCGACAATGGCGGCCGCGGCGACGAAGAACATACAACTAGCGCTGGCGCTGCCGACGCGGCTGCGCACATTCCTCGCGCGGTACCCCCCCGCCTCGATCCTCCCCGCCGGCGCCGACCCCGAGACACACAAGACGGGCTACCAAGAAGACACGCCGAACCCGTTCCGGCCCCTGAGGCATCCCGTGACCGGGAAGTGGCACGACCCAAAGTACTCCCTGCGCCGGCAGGCCGAACTCGTCAAGATGGCGCGGAAGCATGGTGTGGAGGAGCTACTGCCGGAAGGGCCCAAGAGCACTGAAGTAAGGTTACGCAAGAGGGTCGAACTCGGTCTGCGGGTCAAGGGTACCGGTGTCGGCCAGAAGGTTAAGGGCCACAAGCACGAGAGGCAACTGGGTGTCAAGTATGTCTGGAATTCCCGGAACGAGTGGCGGAGGGCCGTTTTGGGGCTACTTGCTGATTTGGGTGTTCGACAGGATGGAGAAGAGGAGACAGGCCATGTTGGACATGCCGGAGCTCATCAGGGAATGGAAGAAGGTAATTTTTGTGATGGCCGGCCCTCGCAGCTTCGAATATTCTGCTAACCAAGTTGCAGGTCGGAAAACGGGATTGGACCAAGTTTCCGAAATAAGCGGCCAGATACCATGCACAAGAGCTGTGGTGCTTCTAGACTGTACCAATACCAATGTACAACATCCAACCACTGGAGGGCCTTCGAGATGCGGCTCAGGCGGGCCAGCAGTGTGCCACCATCTCTGTCTGATTCAAGCTTTGGTTATGCTCCTCGTTTCACTTCCCCGCTGTTATTGGGCGATCAGTTCCCTGCCAAGTAGGCAACAGATATCATACACACCACTACCATCTTCATGTTGTCAACTATCTCCGCCCCCCTTTTCCCATTCTTTCACTGACGCCCGCGTCTCGTCTGGAGAAGATCGCTCTCGCTCCTCGGGACACTTAGAGGACCCTTTTACAAAACAAAAGCACGTGATTGGCTCCAAATTCTTCTGACTTTGTCCCCCCAAGTTCTCACAATCTTCTCTTCTCAACACCATCCGCTAGCCCAGCACCCAACACCCATCCAACACCCACACACCACCAGGGAGACACACCTCACCATGACCCCCTCAGACCCCAACCCAACCTACTACGAAATCCTCAACCTCTCCCCCACCGCCCTCACCACGCAAGAACAAACCGGCGGCGAGCCCGCCGCCGCAGCGCTCATCAAGCGAGCCTACCGGCGCGCGCTCCTCAACCACCACCCCGACAAGAAACCACACCCACCGCACCAACCCCACCACCCTCCACCAGCCTCACCCACCCCCCTAACAAAAACTTACACAATCGACCAAATCTCCACCGCCTACGCGACCCTCTCCCGCCGCGCCCAGCGCCAGGCCTACGACACCTCCCTCCTCCTCCTCCGCCGCCAGCACCAATCCCAATCTGCAGCAGCAGGAGGGGGAGGAGGAGGAGTAGCATTCCAAACAGGCATCGAGACCATCGACCTGGATGATTTGGAGTGCGATGAGGGCGGGGACGGGGGTGAGACAGAGTGGTACCAGTCGTGTCGGTGCGGGAATCCGAGAGGGTATTATTTCACCGAGGCTGACTTGGGGGATGCGGCTGATTTGGGGGAGTTGATGGTTGGCTGTGCGGATTGTAGTTTGTGGTTGAGGGTTTGTTTTGCGGTGGTTGAGGAAAACGGGGACGATGCCGACGACGGTGATGTCAGGAGGCAGGACGGTAGTAGCAGTGGCAGCGGGGTTAAGGGGGGAACAAGCGTTGGTGCTGAAGATGGTGAAAGGTGAAATCTAGTTACAAGGATGAACTAGCTCGAGATAATGCAAGACAATACAACTCATACCGGCGGCTGTAACCAGCAACGCGTGAGACGCCAAACAGGTCTATTATTGACGACGGGGGGGTTTTATTCTTGCCCAAGCGATCCTCGCCACAGTCCGAGTCTAGAAGCAAGCAATTTGAGAAAGGAAAACAGAACCCTCCAAACGTTGCGCTTCAACCCTCAGCCGCCGCAACGAACCGCCTGCCAAGTCTTGTGTATCTGCCGTAAACATGCAAAGGTACGTGGGGATCTCCAGTCCGCGCTCCAAAGACACCGTTTCCACCAAGGGATTTGCCAAACCGGGGTTATCACTATCAAGAGACCAGGAACATCTAGGACGCCGCTTACTCGGCCTTGGGCTCCTCCGCAGCCGCCTCCGGCTTCGGCTCCTCTTGGGTCGGGGCCTCGGCGGAGCCGGTAGCAGCGGGGGCTTCGGCCTCGGAAGAGGTCCAGAGGGTCTGTCTGGTGTTAGCATTGCTCTAATTGTCACCTTCGCGTTTTCGCCACGTACCAGGTTATCACGGAGGAGCTGCATGATCAGGGTGCTATCCTTGTAGCTCTCCTCGCTCAATGTGTCGAGCTCTGCAGTCATTGTCAGAAAAAGTTCGCGTCTCGGCAGCGGGGGGTTACGTACCGGCAATAGCATCGTCAAAGGCCTGCTTGGCCAAGTGGCAAGCCTGGTCGGGAGCGTTCAGGATCTCGTAGTAGAAAACGGAGAAGTTAAGGGCAAGGCCCAGGCGGATGGGGTGCGTGGGCGGCAGCTCGGTCTGGGCAACCTCGGTGGCAGCCTTGTACGCCTCGAGAGACTTGTCGGCCGAATCCTTGCGCTTGTCGCCAACGGCGAACTCAGCGAGATAACGGTGGTAGTCACCCTTCCTAGACTGGGGTCAGACCCAGCTGGGGTAGCATGTTGACAGGGGAATTACTGACATCTTGTGGTAGAACACCTTGGACTCGCCCGACTTGGCAGAGGGGATCAGGTGCTGGTCAAGGACGCTGAGGATGTCCTCGCAGATCTTGGCGAGCTCAGCCTCGATCTTCTGGCGGTACTCCTTAATAAGGTCGACCTGGGTAGAGTTGCCCTTAGACTCCTCCTTTTGCTCGATCGAGGTGACGATTCTCCACGATGCACGGCGAGCGCCAATAACGTTCTTGTAGGCAACCGACAGAAGGTTCCGTTCCTCGACGGTAAGATCGCGGTCCTCGGAGGCAACAATCTTCATGTTCTCGACCATCTCTGTGTGCGGGGTGGAGTGTTAGTGGCGGTTGCCGGGATTCTCAGTATCTATGAATACGTGCCTTCGTAGCGCTCGGCCTGCTCGGCAAGCTTGGCCAGGTACACGGCATCTTCGTGGCCCATTTTGACGGATGGAGTAGTATCTGCGGGATAGCGGTTAGCAAAACATCAGAAATAGTCGGGGTTGGTCGGTGAGTGGAAAAGCGAAAAACGGAACGAGAGCCTGAACAGGGGAAATAAAAGCTGCCAGAGGACCAGTCGCTTCCATCGCAGCAACAAAAACTGCCATAACGGAGCGGCTCTTGTTGATGCGAAAGTGCTGCGCTGCGCTGTTCTGTGCCGATTTCCTGCCAGGCTCCCCGCTCTCGGTGTGGGGTGCGGATGCGCAGCCCGGTCTGCCTTAGACTGCGTGAAGCAAGGCCGCCTGGCATGTCGGGCGCAGACTTGGGGGGCAATTGGAGGGCAAGCCCGAGGCGACCCCGAAGATCGTGACCACGGACTCAGTGTGTGGAGGCAGAGACCGATCGCGCAGGCTATGACGACAGCGGGCGAGAAGTGGTGTGCGGTGTGGAGGACGATAGAGCAGGTGAGGGGACAATAACTAAGACTAACCTCGTGGAATGTAGTGGATGGCGGGATGCCGACAGGAGGATGCTTCGCGGGAAAGTTGGTGGGGTGGAAAGTGGTTGCAAAAAGTTTGCGATGTGGTTCAGTCGCTCGATGTTTTGGAAAGAGGACGAGAGTGGGCGAAGTGACCGGTTTTGGATGCAAAGTTGGAAATGAGGGAAGGGGCAAGGCCGAAGCGCAGCGAAGCGACAACACAAGGCGGGATGCGTGGGCGGGCGACCAGTGAAATTTGGGCTGGCACGGCCACTCAAACGGACCCCGCCTGAGCTCAACACGTGACGGGCAGCTCCAGGGCCCTGTGGGAGCCTAGTACGTCACTCTCGAGGAAGCTCACCTCACCAACAGACTACCAAAACTGGAAACACTACGGCTGAGAGCGGCGTTGACTTTCTGAGCCACCCCCGTGCCGAAACCACGGTGGAACCTGTAAGAAGCTCGTACTGTCGCAAGCACCGGAGGGCAGTCTGAGACCAGACTTTGCTGGTAAAGAAGGGGCTGTCATGAATCACGGTCGGGCAGCAGCAGCAAACGCACAAAGCAGCCAAGCAGCTTAAAGGAGCCTGGGTTAGGCCATTTATGCGATTCTCCCTAGCCTGTCTGGTTGATTGTGATGCGCGGTCGGGCAGTCTGTTCGTCCCTGCAGCACATCAGGTCTTCCAGAACCAACATTACCGCTCGGGCAATTCTAAGCCCATCAAAACCGCCGTGTTATTCATAGTTTATTCCGAGCCAGCCCTGGCAATCTGGTGGTGAAACAAGCAGGGGCCCTTACTGCCCGAGTCTCACGATGACTGCCTGTGGTCCAGGCGTGGAAGCGCCAGAAGCAACCCCTGAAGTTGGTTCGGTACCTGCTTATGGAGACCCACTTCTTTTGACACGCCTTTTTGACACCCCGCATCACAACCTCAACAAACGGAAAGAGCATTTGGCTCGCTCGAAGGGTCGCATCCCACAAAAAAGGTAGAAGGGTGGGGGACGTGGTTCACTGCATGGCCAATTTGGTGATGAGCGGGCATCGACAGAGGGTTTCTCATGAAAACATGCGCTCCAAGTCGGATCACGCAATCAACAGACCCGTCGCTCAGCAGGAACGAAATAAACAAGTAAAAAAGGGGGAAAATAAAATGAGAATACAACTAACAAAAGAACCGAAGTCAAACACAATGACTCACCGAGCCAGCAGCAAGCACAACAACTTCCACCTTGCCAGCGCGTCCCAGCCAAGACCAACCCCTGTCTAGCAACCCCCAGCAACAAACAACACGTTCGTCTGAACTAATGGTGCCTGGAGTGAAGCAAGAAACCCACCCGCTCAAAACCGACCACATTATATGACCAGTAGAAGATCCCAGACGGTTTGGGGAGATGGCGGGCAGATTCGGAAATGATGTGAAGGGTGGGGGAGGGGGGGTTGTGCTGTGGCAGGGCGTAGGTAGGGGGGAAAACGAGAAAGAATCCAGAGATGATTATGGAAAGGCCTGGTTACCGAGGGATCCAGTCGGGAAGATGTGAGCGAGCCGCTGCAACGACATCCACTTCAAAGGTGGACCTCAATCGGGAAGAACGGGATGCCCAGCTATTACCATCACCACCCCAGCCACTACTACTACCACCACTACCTTGGTCCAACAACTCCAAGGACACACAACCACCAGCGTTAACCTCAGCCGCAACCACACTACAACGTCCTCACTTCTCCCCCTCCACCACCAACACCGCCACCGACAAATCCGGCAGACTAAACTCAAACACCCCACCCCTCCCGGCCTTCAACGTCGTCACTGTCGTCTTGACCGCCCCCTTATTCTCCGGCGTATTATGCGCCCAGGGCCCCTCCGGCGCCGTCAACACGGTCAACTGCGCGCGGTCACCCTTCTTCACACCCTCACCACCCTCCCCTCCCTTCCCTTTACCCTTCCCCTTCCCATCACCACCACCACCACCACCACCACCACCACCACCACCACCACCCCCCGCCTCAAACTGCACCCTCACCGGTACATCCGCACCCCCCGTGCTGTTGTACACGGCCGCCTTGAGGATGTACGAGCCGTCGTCGGCGCCGCGACCGGCCACCCAGTAGGCCGGGCCGAAGGCGTCGGCGCTGCTGACGGGGAGGGTGTGCGTGATGCGGTGCGAGGCGAGCAGCTGGATGATCGGGTACGAGACGCTGGGCGTGGTGTCGGCCGGGTTGGCGGTGAAGGAGATTAGGTCGGGCTGTTTGTTTGTGTGGCGGGTTAGCTAGGTAGTTGTGGTGTGTTTGGGTGGGTGGGTGGAGGTGCGCTTTGGGGGGGTTGGGGTTGGGGGTGCGGTATGTATGTATGTACTTACAGCCCATTGGTAGCTGTTGAGGTTCTGGAGGATCGGCGCAAAGGTGGTGCCCCAGACCCGGTCGCCGTTGCGCTCGGCTCCGAGGATGAAGACGGCCTCGGCGACGGAGCCGATCCAGTTGGACCACTTGTTCTTGGGCGCGTCCCAGTCCGTGTCCTCGAGCTTGCCCGTGTTGTTCTGGATGGTCGCATACCTGGGGTGATCTATCAGCTCGCGATCCCGCGTTAGGGGGAGGTGGGGGTCGCCGTTCACTCACTCTCCGATGATGATGGGGTGGCCGTCGGCCCAGTTGTCAAACAGGTCGAACTGGGACACGGAGTAGTCCGGCCGGGTGTACTTGTGGTAGTCCTGGCCCGACTCCTTGTACACAAACTCGTCGGTCGACGAAAAGATGGAGATGTCGGGGTACTTCGCCTTGATGGCGTCGTAGAAAGTCTTCAGCCGGTAGCTCTTGTACGAGTCGAGGCCGCCCCACAGGTTGTCCTCGTTGCCGACCTCGACGAACTTGATGTTCCACGGCTTGGGGTAGCCGAGCTTAGCGCGGCGCGCGCCCCAAGGGGTCGAGACGTCGCCCATGAGGAACTCGAGCTCGTTCAGCGCATCCTCCACGAAGACGTGCAGCTCCTCCTCCGGGACCACATCGCCGTTCAGGTACAGGCCTGCGGCGACCGCCAGCACAACCTCCACGTCGAGGTCCTCGGCCCAGTGCATGTACTCGACCAGCCCGATGCCGTCCGTGTTGGCGTACGTCCACACGCCGTCACGACCGGGCCGGTCGGTCAGCGGGCCAAGTGTGCTTGACCAGTTCCAGTAGTTGCCAGCATAGTTGCCCTCGCTGTTGTTCGCTGAGATTAGTGTCTCTCAGGCAACTACTGCTAGTTTCGCCGGAAGCACTTACAGGTTGTTGCCTCCTGGAATCCGAAGGAAACTGGGCTTGAGGTCTGCGAGCTTCTCCATGAGCTCTCGGCGCATGCCGTTGGGCCTGTTCTTATACGTCGGCGGGAACAAGCTGATGAGGTTGAACTGGAGCTCCGTCTGGTGGCAGGGGCGGAACTCCAGCACGAAGCTGTTGTTGCTGTTCGCCGCGCTCTTGGTCGGGAGAAGCTCGAACTTGTGCTCGGTCCAGGCATGCTCCACCGACCTGGACTTGATCTTGGTGGTGGCCAGGGTCTCATTTGTGATGTCCGACACCAGAGAGAGGGTAAACTTTCCGTCGTAGGCGCCGTACGAGTAGAAGCTGCCGCTATACTTGTCGGTCTTCTGGACGTCCATTCCCCAGTAGCCGGCATTCTTCAAGCCCGCCTTGCCCTTTCCACTCGTGACCTTGACCGAGCGAGGCAGGGCATCCGATAACGGTGCAGAGGTTACGACCTCGAGAGTGCTGTCCCCCACGGCGGTCCAGGCCTGGAGGGAGCTATTATGGAAGGCTCGGTTGCGAATCAGCTCGGCGTACCTAAGGACTTTAGTTAAGCATCATGCAAGCTTGTCAGGGGAAGCCGCGACAGAACTTACAGCCCGCCGTCACCGCTCTGATTGATGTCCTCGAACATGATGCCATACATGTACGGAGACGTATCATTACCGCCAGAGTTCGCGACCGATAGGGTCACCGCGGCTGCGGCTCCTGTGAGCGCGAGCAGCGAGAGGGCCCGAAGCGAAAGGGGCGCCATCTTGGACAATCTTGGAAGGACAAGCAACAGTGCAAGTGCCCTGGCTTGAACCCAACAACGTCCACGGCGGGCGCCATGGTCTTAAATGGCCGTGGCTCTTCTCCGCACGCTGCAATGCAGAGGCTAACCGGGTCCATGGGACGATATGATTACTACTTGCTGATGGAGTAGCACGCATGCAGCTGCCAGCAGGCGTGTTCCTGGGCCGACCTCCCGCTTACAGCCCGGTTCCTGGACCCGAGATTACTAACTGCAGGTACCAATGGTCCGGACTAGTAGAGAAGCGGCTAAGACACGCGGATAACCATGGAGAACAACAGGGGGAAACAGCCGGCAACATGCGCCCCAATCAGCGTATCGGGTTGGCCGAGCCCAGCTGGGTACCGACTAGTAGTCTTAGGCAAAAGAGCTACATTTCCGTGTTTGTCTTCCCTTGCTCCCCTCAGGCTTTCCCGCATGCTTTACCATATACGGCGTCAACCACAATAGCCGGCTCGGCCCAAGGACGACTCGGGAGATGCAGGACCTCGTCGAGGTTCATGTTCTCAGTTTGGCCATTCCAAATTTGCAATCAATCACGGTCATTTGAAAAAGTAGTCTTGCTCTGCAATCGAACAATCGAACATACAACGCCCCTAATAGAGTCTTCCAGCCCCTATTCATCCTCACCCCTAAGCAATCGGCTCAACGCTGAACTTGTCCAAGTCCGCAGAGACCACCTGCCAGCCATCGGCTTTCGCACCATCACCGGTAAGGTACGCAGACGCCGAGCTGTTGCCACGCATGGTCCACTCCACCCAGTGGCCGCCAATCACACCAAACTTGCCGCCGTTAAAGTCGGTATAGGTACCGCCGTGGCCAACATCCAGGTTGCCCTTCCACTTGGGAACCCCCGCGGGCATGGCGTTGTAGTCGCGCTCGCCGTTGCCAAACGCAATATCGCTCTGCCCCCCCAGAAAGAAGAACACCGGCTTGCGGAAGTTCTCGGCCGCCGTGTAGTTGGTCAGCAGGCCCGAGCTCCAGATGCCGACACTCTGGACGCGGTCGTCCCAGATCTGGGCGTAGGCCTCGACGCCACCACAGCTCCAGCCGGCGGCCGTGATGCGCGAGGCGTCGACGCTGGCAAAGTCGCCCTGGCCCGCGTTGGTGCTGATGAAGTCGATCGACTGCTTCATGACGTCGGCCGTCGTGCTGCCCTGCCCGCCCGGCGTGCCGCTCGCGATGACGAGTACGCCATGCGATGCGAGTTGCGTGAGGAAGGGAGCCTGCCCCGTCGCGTCTGCCGAGCACCCGCCGTTGCCCCAGAGCATGACGGGCAGCTTGGTGCCCTCCGGGATCTCCTTGGGCGCGTAGAAGGTGTGGCCTTGCAGGGCGTTGGAGGTGTAGTAGCCCTGTGGGGGTGGGAAGTAATCACGTTAGTTGAGATCAGGATGGATTTGGTTGAACATGGTTATTTGATGTTGGTGAACATACCGCTGGCGCAAACGGACCGTCGCCAGTGCTCTGGCCCTGGCGCTCCTTGAGGGAGACGGGGGTGGCAGAGGAGAGAGCCACAAGGGCCAGCGCAGAAAGGGTGGTCTTCATGTTGGCTGTGAAGGTTGGTGATACTGGGACTCGGCCTAGGTCTCGTGCGTCGTGACGATGTGCAGATCTCTAGGAGAATAGCGGCTGAGGGAGTTCCCGGGCCGGTCTTATATGCTTTTCCCCTCGGATCAGAAATCTGGGTTTCTACCCGGTTGTGTTACCCATCTGCCTTCTGAGTTGAGCGGCTATGACGAACACCCCCCCGGGGGGCGTCATGTTGTTTCAACTTGTGCTGGGAGAGTGTTGCTTTGAGGCCCGAGAGCCTGGGGCCAATATATTTCCCCACATCGGAATGCCGATCGTTATGGCCCCCTCCGGTCCGTACCCGGTACCAAAGTGAAGATCTATGGCTTTGTTCCTGGATAATGTGGGCGACAGAGAGGCGCACGAGCGAGGGGTTGATGATCGCTGGCCCTCGCCCGAGATATACGTAACCACTCAAGAAGCTGGCTCCGGTCCTCCGATTCCAGATGAGGGCATGATGAGGGCATGATACAGGGAAAAGGGGGTGCCGAGGTTGGTGGGAAAACCCCGGTTGGGGCGCCTAGAGAAGCGACCACTTGCCTGGAAACACGCCGGTTATATGGATAATTCGGCAATTACTCCCCTGCTGTAACTTTACCGTTGCAATGCATAAACTTCCTCTGCCCGGAATTTAATTGCGGGACTTGGGATCTCGATTGTAATCTGTACATTGGTACTCTTCTCGCGAAGCCTTTCCAGACCCCATTTCCTCCTATCGACGTCCATTAGGGATTATAGGGGGTTAACAAGGTCGATACAATTCCTAATTTCGAACTCATAAGCGCCTCTTTAATGACCTTGAGGGGTATAGTAAAGTCTCTTCTCGATTGACTCGCGACACAAGTAACACAACAGCTCACGTTGGGAGTACAGACGAGCAAGTTGGATTCATACCATCTTGTGGCTGTGTTGTTGGATTTGAGATAGAAACGAGAGGGAAAAGGGGTAATGCAGAATTAGGTAGGGTTCTCTCTGTTTTGAGTGAACATTGGTGTTAGTGCTTTGCGGTGTTTGGTGGTACCTACCTAGGTATACATGCAGGCATAATAGCTACCTCTAGCGAGGCTCATAGCCGACTATATAGTGTATTAAAAAGCTCCTCTAAGACCCTGCTGGTCACGCGGTATTCAAACCGTATATGCTTCAGTGTAGTTGCCGATCGTACCACCTGGACAAGGTCGCCGCCGGTAAGGAATACCTCGGGCAGGTCTTTCGCCGATACACACGTGTCAAGATCGTTATCACGTATTGTACATGCTCTTGCACCGTCCTGTTGAAAATGATGATGTCGTTGATATACGCTGAGCAAAAGTGACGGAAGCGGTATAAGCGACGGTCCATAAATCGCTGAGCGCCTAGTGCTCTCGTAGCTCTATGTCTGCGCGTCGGTACATTTCCCGCGGTATCTCACTGCTCCACTGGTTGGGTACCTCCACCTACATGCATTGGGCCTCTTGTTGTTCCCAGTTCATAGAGTCATAGCCTCATTCTATCTTCGCCCCCCTCTTTCTCTACCTCTGTCCTAGATGGTGGAGTACCTAGCTGAGGAAGCAGTTAAAATGGTTGCTCTTAGACTTACCCTATACCCGCGCGTACGATGTGATCACCGTTTGTGAAGTGTGCCTGATAGGTACCTATTCATCTAGTATGGTTCGTGTGCCTTCCTGCTCCCATTTCTATCCCAACCTTCTCGTACAGCCTGTTTCCTTGGCCTTTCTCCCACCTTCCTGCCACCGTGCTCCCGCTAGTGCTATATATACAAGTTCCCGCACACGCACTGCCACCGCCTTCTCACAATTGAAGTTGAACAACGGTTTAGCCCAGTGGTATTGTGAGGAGGACCGGTTCGACTCCCCCTCGCGGCGCACAACCCTATTTTCAGAGTTTTCGTAACTACCAACCTCCATTCGACCGGCGAATGGGGCTTGGTAATGAGCCTTTTTTTTTTTTTTTTTTTTTTTTTAGGCTGGCTTACACGATTAATAACTGAATTATTTCTATCGATGATATCAAAGGCACGTGAGGGTCCACATCTGGAGGATTAAATTCGATTAGGTAGGTATTCAACCGCAGCGCCGAAATCTCTCACGACTGCCCAGAGAACCTAACTAGTTGAAAAAAAGAGAAATCAAAATTACCACCCCACTGTCTCGCCAATCTCGTTGAGTAATATCCACGATAGTACCTACAATGGAAATTCTACTCAGTCCGTTTCGAGGGTCCTCCCGAACAGGATCAGAGTGGTTCTCGGTCGGCGTCGCCTCGTCGTTCCCCGAAGTCGGACTTGAATGTGATGAAAACCAAGAAGCCCACGGAATTGAGATCGAGCCTCGGCTGTGTGGCAGCAGGAGCAGCCATGGCGAGGATCCGAAACCGGGATGCAAAGTCTTCCATGTCCCCAGGACAGACAGTTCCCAGCGAACAGAACTCGGGATTCCAGACGAATCAGCTCAGGACTTGACCGACCAGGTTCTCGTGTTTAAATATCGGGGGAAGATTCACGCGGTAGACCATGTGGGTAACAATGCTCAATTACTAATATGAATGAATTATTGTATTAATGAGACATGATTTTAGCAATGCCCTCATTCCTCATTCCCGTTATCACAGGGCATCCCATTCGACATCGAGGACTTTGGCATTGTCCTCAGCGCAGGACTGACTTGCCCAAAGCATAATTGGTCCTTCGACCTCTTTTCCGGCAGGTCAGATCGCGGGAACTACAAGCTCAAGGTATGGGAGGTTGAGTTGCGCGAGACTGGGGGAGCACAGGCCGCCGAGAAAGAGGTGTGGGTGAGGAGAAAGCCGAGGATCGGTTAACACTTCTCATGGTTGGCGCCTCGGTGAAAGAAGCAGAACATTCATTACCTGCCCACCAGATGTTGAGACACTGTCCGACCATCAAGTCTTTCTGTCATATGTTCTGGACGCATCCTTTGCTCTTCACACGGAGCCCACCCAGCCCGTTCGCGACTTCGGTCTGCCGCCGAACCAGAACGTCCTCAAACACCTGCTCCAGGCTCACCAGCGCCTTGGCGGAGATCTGATGGTGAAGGACGATCCGCGGAGCGGCGATCAGGATGCCATGTTGCAGACCCACGCCATTCAATGTCTCACCCGGGACGCCGGCACTCGGCAGATCCAGCCAGACCATGTTTGTCTCAGCCGGGCGGAGCAACTTCCCGCCTCTGTCCGTCCACATGCGCGCCACTGCCGCCGCCATTCCATGGGTGATACTGAACACCCCCCTGACGTCCACATCCCCCGGCCCGAAGTTTTCGAACACCGCTTCCCGCGCGGCGGCCGCCAGAAACCCCGTCTTCCGAACACCGCCGCCGATGCTCTGGCGCAGCCTCTTGATTCGGCGGATCACCGCCGCCGAACCCACCACCGCGGCCCCGATCGGCGCGCCGATCCCCTTAGAGAAAGACAACGTCAAGACATCCGCGCACGCCGCAATCTCAGCCAGCGTTCCCGCGGACCGGCCCGAGGCCACGGCATCCCACACCCGCGCCCCGTCGATATGCACCAACAACCCCCGACTCGCCGTCCACTCCCTAATACTGCGCAGCTCCGCCAACGGAATCACATTCCCATTCGCCGTATCTTCCAAACTCACCACCTTTGTCGGACACGCCGTCCACGGCAACCCCTCCCCACCACCACCACCACCCCCACCACCCTCCCCATCCAACCTCGCCCCCTTCTCCACATCCCCCACCGTCAAAAACAACCCCTCCGGCCTCACCGGCACCAGCGTCGCCCCCGACAGCGCCGCCAACCCGCCGGCCTCATTACAGACAACATGCGCCGACGCGTCCGCCAGCACGCCGTACGGCCGCTGCGCGCTCAGCGCCCCGAGCGCCCCCAGCGCCAGCTGGTTGGCCATGGTGCCCGACACGGCGAAGGCGGCGGCTTCCCGCCCGCAGATGCATGCCATGTGCCGCTCGAGGGAGGTGGTGGTGCGGTCTTCGTCGAAGACGTCGTCGTTGAGGGTTGCGTGCGTGAGGGCCGTGAGTTGGCGCAGGGTGGGGGTTGTGATCGCGTCCGCTGGGGGGTGGGGGGGGATGGGGTTAGTATGGGATGGGGGTAAGTGCTTAGGGGGGGGAGGAAGAGGAAGGAGGGGGGGCACTCACTTCGAAAGTCAAACGCCGTGCCCGTATGCTCTGGATTTCCCCAGGACACCTCGTCTGTCTCGGCAAAGGTGGCAGGGGCGCCATTCTCAGGGGCTGCTTTGGTGCCCCAGGCCCGGTTCGAGTTGGTGGTGGTCAGAGTCATGGTGGCGGAAAGCAAACTCGGAATATTAGGTCTTGTGTCCAAGCTGTCGAAGCCATGATTGTGAGGCCAGGCGAATGTGACGGTGGTATCGTGTGTGGTTATATGTATGTGCCTGGGCTCTCTGGTGTTTGGTACGGGCCAAGGATGACCGAATACGGATCCTACGATCCTCTTGCCAAAGCACCACTCGGAGAATTTTCCGGTCCTCGAACCCAAGTACGCATCGACAAATTCCACTCTTCAGCCAGCCTTACAAGTGTGGTTGCGGAATCCTTCTAGCCCCTTTCATAATGTGACTGTACAATAGTACTTGTTAGGGCCTTTCTCGGGAATATCACATGCCATGTGTCAATCCAGATCCTTCTCTCCCCTTATGTCGCCCCTCCCAGGACACTGCGATTGGGTGCAGTCCGAGGCTGAGGTTTAAGACGGTGCAATCACTTCATCTACAGATCCAGAAAAAATCGACATGTTGGGGCCGATCCCTAAAGTAGCGGTCAGTCCGAGGTAAAACCGAGGTCAGAAATTTGTTCTGTGACGCGACCTTTGATCGGCTGGACGCGCAATGTGACGAGATCCTGTTTGAGACTTTTTTGATCAGATTTGGTCTCGGCGGGCTGAGGGGGGTCTGGTTGCTGACAGCACATCTGAAATTTCGCCATGCCCAACAACCCATGTGGTGAAATGTTTTTGTAGAAAAGTGTAAAGGGGTCCCCGGTTCCCGAGCAGGAGAGATCGGAGTATGCTCGTCTGCCACCTTGCCAACTCTTGATGCCGACCCTGGACCATCAGTCGCCCCCTGAATCCATCATGTCGAAGCCTGGCAGTATCTCCGGGGCAGAGACGGTCAACGGGGACCAGGAGCTCGAGCAACTGGCAAGCTTGGGCCTCCAGCGGAATAGTGACGGGTTGATTTGCTGGTTGCCGGACAGCAAAGACCATCCTCGGAACTGGAACGCCGCGAGGAAGACTTTCGACACGACCGTCATCATCTTCCTCGAGTTCTTTGTCACGGTGGTCAGCACGGCCGGGGTGAGTTATTTTCTCACTGCCTACCCCAACTTCTAGTTTAGTGCTTACAGAAACCTTTGACTTTGAAAAAACGGCTGACCATTCCCGTTCGGCGCACCCGTGACAGGCCTCAGCAGCACACGCAGCCCAACCCGAGTATGGCGGCGATAAAGTGACATCCATTTTGGCCTTCACATTCATGTAAGCACCCACATCCCCACCCACATTTCCACCACTTCCCTTTTTACGCCCTAGAGCCAGACGACTCAGCAGAAACCACCTCACCCGGGTACACCTCCCGCTAACCCCTGACCCCCACAGGTACAACCTCGGCCAAGCGCTCGGCGGGCTCATCACGCCCGCTCTGTCGGAGCTCATCGGACGCCGAACGCCCTACCTCGTCTCGTGCGCGCTCTTCAGCCTGAGCTGCCTGCTGACGGGGCTCGTGCCGCACGTCGCGGCCGTGTGGGTCGGCCGCTTCGCCGCGGGCTTCACCTCGGCCGTGCCGGCGGTCGTCACGGCGGGCAGCATCCACGACATGTTTGACGGCGCGCAGCGCGTGTGGCTGGTGGTGGTCTGGAATGCGGGCTCGACGGCGGGGCTGTGTCTGGGTCCGTTGTATGGCGCTTGTTTGTTGGTGGTTGGTGAGGGGGATTGGCGGTGGATTTTTTGGGTTTCGGCGGCGGTGACGGCGATGTGTTTTGGGTGTTTGCTGGGGGTGAGGGAGAGTCGGCCGAGTCAGGTGCTGAAGCGGAAGATTGAGGTTCTGGGTGCGAAGGGAGGTGTTGGGAGTCTGGAGTGGTTCAACCCTGACGATGCGCCGGATGCGGAGGCGCTGTTCCGGCTGGTGGTTGTGCAGCCGCTGAAGTTGTTGGGGACGGAGCCGATTGTGATCATGGTTACGACCATCTCGGCTGTGTCTTGGGGTATCATCTACCTCTTTACCGAGTCGCTGCCGGATGTGTATCTGTCCATGTCGGCGGGCTTCACGCCCACAACGGCGTCGATGGCCTTCTTGGCTTTTTTGCCTGGCGTTGCGCTCAGCTTTCTACCGCGGCTGTGGGATCGGAGAACTGTCCGTCAGGGGCTGCAGCGGGGAGAGAGGATACAGCCGTTAGTATATCCCTGTTCCTGCGTGTTGAGTTTGTGAAAATGCTGACTTTGTTGCAGGGAAGATAAGATCATGGGCTTCGCCATCGCCGCGCCCGCGCTGGCCATCGGGCTGATATGGTTTGCCTGGACGGTCCCACCCACAGCCCCCCAGATCCATTGGCTGGTCCCTACTGCAGCGTTGGTGTTGGTTGGATTTGCTGTCAACGAGATGGCTTACACACTCAGCGCTTATCTTACTGACGCCTACCTGCTCTATGCCGCGTCCGCGTTCTGTGGTCTCGCCTTTGTGCGCGCCTTGGTGTCGGGTGTCATGCCGCTCGTGGCGAACCGTATGTACCCAGCTCTCGGAGCCAACATCGCGGGCACCGTTGTTGCCTCATTCGCACTGATCTTTTGTCTGGCACCGTGGGTTTTCTTTCGGTACGGAAGAGTGTTGAGGGAGAAGAGCCCGTTCGCGAAGCACAGCTTGGAAAATCATCTCAAGAGTCAAATCCCGTCGGAGAAGAAGCTGGAGGGCTTGTAGTTGGCTAAAATATCTAGTTCATCAAGGTTGTAATGTGTAATAGCTGGAGGTGGGGTTGCTTGAGGACCATATGTATAGCTTGTTGTAACAGAGCGGCGTCGAGTTGCTGCAGCATCGAATAATAGTAATCCGTACTCATGAAAATGGGAACCGGTCCACGTGGTGTAGAACTTGCAGCTCCGCCTCGCCGGGAGCTGGCACCACGACCTCAACCTCCACAAGCTCCGCGAGAAGCAGCCACAGCCATTTCAAGGCCGCTTATTGTCTTGCGAGGCTGCTCAGCGTTGGCATGATCTGAAGCATCCTCGGTAGCAAGGTCGACACCGTCCCACTGGGGGCGGTCGGCGTGGATTGACGGCGTCAGCAGAGACTCGCGCGGCGTGGAGAGTGGCGCCGTTGAGCGGGGAGCCTTCGGATCCGAGGCGAACACGGCGCTGTCGGTAGGCCTGCCACGGAGAGTAGTAACACGGTCAAACTCGTGATACTCGAGGTACTCATCCTCATGTAATAGAGACCGCCGGAGCCACTAGTATGGGTGGAAATCTATCTTCGTGAGGGAGAGCTCGCCCTCCGTGTGCCGGCGGTAGAGTTCGTGACTGCAGGGCATGCCGTACTGCTTGGTGAACTGGCCGGTGCAAGGGGTCAACGGCGCCGGATTCGGTCTCTCCGGAGTCTTGATTGCTCCGAGCATATGGCGGTATTGCAGTGAGATCTTCTTCAACGCTCGGCTTGCAACGTTATAGGGAGCCTCTCCAAGCCAGGCCTTGCCGAGATATTCACGCTTGAGTCGACCAGTCTCCTGAGCGCGGCCCTCCTTTAAATTGACCTCCATCTCCTTAACCATGTTGAGGGACTGCGTGATGGCCTCAAACACAGTGCTGTTGCCGTTTACAACGAAGCTCTTCAGGTAGCGGTTCATGGATTCCACTGGAGATGTGGTGCGGTGACCGAAATTGAGCCTCTGGTTGGTGTAGCAGGTCGCCCACTGCTTGACGATAGAGGCAGTCATGTAAGTCTCTTCCAGGTGCTTGATGATCTCCGTTTGGTCGGAAAAGAAGGCTTTTGAGCTTCTCCCAAGCAAGGTTGAAGGCATCTAGAGTGTTGACATAGATAGCATGCGCCCAGAGCTTGTAAAGGCCGGCTCTGGAGTATTCAACGGTCTCAGGGAGGCGTTCAAGCAAGCCCTCACAGGTGGCGAGGTTATTCAGGCGAGTAACCACTGCCCAATCTTCTCCATCAAGCTCCTCCTCTTCGTTCACGGCGCTCTGTGTTGCTGGAGCTCCCTCCGCCGCCAAGAGCTGCTCAACCACATCTTTCTTCCACTTTCTTTTGATGTTGAGAACCACGTTCTTGTTCACGTGGAAGATACAGAGCTGCTGGTCCGCATCGGGGTAAACTCGAGATATAGCCGACTTCATGGCTTTGTCGTAGTCTGTGATGGTCACTGCAGGGGGATTTGCGTCGATGCTCTCGCGGCAGGCGTTAACCTGATCCATGAGCCAGTCAAAACCCTCCTGACGCTCGTTGTTGATGAAACCAAACGCACAACTGTAGATTTTGCCCATTGCGTTGATCCCAGCAACTTGAAAGAAGGCGAGCTTCTTGTTATTGGTCTTGTAAGTATTGTCGTATAGCTGCAGCCACGGGGAGAGCTTCCACTCGTTCTTGGACCAGTCAAGCGCCCAGAACATACCCTCTGGCTTCGTGGGGTCACTCTTCGACCACTTGACCGTGTGGTACACCTTTGCCTTCTCAAGCATCTTCTTGGCGATCTGAAACGGTGTGTAGCCTTCGAGTGTAATAATAGGGTTTAAGATGGACGTTTACCTGAGATGGATACCATTGGTGCTTTGGGATGGACAGTTTATATGCTGGGAGGGACGGTATTTTATATTGGAACGGATAGCATCACATGTTGGGATGGACAGGAACACCAAATTCAGTAAATCGACCAAAGCGGTGTTATCACAGGGACGAGCGACCCTGAGGTCTAAGGTTACGCCGTGTGAGAGACAAGTGGCATCAGGATTCATACAGGCAAGGCCACCTGGACCAAGATCAGCAACCGGGCCCAATACCTGAACACGTTGCTCCTACACTGCCAATTCGTGGCTTCCTAGAAGACTTGGGGAGAGCGTGTCATCGAGAAGACGGTCGTCAGGGCAGAAGGGGCTTGACATCACGGAGGGCAAAACCTTGGCCTGTACATGTATGACGCGGCTATGCATAGTAGAACACCACACGGCCACTGGATACGATCTCGCTTTCGCCAACCCTCCACGGGTGGGGGGGAGGCACACGCGCTACCGTGATGCTGATGATCATGGCGCTTCGCATCCAGTTTCACTGGATGGCTTGGAGAGGGACGAGGAATCGCCCAGAAGTCCGGCTACACCGCTTGGACGAACAACGGAGAGCATCCCAAGCTGCTTCACGTTTCGCCCCGCCGGCCATCACAGAAGAGAGAAGTATAAAGAACTGAGAAAAAGGAAATCAAATAAAAGAAACTCTGGGTTTCCGAATAGCTTACATTCTAATCCCTACACGTTTAGTAAGGTTTGTTCGGCATCCACACTTGGGATTCGGCTCGGATTCTGAATTCAGCTTGGGGACTCCCTCACAGCAGCGTGTATATTTTTACGACAGCGGAACTAGGCGGCAGAGAAGTTTCTGTGTCCTTCTGCGGGAAGAAATGTAGCCTACATGTACAACGTGCCTTTCACCCCATAGATTCAACTCAAAGTTTGAATTCCCGAATCAACGAAACTCCGACCTTCCACGACAGAATGCCCCTTCACACCAGACCTCAAGTATAGATAATCCCCCCATCCACCACAAACGTCTGCCCCGTCACATAATCCGCATCCCGACTCGCCAAAAACGACACCAACCCGGCCACATCCCGCGGCACGCTCGTCCTCCCCAGCGCAATCAACTCCCCACTATACTTCCTAATCGTCTCCCCCTTCGCCCTGCCCTCCCTCCTCCCCAACCCCTCATCAATCAGCTCCCACATCTTGGTATCCACAATCCCCGGCGCGTACGCATTCACCGTAATCCCATGCTCCGCCAACTCCATCGCATACACCTGACTCAACCCCCTCACCGCCTCTTATTACTCGTGCTGTAAGGCCCCAACAGCGCAGAGGCTTAAATGCCACAATACTCGCCGCCGCAATCAGCCGCCCGCGTACCTCCTCCCCCTCCCGTTCCCTCCCACCAACACCATCCCCACCCCCACCCTGATGCTCCTCCTTTTGCTGCGCAATCATCGCCCTTGCCGCCGCCTGGAAACAGTGGTGCACCCCGGCGACGTTGACGTCCAGCATGCGCCGGAAATCCTCCGCCGTCAGCTCCAGCAGCGGCTTCACCTGCGCGATGCCCGCGTTGGCCACCATGGTGTCGAGCGGGCCGAGCGTGGTGGCCGAAGCGTGCACGAGCGCGGCAACTTGCTCGGGGGAGGTTACGTCCGCGGGGAAGGCGTGGTGGGGGGGTTGGGGTGGGGTGTGGGTGTTGGTGGTGGAGATGGAGGTGGAGGTGAGCTCGGTGATGAGGGAGTCGAGATGGGGTTGGAGGGCGGGGAGATCCCGAGGCGGTGATGCGGTAGTCCGTCTTGTGCGAGGCGGATGGCGATGGCACGCCCGATGCCGCGCGCTGGCGCCGGTTACGATGGCTACGCGGGGGCGGGTGCTGGAGCGGGGGGAGGTCGTGATGGTTCGGGGGTGGTGGTGTGGTGTGGGGTTTTCCCAGGGGACGGATAGTGAGAGGGCGGGGTGTGAGGCGATGGAGGGCGGGTAGTCTACGGAGGGGAGACATGGCTTCAATGATGAGACGATAATGGGTATTTTGGTGGGTGATGGCTGGGTTCGGGGTGGAAATGATCCCACTACGAAACTTATTGAATATGGTAGAGGCGCTACTCCCAGTGAGCACTTTGGTCCGCTCTAGGCAAAAGGAAGCTGCGAGTGTGGAAGTGGAAGAATGGGTTGGTTTGGGGCGATGTTGGAAGAAGAGGTGGTGTTGATTCCCGTCCACGAAAGTTGTCAAGACCCCGCTTGACAAGAGATCATCACAAATGCAGGCAGCTGCATTTGCTTCGGTGTGCTATTGGAATACACACTATCAATTGTTCAAAGCTACCACTTATACCGCTGCCCGCACTCCCAATGGCACTCCAAAGTGCGGGGTCTGTGATGCAGTGAAGCCCGAGGACGGGATCTCGTCTCAATACGGCCCGAGGCTAATAACAATGTAGGAACCCGTCCGAAGAAATAGGAGGTACATATCCCATTGTCGAGAGTAACAACTTCAACAACAGAGTCCCTTAGATGACATCGGCAGAGAATTGGGACACGGTGAAGGTTGCTGGTCCTCCAGTGAAGGCCTCGGAGCCAATTTGGAAGACTGGATACTATACATCAAGATGTTAGACACACCCATCTTGAACCATTTTAAATTCCTTTGAGTGTGTTCATTGTGAAGGAGAAAACTCACCGATCACGTTCTGTTTGCTGGAGGGGAACTGGTAATTCTGCTCCAGATACGTATAGAACTCTTTCACATCGGCGCTGAACTCCTTGACGGTCCCCGACGGCGGCACGAAGCTGTAGACCCTCATGGCTCCGTTGAATCCAGTCCACAGGTCCCAGGTCTTGCCAGCAACAGTGACGGTACCAACCGAAGATCCGATGGGGTAGACGTTGCCATATCTTGCCAGCCTGCGGTGACCGTGTCAGTCGACCTCATCTCTTCCTGAAGCTCAAACCCGAGGGAAGCTCACCAGATCATAAGCTCAAAGTCGCCACTGCTGTTCACATGGTTGGGGTCCTCGGCAGTGAAGACGTCGTACGCGACATTGGCGCGAATGTTCTCGTTGTCGTAGTCCCACTTGACCGAAGTGGGCATCTTGCTGATGGAGCTGATGGTCCTGCCCTTTGCGACCTGCCGGCCGACATAGGGGTAGCTCTTCACGTTGTTGGGGCCCCCTTCCCATGTCCAGGTCGTGTGCCACTGCACGCCCTCGCTGGAAGCGCCGTCGAGGTAGGTGCACTGCGACCCCGAGGTCGCCGCATCTTTGCCCCAGAGGTTGTTGAGCAGCTCGTAGCCGTTGCCGGACCAGTAGGCATACAGCTCGCACAGAGTCTCTTTTTGACGAGGAGCCAAGGCTGCCGAGTTCACGCCGGCGACGGTGGCGAGGAAAAGGAGTGCGGCCTTCATCATTACTGGCTAATTCGTTGCTGTGATTGTGTCCTCGCTTGAACGTTGGAACCTAGGTAATCTCTTAAGCATTAGGTCTTTTTACTCAGGAGACGCCGTTGGGTTTTATACAAGTTTTATACATAATACAGCTCATAAGTCAACCATCGATATACGGCCCATGACTATATTGTTGCCTTCTCCGTAGCCCTGTATTGGTGTTGTGTTTGTTGTGTTTCTTGACTTCCCTCCGACACTCTCCGTTTCTGGACGGAATAGCGGATGGTTCCGACTTTGGGATGTGATACTTCGACCTGGTTGGTGCGCCTAACACTGCTTTACTCTCTCGGGTGGGGACGGCAATGTAATTGACTTCCCAGTCTTCTTGGTCCATGCAGCCGGTTTCCCGTTCCGCTTAACTCCCGGAGTCTTCTCCGCGTCCCACAATGCCGGTTTTGATTGCCGAAGCCGCCTGGGTCGGTGGTAAGAAGCCGGGACCCGGCGCAAAGACTATCATTATAATTTAGGGACTTGCTAGGCGCGCACCTCCCTAAAATTGCTGCGCGCGCACCCCGCCCGAAATTGCTAGGCGTGCACCCCCTCCCCGCCCAAAGGATTAGGGTTTATATGGTCGCAACTAAAACAAATGAATTACTCTGCCCCAAAAGCGAAAGACTTCGCAAAACAGCTCAATTCCACTCGCTCAGACTACATACACTACGTAGAACTACCCCTATTTAGACCTCCTGAGCCGCACCACGTAATTTAGCCGATGGTTTGACCGCTCGGCCACTCCGAGTCCTCGTCATGGGGGGAGACGGGTCCTGAACGGCTTGGGTTTGCGCTGCAGAGCCCGCCTGAACCTGTTCGCTTGACTGTGAGGTCGTAGAAAGCACTGCGTTGCGCTTTGAGGCTTGTTTTCGCGGAGGCGCAGCCTCAGGAGCCACCTCAGAAACCCTACCCCTTTTCGTTGCCTTCGGCGCCGTGAGCAAGGATGGGCGCTTTGCAGCTTTGATCTTGAACCTCTCGAACCCTCTATCAACCTCTGGAGACTTCACCAACTCCACCTGTGACAGCCTACGACGTATACTGGGCTTCAGATGCGGCGCAGTACCCTTAGGGGGCCTAGGCTGGGTCCTCTTGCGTCGCTGGGTTGTCGGCTGAGCCTGGGACAATGGATTCGAAGCCCTGGCGGTGGGGGGGAGCCTTCTGGGGGTTGCCGGAGTACTGGAGTTCGTCGGAGCTGCAGGGGTGGAAGCCACACCTCCCCTGACAAACATGATCGCCATATCTAGGGGCACGGCGGCAGGCTCGTTTCTCGGTCTACCCTTCCGCTTCGTAGCAACCCTGGGATCACGAATCCGGAGGTAGGGGTCCCCCTCGTCCTTCTACAGTTAGCCATGCTACTATATTGATATTGGGGATACTTACAAGCCTGTTCTTGAGGTGCCAGTGATGGTGTACGTCCCAGAGTCGGATCTTGGCATCTGGTTTGACGAGTGACTGCGCCAGGATGTTGTAAATGCTGTGACGGCAAGGTATACCGTATTGCTGCGTAGCCGTACAGTTGTTTTCGTTGCAGGCTGGCAAAGGGCGTGCCTTTTGTTTCTTTCCAGGAAACGCTGCCCTGGCAAAGCGATACTCGCGGTTGATCAACTCCAAGGCTTTATACGTCACCTTGTTAGGTAGAGAGCCAAGGTACCGCCGTGACAGCCAATTCTTTCTCACACTCATTCCCTGTTGGCCAAGAACTTGCTGGAGATGCTCAAGCTGTTCGTCAGCCATCTCCTTGATACCCTCAACAAGGCGGACGCAGTCGCTTCTACCGTCGAGGAGGTAGCTCTTGATGTTGAGATTGCTTGACTCGGTTGGTGACGTCACTCTTGCGCCGTAGTTTCGGTACGTTCGGGTGTAGCACTGCGCCCACTGGTGCCGCAAAGGCATCCATTGCTTCTGGATATACCCCATGATACTTGGTTGATCAGAAAACTCATCCTTCAACGCCTTCTAGGCCTGATAAAATTGATCCTCTGTTTCCGAATAGACCATGACTTTAAACAAAGCCTCAACACCATTGTGGTCGTGGGGAAAGGGGCCGCGAGACTCAGTGGTAACACCAGGGTCATCTAAGGAGCGGATCCGTGCCAAGGCAGTTGCCTCCTCGGCATTCAGCCTAGCGGCTACCTCAGCACTACCCCCATCGTCACCAACATCCTCATCACCTTCAAAAGCCTCTTCGTCAAGGAAATCAGGGCTTTCAACCCTCTTGAACTTCTTCTTGGCATTGAGGAGGACGTTCTTTATGACGTGATAGATGCAGATCTGTTGTTGCGAGTCGGGGAATACCTCCAGGAGGGCGGCCTTAAGCTCTTTGCAATGATCGGTCAAGATGACGATGGGGGGCTCAACGCTGAACTCAGCTCGCAGCTCATGTGTCCCCCGGCAAAGCCAATCGAACGATTCCTTTCTCTCATTGTCGATGAAGCCGAAGATGGAGTTGTAGATGGTGTTGGCGCCGGTGAGCCCTGCCACTTGGTACAGAGGATAACCAAAGCAGTTGGTATTGTAGGTGAGATCGATCTGCATGACGTCTGAGTACTGCTTTGTGATATCCATCAAGCCGTTGAAAGTAAACACCAAGGCCAGGAGCTCAGTCTCATCCTCGTCAGCCCACTTGACACGGTATTTGATGCCGTTCTCATCAAACGACTTGATCAGGGCACCTGCAGGAGTATAACCACCAAGCTTTTCCTTCCGGATCTTCGCCCTCGCATTGTAGATGTCTTTCCTGATGTAGCTGGAATCGGGGAAGCCGTCTCTGATGAGCGCCCCGATCTCCCTGGAGCGGATTCCGTGATGCTTTGAAGCGTTGACGATGGTATCAAGAACCTCAGCGGCGATCTTCCGGTGTTGAGGATGGGCGGAAGCATGAGAAGAAGGTCCATGGTTAATGGTGTTGAGGCTCGTCAGAATTCCGGAACACCCAGCCGTCTTGGGTAAGCTTGGCAACTGACTTCCAGGTGCAGCCGCACTTTCGGGTGCCGGTTTCACGTAGGCCAGCGGATTCACCGAACCTAGGCTGACCAAAGCGGTCACAAACAAGGTAATACCGAGCATATTCGCCTCGCTTGTTCTTCTTCCCATGTTGCCGGGTAACTGCGAACCCTCTTGTCTTTGCCCAGGCGTTCACGGCGTTCTGTAGGCCCTCAATAGTAGGCGCTGATATACCGTTAGGGGGGTTGGGAATGTCTTCATCGTCAGACGTATCCCCGTCGTGGTCGGTGAACCCACCCCACTCCGAAGCCGAGCCCTGGCTGCAACCGTCCCACTCTGACTGGCTGGAAATCGCGCCTGGTTCTAAACGGGGCCGCTCAACAAAGCCGTCGCGGTTTATAGCGCTTGCAATTGGTGAAGAAGGTTCCGAATAGCCTCCTCGATCGCTTGAATCGCTCGAATTGATGGAGATGGGCGTGGTGTTGCGTTGGGCGAGGTGGTGAGGTAGGGTCTCCGATTCTGTGAGGTCGATTGGCTGGAGGATAAGAAGATCGATATCGTCGTATTCGTCAGAATCCTCGCCTGCAGCCGAAAACTCTGTGGCGAGCGGCAGGGCTGGTGCAGGTTGTTCGAGCACCTGCGGCTCGACCGCGCGAGGGTTTTGCGACATTCTGGTGGGTTCCTAGCATTCTAGAACGGTCAGATTAGCCGTAGAAAACATGTTTTTGCTATGCAGCTTACCTGTGTTGATTGCGGGTTGGCGATGTTGAACCTCTGACCCTAACCCTGCAGGGTGCGCGCCTAGCAATTCTGGGCGGGGGGTGCGCGCGCAGCAATTTTGGGGGGTGCGCGCCTAGCAAGGCCCATAATTTATAAACCTGACGGCCCGACTCTCCACTCGAGCGTTTCCTGCACGAACCAGGTCTCGGGTCGTCTTTTTACCATGTCAGTGCTATGAACTCAACAATCCCGTCAAGGTCACGAAATCTCTGCGACTGTTCCGTTATACCCTCTTCGTGTGAGAGGCAAGATATGATGGACGACTAGGATAGTTCGTAGCCCTGTCGTCGGATACATTACAGGCAACCACCGTATGCTTGCCGCTTTCATCCAAACAATCTATGCCAGTCGCGTGTATGGCCGTACTGCCACCGAAACCTGCCTGGTTCTAACGTAGGTAGCCGTGTGCTGTGCTCTACGCCGGCATAACGCGTGCCCCGGCCCGCGGCGCGCTCACCGGGCCGTAAGAGCTGATGATGCGATCGCCATTTCATATAAGTGTGCCTTTCCCCCCGTCCTATCGGTGCGGAGCTCCCGCATGCCTATTCGCTCCTCTTGGCTTGGCTCCGTGTTTGATTTCCCTGGTTTCGGCCAACGTTTCCGTCTTTCCAGGGCGTCGTCGATAATGCGTATCTCGATTTCGGAGGGCAATACCGGGCTTAGAGACTCTTCGCAGATCGGTCCGATAAACAATAGCGGCATGCGGCAACTGCGTACCTATGAACCGTGCGAGTGTTTTGCCGTCCTTGGTCCGAGTAACTTCGTGATTGTTCCTTCTGATCACGTTTAGCCCGACTTTCAGAGAATCTTCGGCGGACATGTGTGATGGATCATAGGTTGTTCCCTCCAGGTTGACAAGAAACTGTTTATACGGTATGTGTAAGAGTCTATAAGGCGTTGTAATGCATATCTGTTTGCTTGCCCAATGACTACGAGGTAGAGGATGAGATGAAAATAGAATAAGAGAATAGGGAATTTCGATAATTGAATGACACGGATTGGATGACGGGACAACTGGTTGCTCAGACTCCCAGATAAACCCGGCTTGGGGGGGAATGTGGTTTGATACGACGACCATAGACCAAATCAGGTATACTCACACCTAAAATGGACAGCCGGGCAATGAGAGCGAGCTCAATTCGGACTTGTTCCAGCCTAGGTGGTTCATGGCCAACCAAGGACCGAGTTTGAGAAGGCCAACTGACTTTGAGTGGGGCCGCCTGTAGCTAAGTCAAGGAAGTCGCCTTCATGAAAGTGTTACCCCCAGACAAGCTATGGCCAGACCATTGGACAAGTCAAACGAGTGATATTGTAGAAATGTAGGAATAAATAGCCGGGGATTGTATTGCACTTAATTTCATCCAATTCGGGCTTGGTTTGGTTGACATAAAGACAACTTTGTTGTGCGAAAGAGTTTTGGTGTACGAGTACGAAGTATGGACTGGCGCTTCCTTGGCCAGGGAGCTCGTCTCTCCACTCCACCACAGCCGGCAAAAAGCGGGGCCCAAGGCTTGCAGTGACGTGCACTTGGTCGAAAAGCTCTCCACTTTTGCGAGCTTGATCAGACCACCCGGCAAGCTCAACACCGGCCATTGAATCAAGCGCAGAACCGCATCCCGCAACACCACAACACCGCAGTACCCCAATCAACCGCCACAATGATGCGCACCTCCATCGCTAAGCTCGCCCGCCCGGCCCTGCTCTCCCGCACCTTCGCCACGACCACCCGGGTCATGGCCGCCGGCGACACCGGCGCTCCGCCCAAGACCGGCGGCGCGGGGTACGTTCTCCCCCTCCAATTCACCGAGATATCACCCTGCTAGGGCATGGGAGCGTTTGGGTTTGGGATGGAGAGCAGCCATACCGGCGGGGCAAGGAGACAGGGCCTCAACGAGCCGGGGCCAGCTCTCACTCCCTCCCTCCGCACCCCCCCCTCTCCCGAATCATCCCCCCGATCCACCATCATCACCACCCACCCCTTACCCGAAACAAAGACCAAAGTAGATACTAACACACAACCCCCCCACTCGCAGCGACGCCTTCCAGAAACGCGAGCGCGCCAGCGAGGACTTTGCGATCCGCCAGCGCGAGAAGCAGAAGCTCATGGAGCTCAAGAAGAAGCTGGCCGAGCAGCAGGCCCACCTGCAGCAGCTCTCCGACCACATGTATGTTTTTTGTCCCTTCTCCCACCCATTCACCCCCTCCCCCCTCTACCGGCGGCGTCCCTTTCTCTTGAGCGTCTTGTGTGTGCGGTTCCGCATTGGTTGGATGGATGTTCTTGGATGGATATACCCGGATGCTGACATGGAAATTCCCGCAGCGACGAGATCACCCAGGAGCAGGGCGGCGAGCAGAACTAAGCAGCACCCTGCTTTTGTTTCTCCAGGATTGGAATGGAAATGACAAGATGACAAGCTCTCTTTTGTGGCGGGAGGGAATTTGAAAAAACAAACGAAAACCGAGCTCATAACTGGTGGCGGCCGAGCGTTGTTGTTCGCATTGCTTATCGCTCCGCATCTTGAATTTGTTTCATGCTTCGGTTCTCGAGGGGACATCGCCACCCTCCACCTACCTGTACAAGTACATACGCGCAAACTCTGCTACCACTACCGATTCCAACCACATGCTCCCCACACTTTGTTTTCACATGTGTGCACATAGCTGGTTGGCACAGTCCCATTTTCTCTACGAATTGGTCTGCCGCCGGCCGTCCCCGCAAATAGACATACACATAAATTTCCCTACCCAATACCCTGACATTATCTCCTCTCTTCTGCTTCATCGCCCACCTCATTTGTACCCGCCGCGGTACGACCGGTAAAAGCTCTCGGCCGCGTCCGTCTCGGTGCTGGACACGTTAGTGCCCATGTTGCCGCTCGCCTTCTGCGCCGCCGCCACCTTGGCCTGCAACGCCGCCGCGTTGCTGTTCGATCCACTGCAGCTGGGACAGGTGCCCGTTGAGGACGCGGACAATCTGCGTCAACTGTAATGAACACACACATGGAGTCAGCTCGTTATCTTCTTCGCCATTATGCAAAAAAACCTTGCGAGTGGTGGGGGAGGGGGAGCATACCGGATCATCAGGCTTGCTGCCCTTGCTGAGGGCGCCCGACATGTCATTGATCTCCTTGATCATCTTGGTGAGGTCCTTGCCCATGTCGTCCAGACGGTCCGTCAGCTTCTCGGCGAGCTTGTACGTGCGCTCGCGCTCCTGGTCGGGCCCGGCGGCCTGCTCGCTGACCGCGCCGCCGGCGCCGGGACCCTTGGCGAACAGCTCGTTCAGGTCCGCCTCGTAGCGGTCCAGCCACGCGCCGAGCTCGTCCTGCTGGCTCTCGACGTTACTGAGCTGGCGGTCGATCTCGGCGTTCGCACGTTCCGCCTCGTAGGTGCTCGTGTACAGCTTCTGGATCTTCTCACCATTCTCCACCAGCATGCGGTCCCACTCGGCCACCTTGGAGGCCTGATCCTTGAACTCCTTTTGGTACTTGGACAGGTCCGTTGCCCACCGCGTGATGATCTCATCCATCGTCTTGTTCTTCAGCCGGGGGAGCTGGGAGGCGGGGCCCATGGTCGACGCCGAAAGCCCGGCGGCGGTGCTGGTCTTAGCAGCATCCTGCGCCGGCGTGGCCGTAGTACCAGCGGCCTTAGCACCACCAAATAGGCTTCCGGCGGCAGCGGGGGCTGGAGTAGCTGTCGACGTAGTAGTGGTGGCCGGCTTAGCAAGCAAGGTACTGGCAGCCGCGGGGGTAGCCGAGGTGGTCGCTGCGGCGGTCGTTGCGGGCGTCTTCCCAAACAGACCACCCGCCGGTGTGGCCGTCGCAGGAGTGCTGGCTCCAGATGCGGCGGCGCTAGTCTGGGCGCCGCCAAACAGTGATGGCGTGCCCCCCGTAGCAGGTGCTTGGGCAGGCTTGGCCCCAAACAGGCCTCCCGCGCTGGTGGCCGGCGTGCTGCTGGGTTGCGATTGTGCAGCGCCGGGAGCAGGGGTTGTGCTTTGGCCGAAGAGGTTCCCAGTGCCGGCCGCGGGAGCCGCTGGTTTAGCCCCAAGGCCACCACCAAACAGATTCGCGGCGGGCTTGGTGTCGGCCGGAGGTGCGCCGGCCGGTGTGGTTGAGCCAAGACCCCCAAACATCGGTTTCGCGGGAGTCGCCTGGGTGCCGGCCGCTCCAGAGGTGGGGGTAGCTGAACCAAATATCGGTGCACCACCAGTGTTGCCGAACAATCCCCCGGTCGTCGGAGTAGCGCCTGAAGGAGTCGTAGAAGCCCCGGCCCCAAAGAGGCCACTGGCTGTAGCGCCCTGAGTGCCTGATGCTGGGGCAGCAGTCGTTGTGGTAGGCTTATTATTGCCTAAGAGGCTGGGCGTGCCTGTCGGAGTCGCGGTCCCAGACGCTGGGGTCGAAGTATTTCCAAACACGTTCCCTGGGGCCTTGGTACCGCCAAACAGAGTACTGCCCCCAGCCGAGGCTCCTGTGGTCTGACCAAATAACAACATGCCCGAGGCAGGCGCCGCCGTTGACGGCGTGGTTGTGCCGCCCGCGTTGCCAAACAAGCCTCCTGTCTGACCGGCCGTCGCTCCTGCCCCTCCAAACAAACCGCTTCCCGTTGAGGGTGTGCTTGTTCCGCTGGCTCCGGGTTTGGGAATTCCGAAAGACGATGACGTTGAGCCAGTTGCACCACCGAACAAGCCGCCGGAAGCTGGAGCTGTGGATGTGGTCGCCTGGCCCGAAGTTGCGCTCGACGCAGGTGTGCCGAATGTTAAGGACATCTTAGCGGCTAGGTGCTACCGGCTGCGTCAGGTAAGTAGGTAGGGTCTCCGCAGCGGAGCAAGCTAATGTGATCAAGCGCGAAAGATGAGATGGTTTTGACGTCGACGGGGTTCGTGGGAGAGTGAGAGCTGCGACTACTTTTTGGCGGCGCGTTTGGGACAGCGCAGGGAGAGCGCAAACGGGCGATCCTCGTGTGCGGGTCGCGGTCGTCTCGGTCGGAGGAATTGCGTCGATCGCCAGTATGTGCCGCTCGATCTGCAAAATTAAAACTCCTCAATAATCGAAGCGAAGTGGTGTGCTCCGTAGTTGGTCGATTTGCACCGTCGCTTTGTTTTCAAAGCTCTAAATTAGGCGAGCCTATGGATGGGGACAGAAACATTAAAAAGAGGCAGCAAAAGAGGACAGAAGAACGAACAAGAAAAGAGATTGGAATCAGTCTGAAATGTACTACAATGTGCA